CTTCTGTGCATTAAAAGACATCATAAACACACACACGCACACACACAAAGGACAAGAAGGAGAGCTCGAGAAAACATTTGTGATGCATATAATTAAGAAAGGATTAACAGCCAGAATATATACAAAATTTTACTAAGTTATAAGAAAAAGATAAAATCCACTGGAAAAATGGGGAAAAGATATGAGCAGTAAGTTCATGGAGGAGGAGATTTGAATATATATATTTACATCTCTTATATATCTCTCTAATTTCACTAATAATCAGGCAGATAACATTATAATAATAACGAAATGCAGAGTTGACATAAAATCAGATTTACCAAAATTTGGCAATATCTATTGAAGTTGAAAATTGCTTTAACTCATCAGTTCAACTTCTAGGAATCCCAACTGGAGAGCCTCACCTGTGTGCTCAGGAAACTTGGACTTGGCTGGAATCCTCTGAGATTTCCATATTTGAAGGTTAAAATTGAATGTTAGCAACTTCATATGGTTTAGCTTAATACAAGGATGGATACAATACAATATGGAAAAGAAAAGGTAATACTTAAAAACAGGAAACAATAAAATCCACAGAAGAGAAATTACAAATAAACTTGGACTTGGTCGTATACTTAAATGTTAGACAGCAGTTAAAATGAATAAATTACATATGCTTGAAAAATGGGACAAAATAGAATTTTGAGTGAAAAGAGCAAAGGGGTTTTATTTCATTTTTTCCAAACTTTATTGAGATATAATTGACATCTAACATTGTGTAAGTTTAAGGTGTACAGGGTGTTGATTTGATACACTTATATATTGCAAGATGATTACCATGGTGGCATTGCCAACACCTTCATCTCGTCACGTAATTACCATTCTTCTTTTTGTGATGAGAACATTTAAGATCTACTCTCTTAGCAACTTTCAAGTATATAATACAGTATTAATGACTATAATCACCAAATAAAAATATCTGAAACAAATATTTCAAAACATCAACATTTGCTAAATCTGAGTAGAGGTTTTCATGGTATTTGCTATGTTACTTATGCTATATTATATTTTTTTATTATGAAATATCTCAAATACATATGTAGTGGGCCACTTTCTGGCAGGACCCAATTTCAGGGGTGTTTTTTTCCCTATGAGATAAAATTCAGAAAAAATTAAAATGTCTATAAGCCATATCCCTTCCTTCCATCTAACATAAAGAAAAAATAAATTTTTGATCCCCAAAGCAGAGCAATGGAATTCATATTCTTATAATTTAGATTACCTACTCTGTGGAATAGAATAAGTGTTTTTTAAATTTGTATCTGGGCATATTTGAAAAGTAACTAAGGCAGCTTTTGTCTTTGAACCTGGTGTGGTTTTGAGGGCTATATCTGGAAACTGGGCCAGCATATGGGACCTGAGGGTGGAGGGTTTCCTGGGAGCTTGTTGGGCTCCATTTTACTGGGTGGATGCTAAGGTTCCAGTCAGTTTTTCGTCTTTTGTCTTCAGGGAACTCTCACACCTGTAGGAGAAGCAGTGGTTTAGAGGTTGCTGAAAGTATAACCTGGTTCAGGGGATAAAAATCTATAGAAAAGGAGAAAAGGAGATGTCAATACTTTAAATCTCAAACAACTTATCACAAGAGCATTTTAATTGTTTAAATAAAACTATCACAATTTGGGTAGAGACCACCAGACCTATGGCTTAAGGCAAAGCTCATATGAAAACATTTAAAACCATAATGAAACCGTTGTATTTAATTTGCATAGAATTGGGGCCAAAAAGAGCAGGATATCTTTTTGAATGTTTCAAAATATAATTTAGGATTTACACTTTCAGTCCTCGAAATTAGAAAGGATGTTTCACAGGATGAGAATATGGTATCCGCTACAGTTATAGGTAGGGGGTCAGAGAGGGTTTTAATGTCCTGTAATTGTACTCAACAACGTATGTCTTGACCCCAAACCCATATCTATGGCTGCAGGAACTTTTGCTGTTTCAGTTGCTGCTCTCCTACCTTTGCACAGAGGTAGTATGGGATGCAACCTATTTGATCTGTCATGGTGTCTCTGGGACTCCGTAGCTATATAAATGACTGTACATGTTTCATTTCATTCATCATTCTGGTCCAAAAATTACGCATAGCTATCGACCACTGTCTAAGGTATCTAGTCGTTGTGTATGAACTGACTTTGATCCTCAGCATAACTGCTAAGCTGTCCGCTTTACTTAGGCTTGGGAGCCTTAGAGCGAGGGTATGGAATAAATTGTAAATAATATTAAAAAGAATAGCTTGGGGCAGAACAGTATGTCCTCAGGGGCCAAAGTTCAAGGCAACATAAAGTAACAGTTTTTTGTGCTATAAAGTATATTCGTAGTATGGTTGTAATAAATAAAATAAAAAAGACGTCTTTAATGTTCCCATAGGCAGTATAATAAAAAAAAAGTTCTAAGACTAAGACCTTTGAGGGATTGTGAGTAGTTTTCAAAGTAGATGGAGAATAAAATTATTTCTATAGTTTGGTATCAAAGTTTTACCAGAAATTTTGATTGACAGTAAAATCATCCTTGACTGGGTGAAGAAAGGTAAGGATTGAGAGGGGAGTGGTGGGTCACATAGATGAGTCTGTGCTGTAGATCAAACTCCTCTTTCCATAGCTCACTCTTTCCCACTCATGCATGTTAGAGAGAAGACTAGAATGTGTCGAATATGATCTATAGTCAATGGTTAAGAGCATTAACTTTGGAGGTAAACATATCTGGGTTGACACCCTGGTTCTCCCAATTACTAGCTGTGTGACCTAGGGAAAGTTATTTACCTGCACTGTGCCTCATCTCCCTCGTTTGTGAAGTGGAGACAAACACAACTACCTCACAAGATTGTTTGTGAAGGTTAATCGAGAGGTAGTCCCTGAGGGGTTGTGTGTGCCAATAAAGAGAGAAATCATTTTCCATTTTGCTGCCACTATTCTCTTTATCTCTTGTCTGATCCATTACTGTCACTTCCATGCACCGTTTCCATCATGTCACATGCCTGCTTGCAACCCCTAAGTGACTCTGTGGTATTCACGGGATAAGAGTAAAATTCCTGGGTCTAGAAAGTGCAATCATGCCTGGAGTCCTGCCTTTGGAGTCTGCACTAGTTATCTATTGGGTAAAAATTACCACAAGCTTACCAGCTTAAAACAACACACATGACCTCACAGTTTCTGTGGGTCAGGAGTCCAGGCATAGCTTAGCTAGATGTGCTTCTGAGTCTCATAAGGTTGCAGTCAAGGTCCTGGCTAGAGCTGTGGTCTCATCTGAGGCTCACCTGGGGATGAGTCCACTTCCAAACTAATGTGGTTAGTGGCAGCATTCAGATCCTTGTATGCTGCTGGACTGAGGTCCTTCAGATGTCAGTCAGAGGCTATCCTCATCATGTGGCCCTATCCATAGGGTAGCTCACGACATGGCATCTTACTGCAAGAAAGTCAGCAAGGGAGAGAGAGTCTTCCAGCAAGATAAAAGTCACAGTCTCATGTAACATAAACATATACATCCTGTCACCTTTGCTATATTCTACTGGTTCGAAGTGAGTCACAGGTCCTGTTTACACTCAAAGGGAGGGAAACGCACAAGGGTGTACCACTAGGAAGCAGGGATCATGGGAGCCATCTTAGAGTCTGTCTTCCACAGGATCCAGGATCCAAATACTGGCAATTGATTGCCAACTCCTCTGTTTATTTCTCTCAGCTCCTTTCTGCACATAAGAAAAATGGAGCTAGAATGATTTTCTATCTCATGGGGTTGTTAAGAAGATCAAATGAGGTAAATTATTTTGCAAAATGTTCTACATCCATCCAATTCCTACCTACTTTAAGGTCTGTCTTAAGTCCCACCTCTTCCATCAGGGCCTGGCTAAATCTGGTCACTTGCATAAGTCTCTCTTTTCCTATAACAGAAACTGATTGACCCACTCATAGTTTATACATTATCATATGCTCCTATGTTTCATTAATGAAACAGTCATGATGCATATCTTATCTGTCTGATAAAACTGTAAGCAACTTAAGGACAAGGACTTTTTTCCTATAACTAATAAAATAGGTAACATTTTGAATGCTTAGGATATATTTTTTATATTTTATTATTTGTTAATTCTTCTTGTCCTTACAACAATCCTTTGAAGTATGTGCTATTATTACTCTCATTTTACAGATAAGGTAATTCTGGCTCAGAAAGGCTAAGCAATTTGCCCAAGGTCACACAGCTAGTCAGCAGTGTCTGACTCCAGAAATGGAGCTCTTACTTGCCTCATATGCTACTTCTTTTGTCTGTATGGTCTAGAGAAGTACAATGTACAAAGCAGTCACTCGTCTTAGTGTTTGATAAATGGAAATAAGTTTGTGCATTGAGAGAAGACTGCATAAAGAAGTCTGGAGAAGTTCACTTGCCTACTGATGTTCAAGATGGGGAGCAAGTGAATCCTGGCATCATCACCTGCTTGTTGGTTTCTTTTGCTGGTAGAAAATCACCATGGCTACCAAATGGCCATATTCAAGGCAACCTTGTTTGGGGATCATAATTTAAGATCAGAATCTCTGGTAAGCCATGGCACCATGGAGCTTACTGCAATCTGGTTCTCATTTCTCATGGTCATGAGGCACTTTATCCCCATTAAGTCCACTCTGAGCTCTACTGGACTCTCCCTTTAGAGTATTAATCCTTAAATCCTTGATCCATTCACCCACATCACAGAGCTAAGGCCATAAATTCCAGAGCTCCACAATGTGAATCATCTGTGAGAATTCTCTTCCAGTTCTGGGGACAGGACCCTAGGGAAAACTAGGCACTGGGCCAGAAAGAGAGAGTGATAAAGAGTGGCCTGGTCGCTCTTAGCTTGAGCCTTGACCTTCAGCAAAGTAGAGAACTAAACCACTCAGGAAATATGAGACGTTGCAAGAGATGTTCTTTGGACTATATTTTCTGTTCTATCTGTTCAAGCAGTGCCATTCTGACTTCATTTTTTGTCATTTCAGAATGAAGCCGGGGCCAGATGGTCTGCCTTTTATGAAGAACAGTGCAAGCTTGCCAAAACTTATCCACTAGAAGAAATTCAGAATCTCACAGTCAAGCGTCAGTTGCAGGCCCTTCAGCAGAGTGGGTCATCAGTGCTCTCAGCAGACAAGAGCAAACGCGTATGTGAACATTCTAGCACTAATCCCAAGATTTGAAATATTTGGGAAATATTAAACATTAGTATCACCCATGGCTGCTTCTTTTATCTGCAAAGACAGTAATGCTGACATTAGAAAGAGCTCTGTACCTAAGGTAGGACGACCGCATAATTTATCATCCAAATTGGAATCCTTTTGAGAGTGAAAAAAGACACTGGTAATAATTATGTTAGGACACAGCGTTAAGGTGGGATTGTCAGGGCACTGTGGTGTATATGGGCACCCAATACGGAGGTCACCTTCCCGAGGATCAGGAAGCCTGAAGAATACACTTAGTCTATGTCAGTGATTCTCAAGTCGGGGTGATTTTGCCCCCCCAGGAACATTTGATAATGTCCGGAGACCTTTTTGGTTGTTACAACTGGGAGTTGCTATTGGCATCTAATGGGTAGTGGTGCTGCTAAACACTCTACAATACACAAGGAAACCCCCAACAATAAAGAATTATCTGGTGCGAAATGTCCATAGTGCTAAGCTTGAGAAGCCCTGTATGTACCCTGATCCTACTCCCCTTTCATTCTTGACTCTCCTCTGCAACTTCAATAAGTGGCTAACAACCTCAGCTCAAACTGCTTTAGGGATGGGTGACTCACCTCTTTCCAAGATTCATATGAGGGTCCCTCTAGTTGATGGAAAAGATACTCCCTCCTTTGAGTGTTAAGTGCTTTACCCTGACTTTGTTCTGCCTTCTAGAGCCAAATTGCTCTTTTCTATAATGGTGTTTAAATAATGAAGGCAGCTAATTTTAAAAAACTAGTTGAGTCTTTTCTTCTCTAGGCTAAACCTCCTTCGCTCTGTCATTTTTCCCCTATACAATGGGTTTGAGTTTCCTAACCTCTCCTAGTTGCTGTCTTAATTTTGTCAGTATCCTTGAACTGAACACAGCACTCTGAGTTGGCTGTGGTCTGCATGGAGGTGAGCAGGAATATGACATTCTGCACCCTATGCTCTACATGTACTAAGACAGTCTAGAATGATAGTAGGTTTTTGTTTGTTTGGTTTTGGTTTTTTGACAGTCAGATTTCATGGTTGCTTCGTATCAACATCACTGTCATTGCAGTCTTCAAATCTCTTCCGCCAATGTTGTTCTAAAATGATACCTTTTAAAATTCTATTCTTAGGTAGGTAGTTTTTCCAAATTCAAGAAAGCCTATATTCACTCCTGTTAAAATAACATCTCTCGGGGCTGGCCCCGTGGCCGAGTGGTTAAGTTCGCGCGCTCCGCTGCAGGCGGCCCAGTGTTTCGTTGGTTCGAATCCTGGGCGCGGACATGGCATTGCTCATCAAACCACGCTGAGGCAGCGTCCCACATGCCACAACTAGGAGGACCCACAACTTGGAATATACAACTATGTACTGGGGGGCTTTGAGGAGAAAAAGGAAAAAAATAAACTCTTAAAAAAAAATAACATCTCTCATCCCGTCTCTCTAGCCCAGAAGTCAGCAAACTTTTTTCTGTAAAGGGAAAGATAGTACTTTAGGTTTTGTGGGCCATTTTGTCTCTGTCACAGTGAGTCAACTCTGCTGTTATAGTGGGAAATCAGCCATATCTAATACGTAAACAAGTGTTCCAATAAAACTTTACAAAAACAGGCAGCAGATAGGATTTGGTCTGCAGATCATAGTTTACATACCCTTGATCTAACCTATTGAAATATTTTTATCTAAAATATTTGGCTATTTAACATCAAAGTCTTCTTTCCCAGTTGCTTGTTCTCTGGAACTCTGTGTTCTCATCTGCATCTATAAAAAGAAAAAATGCATGATAAGGACAAGGATGAAACCATATGGCACATATCTTCCTACAAGTTGATATTTATTGCTCTGCATTCTTTGGATCCAGTTATGCAAGTAGTTACTAATCCACTTTATCTTATGCATTCCATGCTTCCCCATCTTTTTCACAGACACTGTGTGAAACTTTGCCCATTGGTCTTTTAGAGTCTAGGCAGTCTGATTTAGCCTAGGTGGAACCTGGACATTGTATTTTTAAAAGATCCCAGATAATTTTAATGGAATGAAACCTGCTGAAATGCATATATAAGAGCTTGAAGTGTTTGGGAAGAGGGGAGACTCAAGGATGCATGAATTCAGTGGAGAAGAAGGAGGGGAGATTGAAAAAGCAGCTACAGAAAGAGACCATGAGGGTTTTTGGCCATGGTAAGGAATTTGGGTTGATTCCTTTGGAGTATGAGATTTTGTTGAAGTTTTAAGCATAGGATCTCTTTCATCTTTTGAAATAATGACTCTTGCAGCAGAGTGAAAGAATAATGGAAGAAGGAAATAGGAGAAAGGAAAACAGTCTTTCAGCCAGTGCTTCTTAAATCATCTGTGGTTCTCTCCTTTCTCCCTCCTTTCCCCCCGCCCCCTTCTTTCCTTCCTTCCTCCTTTGCTCCCTCTCTTCTTCCCTTTTCTCCTTTATTACCAATCTTCTGCAGATCAGTACTTGGTTGAGTTCATTGATCACATGCTTGGATGTTACAGAAATATCAAATTGTTTTTAAAAGTTTATGAACATTTATACCCTCAATTCAGGTACTTATCACAGAATGGGAACAAACCCTTTGCTGACTTGCACTGGTCCATGAACCATACTTTGAGTAGCTCTGCTTTACTCTATTACCTTCCTTTCCTTTACCTACAGGGTAAAGTTTAAACTCTTTAGTATGGCATAGAAGGTCCCTTGTGATGTGATCCTTGCTTACCTCTCTGTTCTCACATCCTCCACCTCCCTCAATCAGCACCGCTACTCCAGTTTCCTTCAACATGTCACCACTCCCTGAAAATTCCTTGTCTGTCCCAACCTCCTTCCAGCTTTTAGGCTCTACCCTCCATGTCCCTTCTCTATTTGACCAATTCCTACTTCTCTTCCAAGGCACAACTCTAATGTCCCCTTCTCTTTGAAGCCATTCTTAAATCTCCAAGTCATTAACTTACCTACTCCTCCCTCATACTGCCACATCACTTTTTGGTGGCAGTTATAGCACTTGTCACATTGTCATGTAATTATTGGTTTCATGGCTGCCTCACTGTCCCATGACTGTAGAGTCCTTGAGGACCAGTGACTTGTTCGTGTCAGAATTGTCAGAGTGTAGGACATAGTAGATGTTCAATAAATATATACTCAATGAATGCTGAATGAAACAACAAATGCACTTCTCTGTGCATGTGCAGGTGGGAAACATTCTTGGGATTTTGGTAGATCTGTTTATTTCAATCACTCCACATATATCTATTATGTGTTTATAAGGCTCTATGCTAGTTGATAGTGAGGAAATTTAACTGAGATATTCCTACTCTACATAAAGGAAGATACTTGGCAAAGAAGATGTGAACTGCTGTATTTTGAGGCAAGAAAATCACATGGTCAAAAGGATATCTTTACATTAGCATTCTCTTTAGCGTATTTTCCATTTTTAACATAGTTTATTGCCTTTAACTTGCAGTTGAACGAAATTCTAAATACAATGAGCACCATCTACAGTACTGGAAAAGTTTGTAACCCAAGTAATCCACAGGAGTGCTTATTACTTGAACCAGGTAGGCTATTAATTTTGAGCAGGGATTATGAAATTTACTTTTTTTGTTGTTCCAAGTTTTAAAAATGAGATTGACATTAGATGATGACATTGTGCCTTTCATATGAATAATAACCAAAGGTGAGAAGATTCCAAATATGAGTGTTTCAACATGTAGATGAACTTTCAGCTTCTAACAAAACTTCATTGTAAATTCTGTCACATTCAAGTAATTTAATTATGTTAGTAGTTAAATGATTTATATGGTTTGTTTTCTCTGCAGAAATATTTTGGAACTTTAATAAGGATGAGGAAATTAATGAATCATGATATTTCATTTAATAACTTTAAGACCTTGATGTCTGTCAGCCTTGCTTTTAATTCTTTAAAGTTCATATAATTATTTACAAATAAAAATTTTACAAATGCATGTTTATTTCCCTTTGGGTGCTTTGCATTAACAGGTTTAGATGCCATAATGGAAAACAGCAAAGACTACAATCAGAGGCTCTGGGCTTGGGAAGGCTGGAGGTCTGAGGTTGGCAAGCAGCTGAGGCCATTGTATGAAGAGTATGTGGTCCTGAAAAATGAGATGGCAAGAGCAAACAGTAAGTTTGCTGGTTTGTAGAAGTCCTGAAGCTCTCTATGAGGCCATAGGACTATTTCTCATGAATTATCAAGGCTTCCCTTTGATATAAGAGGCATCCATAAATTAATGACTGTCTGCTGAACAATTCAGGTTACCTGTCTCAAATAAGAAACTTCTAGGAAATAAGGCAAGGCGCATTGACATTCTACAGTTTAAAGAGCTCAGGAGTGAGATTCAATTAGAGGGCGTCAAATAAATCAGTTATCTGGGAAGGTCTTCATCTCCTGGGGTTCCTGAAGTAGTCTGGGGATTGAATAGGGATTCTATTTCTCAGAAAGGATGAGGGACAGAGACACTGTCTGTCGCCCGCTCCCATCTGGCCACAGTTCATTCTCAAAGGTTGTGTGTTTACCTCAGGGTGATGTCCCAGAAAGAAAAAAATCAGATTCATTTAGGCTGGAAACCCATAATTTTCTGCAGCTGTAATTATAACTCAAATCACGTGATCATAAAAATCTTCACATGGGGGTGAATTTCCGTATCTCCTAACTTATTCTCCTGCCTTAACAATGAGCTGAAGTTACGGCATTATGAATAACTCTATGCTTTGATGATTCACTGCCTCCTGGGGTTGAGTAAGGAAGAATTGTTTTAACCTGTTGTTTTTAAATGTCTTTCTCTGCCACTTGAACTCGTATTCTCAAGCCATAGGCAAGATGGAGACAGAACTCTTCACCACATCCTTCCATCCAAATATTTGTTTCTCTTCTCATCTTCCTGATCATCCACTGCAAAAGTGGCTGTAAAAATAAAAATTATTAAAATACATTTGCAAATGTTATTAGCTAACACCCTAACACAAGCTCGTGTTTCTTGGTGATGAGACACTACACGAAGCACACAGAGATGTGCTGTGTATACATATAGTTTGCAAACAAACACAGACCCAGTGTGGCAACGTCTAAGATGAATTAGGTTCTATTTGAAATTATAAGGCCCTGAACAAAATGAGAATTTAAAAACTCAGATCCAATCACATGTTTTAAAGCTAAAGATGCGAATTGAACTACGGAGAGAGTAGACACCCAGGGTTAGGAGACTAGCAGTGTGTCTCAGCCCCTTACCAGTTGTGTGACCTGGGACAAATGATTTAACCAGCTAAGAGCAGACTGTTAATCTGCACAGTGGGGATTATAATAATATCAATCTTGTAGAGTTTTTGTGCTTATTAAGTGAGATAATGCATTTAAATTTCTGGCACAGAGCAAGTTCTTAACAGACATTAGCTAGTGCTGTTGTTCATTTGCATCCCTTTGAGTTGATATTTAGAAGGGCAATGAAAATGTGACAGATCTTTGGATTTTTTTCTAACCTCTCAGCAAGGCTAATATGTGTATACTGTGCTTTATCTCTTTATTTCCTTTACGTTCTCCTCTTTCAAAAACAGATTATGAGGACTATGGGGATTATTGGAGAGGAGATTATGAAGCAGAGGGGCCGAGTGGCTATGACTATAGCCGCGACCAGTTGATTGAAGATGTGGAACGCACCTTTGCAGAGGTAACTGAGGAAGTGTACCCAGACACAGATGTAGGGCAGTGTGTGGGAAGAAGGGACAGTGACCAAAGACGTTCTGGTTTGTCCTGAATACATTGGTCAGCCATTTCCAGGCCTCAGAGTTATGGAATATTAGAACTTGAAAAGATTTTAAAGAATCATAGGGCAACTCCAGCAGATGATCAGAATTGCTCTGCTTGTCTCCCCTTTTCATCCACTGACCAGGAATTACCAATAGCAAGATTATAAGAAGGAAAGATTATAGGAAGAAAAGGTCTTTTAGATTATAATAAGGAATGGCCTTCAGGAGCTACCTGGGGCTGGCATTGTCTTGTTTTGTTAGCAGAGTGGTAGGCTTTGCCTCCTTCCTCAGGACAATCGATACTATTTTTTCCTTGCCTTTGACTAAGGAAGGCTTTATAGGGAAGGGAGAGTCTTATGAGTAGAAGTGTTCCATGGACACTTCTCAATGTCTCCCTCTTCCTTCACTTTGACCCCTACATCTCCCCCTTACCCCTGTGGCTTCAGACTTCTTATGTGAAGCTACTCTGTCATAGCTATAGTTGAGCAGAGCTATCAAAAATGGAAGTAGGACAAACAACCCTGAAAAAAAGGATCGAAGGATTTGAACAAGTACCTCATCAAAGAAATTATACAACAGGCAAATAAGCAAGTAAAAAATTATTGGGGAAACTCAAATTAAAACCATGATTAAAAACCACTACACACTCACCAGAATGGCTTTGATTAAAGGGACTGACAATACCAAGTGTTGGTGAGGATGTGGAGACACTGGAGCCCTCCATACACTGCTAACAGAAATGTCAAATGGTACCGACACTTTGGAAAATAGTTTGGCAATTTTTTAAAAAGTTAAACACACACTTACCATGACTAAGGTATTCCACTCTTAGGTATCTATATGAGAGAAGTGAAAACATATATCCATGCAAAGACATTAATGCTTCATAGAAGCATTATCCACAATAGCCTCAAACTGGAAACAACCTAGTTGTCCTTCAACTGATGAATTTTACCCATGGGATATTAAATGAAGCAAACTCTGATGTATTCATACAATGAAATGCTACTCAGTAACAAAAAGGAATAAACTACTGATACATGCAATAACATGGATGAACCTAAAAAACATTATGCTAAGTGAAAGAAGCCAGGCATAAAAGGTCATATATTGTATGATTTCATTGATATGAAATGTCCACAATAGGCAAAACTATAGAGACAGAAATCAGTTCAGTGATTACCTGAGGATAGAAGTGGGAGTGGAATTGACTGCAAATGGGTACAAGGAAAGTTTTTGGGGTGATGGAAATATTCTAAAACTGGATGGTGGTGATGGTTGCCCAGCAGTATAAATTTACTAAAACTCATTAAACTATACACTTAAAAATGGATGGATTTTATGGTATATAAATGGTACTTCAATTTAAAAATAAAGGAAGTAGGGCCAGCCCTGGTGGCCTACTGGTTAAGTTCACCACACTCCACTTCAGCTGCCCGGGTTTGGTTCCCGGGCACAGATTTACACCATTCATCTATCAGTGGCCATGCTGTGGTGACAGCTCACATAAAAAATAGAGGAAGATTGGCAACAGATGCTAGCTCAGGGCAAATCTTCCTCAGTAAAACAAAATAAAACAAAAACAAAGGAAGTAGGCAGCACCTTAAAAATGAATATTTTGGGGGCCGGCCCGGTGGCACAGCAGTTCAGTGCGTGCATCCCGCTTCAGCGGCCTGGGGTTCACTGGTTGGGATCCCAGGTGTGGACATGGCACTGCTTGGCAAGCCATGCTGTGGTAGGCGTCCCATATATAGAGTAGAGGAAGATAGGCACAGATGTGAGCTCAGGGCCAGTCGTCCTTAGCAAAAAGAGGAGGATTGGCAGCAGATGTTAGCTCAGGGCTGATCTTCCTCAAAAAAAAAAAAGAATATTTTTTGCAGCTGCTTTCATTTTGGGACCTGTATTCCTCCAGATATGTTTACTGCTTAAGTGGTGGGGCTAGTCATCATCAATATCTGGGAAGAGGGAATGCTTTTAAACTCGTCAGAATATTTGAGAGGAAAAGAAATTAGAATTTAAAGAAATTCCACTTGTCTAAGGAAGCTCTTGTTCTCAGTGTTGGGGGTTAGAAATCGGAGTAGGCTACTCTTGGTCTTAAACTTTCTTCCCGGGCTTTTCAGATTAAACCATTATATGAACATCTTCATGCTTATGTGAGGGCAAAGTTGATGGATACTTACCCTTCCCATATCAATCCGACTGGATGCCTCCCTGCCCATTTGCTTGGTAAGAAACTCCGGGAATTCTTTGTGTACCCTGTTCTTTATTCTTTCCACCAATAAAGCTGTTTTTTAGAACGAGACCCAACATAAAACTTTTGAAAAATTCTGTGAATGAAGTGAGTAACATTATAGAAATCACATTTTGAAGGCACTTTCTTCAACAGAAAGCCATTTTAAATCGTTCTGTATTGCGTTACTTTATTTTATACATAAAGAGTTATTATGTTGGCAACAATCTAAAGGATAAAGGGGTATTTAAGATAACTAGAGAAAGAACACCAAGTTCAAATGAGAGTGGAAATGAGGAAAATAAGTTTTATCATTCAAGTTGGTTGGCTAAACTCTTGAGGTGGAGTTTAGGATTTTAGTTATATCGTCAGAGAAAAGAAACTTGGTAGGCTGGAGGTGGTCAGGGGCGAGAGAAAAGCTTTCTAGAATTAACGTATAGCCTGAGTGAAAGCTTCATTCTAAACTTCACCAATTACTTTTGCTGAAAAGTACTTGGTTTGGGATCATATGAATAATGAATGAAATCTTCATCATGAAGGAAGATGCCTAGTTTAAGAGGAGAATTAATCTTCCAAGAACTTTGGATTCTGCCACGGAGCCTCGTCGACCATGCAAGACCTGGGGCCCTTTATTAAACCTCTTAATTCCCCTCCAGAGAATAGCCATCCTCCCCTCCCTGCCTCCCCACCCCAGAAGCTGAGGCCAAATAAAATATATGTGTTTGAAAAGCTCATGTCATGCATACGTAGCATTCTGGATTAAATCTAGAATACCATATGGCACATGTGTGTGGTGATAGATTATAATTAGTCTTTGGGTGGTGAACATGATGTAATCTACACAGGAATCAAAATATAATGATGTACACCTGAAATTTATATAATGTTGTAAACCAATGTTACCACAAAAAATTAAAAAGTTTATTTAAACTAGGCATCTTCCCTCAAGATTATTTTTTATGGCCCATTTACCAATCCCACCTCTTTCACTATGTAAAATCAGGTCTATACTTCTGCTGTCTTTGTCATGTATTAATGAATCTTTTTTTAAAATAGGTGATATGTGGGGTAGATTTTGGACAAATCTATACTCTTTGACAGTCCCCTTTGGACAGAAACCAAACATAGATGTTACCGATGCAATGGTGGACCAGGTAGGAAGAAGAGGCCTTGAAAACCAAGTCTGAATTCTCAAATTCTTTTTATGCCATCCTTCTCTTCTTATCTTTTGCATATAAAACCATATAAATAAAAAAAATTCAAGCTAATTTAAACTTTTTTTTATGTAGCTATCTTTTCATGGAAAAGTGGTTTACAATGTCAGTGACACCAAGTACCTTGAATAACAGGTATGGTATTGATCTTGCTAAGAGATATTAAAAATGGAGATACCCTGAGTTTTCCATTAAGCAGCAAGATGTGGAATTATCAACTGATTGGCATCACTCTTTCCAAAGTTACTCATTGCTAAGCAATTAGTCAGTAATCTCTATGAATAGTAAAATAAAGGATATCATTAGATTTTTGCATATTTAAAAAATCATTGCTGTTAGAAATATTAGAAGAGTCTCTAAAATAATTTTTAAATCATGTTTTTGTTACCATCTTGGTAAAATTATTTAAATTCTCTGTGTTCCCTTCCATTGATGGAATCACATTATAGTTGTATATTTTCCTTTATTCAGCTAATAGTCTACATTTCTGGGTAGAATTCATAATCATACTTCTATTGGCTGTATAAAATCTCTTCAGATAGTTGCACCATAATTTATTTACTTTACTATTTATGCATTCCTGGACTTTTGCTTGCTAACAGTTTTAAATCTGTAAGCAGCAATGCAATGAACACCCTCACATACGTAACATACTCCTGGGAAAAGTCCACAGCAGAATAAAAATGTAAAGCTGCAGGGGCCTCAAAATTCTACAGCTATTCTAGCCTTATTTTGTAGCTGAGCAGCAGCAGAAGCCCATCTTTATGTCGCTCCTTAGCCTATCCACAGTGGTTTTATACCCACTACCTCTCCTAAGTTTATCTTTACAACAAACCTATGAGACTGCCAGGACAGATATTGTGATAGTTCCATGTTGTAGGTGAGGAAACTGAGGCTCGGGGAAATGACTTGCCCGAAGGCACAAAGACAGTCAGTGGCAACTGAGGTTTGAACTCAGAACTCCTAATACTTCCAGTCTGGTTTTCTATTCACTCATTCTTCACTCAACAGATGTTAACTGTGCTTACTAGTCTACGTTGCTTTGGTATACGTTCTCTCTGTATAATAATAAATACTAATTAATAATACTAATATTGCATGAAATTAAGCCTTTAAAGGTTAATAATAAAAAAATCCATAGCGTCATATCCTGTTTCAAATCCCCAAGGCTGACATAGGAGAAAAACCAGACTTCACTGATCTTTGAGATCAGAGGAAGTTTTCTGTGTCACTAAAAGTGATTCATGAAGTATCTGCAATTACATAAATGAAACTTAGTTTGCCTGATGTGGGCCTTATCTCCAAAGAGGTCTTGGTCAGCTCCAGGGACAGTAGCTCCCAGAGAGTTTGCTGAATGGCAGACACCTACTGCTGCCCCTCTCAAGTTCCAGAACATTCTGAAAGTTTAGATTCCCATACAGACTATGAAGCCAAGGCCCAAGTACTCATTGGCTGCTGGGTCACATGCAGGCCTTTTTGGTTCTGAAAGCCCACTTCTTCATGTCCACATTATTGTTTGTGTCTTCCACTGAGCCTAATACCAGGGCCTTGCCCCTGGAAGGGCCTCAATCAATGATGCTTGGCTTGAGGTGAATAGTTTTTAGCAAGGAGAAGGTCATTGTTGTTTATCTTTATACTTGAATATAAAGAATAAAGACAAAAAACATCACACATAATCTCACTCAGTCTACCGTTAATATTTTGTGTTTTTCCTCATTAAGATTATACTATATAAGTGGTTTGTATATTGTATTTTCTCTCTTACTATTAAATTTTTTTAAAAATCAATAAAAATTCTTTAAAAATCTAATTTATTTAGATTTTCCATTCCACAAAGGCATCACTTATTTAACCATTCTGGTGGTTGTTTCCACTTTTTTCCGTATTAAAAGTCATTTTACATGTTGTACACCTTAAATTTACACAATGTTATATATCAAATGTATTTCAATTAAAAATAATAAACAAAAAAACACATTTTTTTATTTTTCAAAAAAACATTTAAATGTAATTCTTGGACCTAATTTCTGAGAATTTCCTAGGTTAGTTCCCTAGAGACAGGATTACTGAGACAAAGGGCATAAACACTTTGAAAGCTGTCCATACATTTCACCAAATCACCTTATAGAAATGTTATGCTTATGCACATATCTAACAGAAACAATGCTTTTATTTTAATTCTAGAATGAAGTGCTGTTCTTTTTTTTCCAGAGCTGGGATGCAAAGAGGATATTCGAGGAGGCTGAGAAGTTCTTTGTGTCTGTTGGCCTTCCTAATATGACTCAAGGATTCTGGGAAAACTCCATGCTAACTGAGCCAGGCGATGGCCGGAAAGTTGTCTGCCACCCCACAGCCTGGGACCTGGGGAAGGGTGACTTCAGGTAGCGAGGCTGATACTCACATGGCTGGTACTAAAGTGGGAGACAATGGTGGCAGGGATGAGGATGAATTTGGATTACTTCTCTGCTTCTCTGAGCACAGAAGAGTTGAATGAACTCTCCTTGAACGAAGGCTGGGAGTCCGTGAGAGCACATCTTGGCTTTCCCAGGAAAAGGGGATTGTCAGCAAAATTGAACCCTTAGACAATTTACCTCACTTGAAATAATATGCACACATTAGAGTTGTATGGTCATGGGTATGGTGGGGCCCCCATTAGGAAAGGTTTGGTGCTAAGATTTATGGAACATGGATGTGTGAATCAGGAATTGATCTTCCCCTCCGTTTCCCTGTTGTGAGTGAGACAGGAGAGGATAAAAGAGAGAAAGTGGTATGCGTCATAAGAGAAACATAGAGAACATTCTATAGGGAACTGGAAGAGAACTGACCATACCTGGAATAGGGAGTAGGCTCAGACAGGGCTTTTCAGGTGGCATTTGAATTGGGCTTGAAAGACGAGAGGGGCTTGGGTAGATGGTGCTGGGAGGCAGACACTGGGCTGGGACAACAGCAGAATCAAATGCGGAGAGGGAGGACCTGACGTTGTTTTCTGGAGTCAGCAAGTTAGGCTAGTATAAAAGGCATGTGAAGAAGGGTCTGGGTGATATGGCAGAAGGAACATAGGCTTTCAAATTCCAGGTGTGTCACTTAATGACTAGGCAACCTTGGGCAAAGTATTTAACCTTCTTGGGTTTCAGTGTCTTAATCTATAAAGTGGAATAGTAATTTCTAGGTTGCAGGTTTGTGAGTGTCTTAGGTTGGGTTCCCTAGGCTGAGAGGGAGATTCTTGTACAAGTGCTTCACTGAGGGAGAGCTTTCAGGCCAAGGGGAGCGAGGGAAGCAGAATGGCGCAGGGGAAAAAGTTCAGTGAAGATGCGGTCTCTGCTGGAGACTTGGCCTCAGCCTGATCTCACAGGGCTCTCGGGAGCATGATTTGTACCACAGAGTTGGTCACACTTTTGAGACAAGAGGACTGGCCTTTTGTACCCCTCTATTAGTCAGTCATTGGCTGTGGACTGCCCCGGAGGGTGGGGGCACTTAACCTCCTGGCTGAGGCACCTCCCATTTAGCCAAAGGTGGTGAAGAAGGAAGCGGCCGTTGGTCTTTAACGACTATGACTGAGGCAACTGGGAGATGGGTGGATCTGTCTGATAAAGCAGATCTGGGTAGAGACCCAGCAGCATCCGCTAGAGTAGGGGTTGGCAATCCTTTTCTGTAAAGGGTCTAACAATAAATAGTTTAGGGTTTGCGGGTCTCTGTTGCAACTACTCAGCTCTGCCATTGTGGCATGAAAGCAGCCATAGATAATACATAAACAAATTAGTGTGGCTGTGTTCTAATAAAACCTTATTTATCAAAACAGGTGGTCAGCCACAGGCCATACTTTACTGACTCCAGTACTAGAGTGAGGCTTAAAAATGAGTAAGTATACGTAAGTTTCCTAGCACAGGATCGTACATACAGTAGACATTAAATATATAGTAGCTATTCTTATAATTGTTTCAAAAGAGAATAGAGAAAAACCAAGTTAGAAAAGCAAGTCCTATGGGGGTGTATAAAGGAGGTTGAGTTTATTCTTGAGCAGTGGGGAGTCCTTATAGGGTGTTTTTCAGAGGGATGACATGGTCAGAGTGGTAGGAAAATTAATTTGGGAACCTAGTGAAATGTGAGCCCTACACTCACCTGAATGAAACTGCTCTTGCCAAGTTGAAAAAGACCACCACCTAATCGCCAAACGCAGACCTTATTTCTTTGGGCCACAGCAGCATTAGACAGCATTTATGAGTTGTCTTTGAAATGCCATTTCTCACTGGCTTCTGCACTGTCATCTTCTTCTGGACGTCTTTGACTTCTCTCTCTGTCATGTCCTCTGAATGATCTTCCTCTCTCCACTCTGTAAGTACTGGGATCTCTTAAGGCTTTGTCTTGGCCCTCTTTTCTTGCCACTCTTTGCCTGCATCGTGGGCCGTCACATCCATTCCTTGACTTACATGAAATGATTCCCGAATATCAATTTCCAGCCTCTCCTCCTCCTCCTTCTCTATCCTGGCTATACCAAATTTCCTGCAGTGTCCAGAATGCCACATTCTTTTCTCAAGACTTTCTCATTGAGCACTTCCAGGAATGTCAACCACTTGTCCCTCCCTGCCATCTACCTGGCAAACTCCCGAATGTTGATCAAGATCCAGATCGCTTATTTTATCCTCAGCTATGCCCTTCTCGGTGCTTCTAGGAAACTGTGCCTGCATTCACTCATTTTTATGCCCAAGGTCAGGTCTACTCATCACTTACAGAGTACCTGCCTCAGAGTTTTTGTAGTAGAAGACTCTGCTTATTTCCATTAGTCTGTGAGCAGGAGAACAGGATTCACCCGCCCGTAACTTTATATTGAGCACCTAGTACAGTTTCTAGGACATAAAAGGTAGGTCCTCAAAATTCATTGGTGAATAAATCTTGGAAAGATGATCCATGCTACCCAAATCCCATACAACTCTACTGTGATGACTAAATGAAATTCAGTGAGCTTCATTTTAATCTTGCCCATTTTTGTGCAGGATCAAGATGTGCACAAAGGTGACAATGGATGACTTCCTGACAGCCCACCATGAGATGGGACACATCCAGTATGACATGGCATATGCTGTACAACCCTACCTGCTAAGAAATGGAGCTAATGAAGGGTTCCATGAAGCTGTTGGGGAAATCATGTCACTTTCTGCAGCTACACCTAACCATCTGAAAGCCATTGGTCTTCTGCCACCTGATTTTTATGAAGACAGTGGTATGGACATTTTTTCAGGGCTTGTTTTTGGGATTCTTTAGTCAAATGTGGGCCAAGGTATTTATTTTCACGCGTAGGATATATATTAATTTTTTCCACATATAGTATAAGGTATATATGGGTAACTGGGAATTGCTACTGGTAAAAAAATTTTAAGTATGTATCACAACACGCCAACTTGTGGTTCTGTATCTTTGAAAAGGGCATAAGAGAGGTAACTGAATGAATGGCCTTGGGACTCCAAGAAACATCTAACAGAAGCTTTTTCAAAAGATGCTAAAACGAGCCCACAGAACTGAAATGGCTTTTTCAAGGTCACCTAGCTAATTAGTGTCAAGAGTTCTGACTAGATCCCTCTGGTTCTAGGTAAAAACGTTCCAAAATGTTAGACCTGGAACAGAATCTAAAAACTGTTCTGCAGAGGAAGAAAACTAAAGACAGGAGAGGGAAAGTAACTAGCTTGAGGTCAAAAAGCAATGTGAGAGAACCAGAACCAGAGCCCTGATCTAAAGCTTTCCCATAATATTATGCAAAGCAAAGTGTAAGTCAAAATTTGGGAATTCTTAAAGAACAGGTGGAAGAATATTAAGATTGGAAGGGACTGAAACATTTTGTTCATACAGCTGAATCATGAAGTTGCCCCTCCAACGCCCCCTCAGATCCATCTTTGCCTGAGGCAGCCTGTTTCTCTTTGGATGGCTTGGACTTGATGGAACACAATAAATGTTCAAGAGATCTAGAGTCTTCAGTGAGGATGCCATGGCTTTTGGTTCTTTTTTGTAAAAGGAGGACACTTAGAGTCAAATATGTTTTTCTCTTTCGTGTGTTTCTCTCCACTCATTTCAACTATTTGGGCCATAAACATCAGCTCTGCTGGCTGGAACGTTTGGTCAATGAGGTCAAGGTCATGAGCTCCATCCTCTTGTGGGCAATTCACTTTACCTTGATTTCTGGCTTCAGACCTTGGTAATCTCACAAGGATCTGGGAATAGGTCAGTGTAAACCTATCATCATTGCTGAAAAAGTTAGCATAGGCTCAGACCCAGTGGGGAATAGACAAGTAGTGCCATCCTCCCATGAAGGGAGCAACAAAGGAAAGGGAGTTCACGGTAATCACACCTGTTTCCTAATTTTAAAATATCATTCTCAAGTCAATTAACAGACAGTTATTTGTTTTTATCATTTTTGATATTCCCTGACAGCAGGCAAAGATAGTTGAATCACTAAGACAGTACTGTACTAGACATGGTTAAACCATTGGTTTAAAAAACTCCTACCTCTTTCCTTGGCTCTGCCTCTGATGTGCAAATAAGGTTAAACAAATAAGTTCCTTCGTTCCTTCTCTCCCTCCCTCCCTCTCTCTCTGTTCCTTTCTTCTTCCAAAAATATTTATTGAGCACATAGTACGTGCAAGACATTTTTCTAGACACTAGAGATAGGGTGGCGTGCCAAGCAGATAATATCCCCCGATTACATTTCAGTGAGCTTCATTTGCACACTAGAGATGAGCTCTACTGCCTTTTTATGTCACTAATAAAGGATAATGGGATAACACAATTTGTTAAAGCATTTTAAACCCAGGTAAGGAGGATGCCAGTACGTTTAAAGTACATTGTACTTCTTTTTTTATTGAAGTATAATTGACATACAATATCCTATTAGTTTCAGGTGTACATCACAGTGATTTAATATTTATATGCACTGTGAAATGATCAACATGTTAAGTCTAGTTACCATGTGTCACCATGCAGAGTTATTACAGTATTATTGACTATATTCCCCATGCTGTACGTGACATCCCCATGACATAATGATTTTATAACTGGAAGTTGTACCTCTTCATTCCCTCCACCTATTTTGCTCCCCCCTCATGACCACGAGTTTGTTTCCTGTACCTATGAGTCTGTTTCTATTTTGTCTTGTTTGCTCATTTGTTATGTTTTTTAGATTCCACATATGAGGGAAGTCATACAGTATTTGTCTTTCCCTGTCTGACTTATTTCACTTAGCGTAATAGCCTCTAGGTCCCTCTGTGTTGTTGTAAATGGCAAGATTCCATTATTTTTGTGGCTGAGTAATATTCCAGTGTGTGTGTGTGTATGTCACATCTCTTTATCCATTCACCTATCTATGAACAATTAGGTTGCTTCCATATCTTGGCTATTATAAATAATGCTGCAATGAACATATGGAGGTGCTTGTATCTCTTCAAATTAGTGTTTTCATTTTCTTTGGGTAAATACCTAGAAGTGGTTGCTGGATCATATGATAGTTCTATTTTTCTTTTTTTTTTTTTAAAAAGATTTTTTTTATTTTTTCCTTTTTCTCCCCAAAGCCCCCGGGTACATAGTTGTATATTCTTTGTTGTGGGTCCTTCTAGTTGTGGCATGTGGGACGCTGCCTCAGTGTGGTTTGATGAGCAGTGCCATGTCCACGCCCGGGATTCGAACCAACGAAACACTGAGCCGCCTGCAGCGGAGAGCGCGAACTTAACCACTAGGCCACGGGGCCAGCCCCAGTTCTATTTTTAATTTTTAAAGGAACCTCCATACTGTTTTTCCTAGTGGCTGCACCAGTTTATATTCCCACCAGCAGTGTACGAGGGTTCTCTTTTCTTCACATCCTCACCAACACTTGTTATTTTTTGTCTTTTTGATAATAGCTTTCTGACAGGTGAGAAGTGGTATCTCATTGTGGTTTTGATTTGAATTTCCCTGATGATTAGTGATGTTGAGCACCTTTTCATGTGTCTGTTGGCCATCCGTATGTCTTCTTTGGCAAAATGTCTATTCAAGTCCTCTGCCCATGTTTTAATCGGGTTGGTTTTTTATTGTACTTGTGATTATCCAGTGGATGGTTGCCTCCAGGGAGGCTTTTTTTCGTTTGCTTTTTTCCTCCCTGGTTTACTGGCTTTTGGCCACATCTGTTTAGTATTTGCTTATTTGACAAAGACTCACAGAGGGAATCATGAAGCACACACCGGGCTAGATATACAGTCTTGAATGAGACATGATCACTCACTGCCTTCATGGCGCTTACAAGAATAAACAGCATGACTGGGAAAGTAGATGAAATAGCCCTAATCAGCTCTGATGAGAAGTATAAGGAATGCAATTGAAACTAGTGAAAAAAATGAGGATTAGGAGTTACTTGTGGATTTATTCACCTGTTCTATCCAAGGCTTCACCCTACTCCAAAGCCCTTGGCTGAGAAAGTGAATATGTACATATTATTATGTCCACTGTCAATATTTCTCATGGAATCATCCTTATAGTAAGTATATTTGGGGAATAATATCTTGAGATTAGGAAATTTTCTGACACAAACATCCAATGTCATCCTCATCTTAATATTTATCCTTTTCCATTTTACTTTCAGAAACAGAAATAAACTTCCTCCTCAAACAAGCACTTACAATTGTTGGAACTCTACCGTTTACTTACATGTTAGAAAAGTGGAGGTGGATGGTCTTTAAGGGTGAAATTCCCAAAGAGGAGTGGATGAAAAAGTGGTGGGAGATGAAGTAAGTCAATGAACACGAAATCTGTAAACGTTTTCTCACGAGTTTGCTGTTTATTTAAAAGCATTTGGCTGGCCTGTATATATACACACACACATACATCACATCACGTATATAGTACCAGTATATGTATTTTATTGCCTGCAGGCTTCCTCTGACCCTTAGAACCCTCATGTGGCAGGAAGGACTGAGGAAATAATGCCACCCCATCAGCTCTTAACCAATACCTGATGGGAATTGGTGGATAAGTAATAAAATCAGCTTCCTTACCCTTTGCCGGGAGAATTCCGAGGTAGTGACTTGCTTGAAAACACCCTTTTTGGGGGCTGCTTTCCTTTCCCTGTGTCACTTCCTCATTCCTTTGCTAATGTGTCCTGGGATCATTTCCCAGGACCTTGTGTCAGGGTCTGCTTCTGTGAGAACTCAGTCTAAGACAACCGGGATTGGAGTTCTCAGAGAATTCTTCACAGTCAGAATAACTGGGATTTCAACAGCTAAATCTTGAAATCTGGTGATGTGGGGTTAAATATGGGAAAATGAGAGAGAAGTACGTTAGGCCAGGGGAATGCCATCACGCCACACACACGCACACACATACAGACACACACATATTAACAGCATCTTTTTAACTTAAGTCTCCATTTGGGTGCCTTCTCAGGTAACATTTCCTTGGCTCTGCCTCCTACCCAAGCAGGATTAGGTGACACTTCTTCTTATGCTCTATCTTCTTAAGTGTTGGGTCACCCGTTAAACTGTGATATTATTTAGGAAGTGAACAATTTATTCATTTTTATTTATCCTTTTATCCTCTCTTTTAAACAAAAATACTAATCTACATTTTAGGCACAGCACTGGGGAGCCAATGCTGATGATTTTAGACCTTCTCCTTGACTTCAAAGAATTTTTAGTCCATGGAGGGATATGGAAAATGAAACTACTGCAATGTGTTGTGTTGCGATGAGAGGGTATAGGGATCCATGAGCATCCACAGGGAGATCCAAGGCCCAATCTCGTGGGTCAGATGAGGGGAGGCATCTAAGTTGAGCTCTGAGAAAGATGTGGGAGATACCTAGGTATATGTAGAGGGGAACGGAGAGAATTCCAAGCCAGAGAGAGCCTGGAACATTTGGACAACAGATAGAGATCCCTTTCAATAGTTTCAGTACTACATTATTCATCACTGTATCCCAAGTGCCTTGCACAGTGTGCCTGGCACATGCAGATATGAAATAAATAGGTTTGGGATGGAAGAATTACAAAAGAAGACAGAAAGGAAGGAAGAAAGAGAGAGAGAGATAGAAAAGAAATCTTCTCCCTACCATGTATTAGTCAGACTCCTGCCAATTATTTTTCTTTGTTTTTCTTATTTTTCCTTTTCGTAGTGAAGATCTACCTACGTAACATTCAGCCTCATATCCGTAAGTTTAAGTCAGTGCCACTCTTCTGCCAAGATTCTCTGTTAACTTAAATCCTACTTGGGAGGAAGGAGGCAGCATCTGTAATAACTGTTTCTAGCGTTTGAGTGTTACTGAAATTGTGTCTATAATGATCCCACAATCAGAAAGGACAAATGTATTAAGTTTAAACAATGCCAAATAAATGGTTTCTCTACCTTTTTTTCTTATCGAATTACTTTTTGATCCCTTTTAGTTTATCTTTAAAGGTACATGGAATCAGACCCTTAAAATGATTCACTAATGCATTAATTACTCCATTCATTCAACAAATATACATGAAGTCTTTCCTTAGCATTAAGCACTGTTTGGCACTGGAACTATAAAGAAGAGCAAGACACAGCCTTGCTCTCTAGGACCTCAGGTCTACAGGGCAAGAAGGAGCTGTATGAGAATCATTATAAAATGGAGAGAGAAGTGGGAAGGAAGGCGCAGCTAGAGAAGCCAAAGGAGCTGGAGGGCTTCACTTGCTGGCAGGTGGGTGGGATCAGGGGGAGGCCTCACAGAGCAGGGGACATTTGAGCTAGCCTTGAAGAATAAGTAAAGTTTCCACTTTAGAAAATTCTGTCTGCCAGGAGCACATCAAGTGTAGTGCCAGAGAGAAATTGTGAGCACTTTCACTGTACATTTTTGGCCATGCAATGCACTTTATTAAATTAGTGTTTTGAAGACATAACTATTTTTCCAATAGTATATTCTAGCTGAATTTAAAAAGGAAGAGAGAACCACATAATGGGCTTTGTTCTGTAATTTTTTACACTGTTTCTATTTCACCTGACAACCAATTCCAGTATAAATGCCACTGGCTGATAAAGCTGCACTTAACCATGCCTTCTCATGATGCGTGACCCACGGCTGATGTATCTGCTTTTTTTCCCAAAGGCGAGAGATAGTCGGGGTAGTGGAACCTGTGCCCCATGATGAAACATACTGTGACCCCGCAGCTCTGTTCCATGTTGCTAATGATTACTCATTTATCCGGTAAATGACAGTTTTCTTTTTACTGTTTAGTTTCTATGGTTTGTAGACAGCTGTGCTAATGGCAAAGAAATAGGGATCTATGAAGTGAAGACTGAAATTTCTCTATCTCCACCCACCTCCCCCCAGAACCTCAAAATAGATGATCAATTTCAATTCAGTTTACCTCAACACGATTTATTGGGTTAAATAAAACTTGTGCAAAATCTCTTCTCCACTATCAAGGAGTCTATAGTATCCTTGGGAGAAATAAAGTATTTTTGTTTGTCTCCTTGTTACTGTCAGAGTTCAGAGTGATTGTAGTAGAAAGAGCGTTTTTTACTTGAAGTCCAAAAACCTATGTTCTTTACCTATTAGTTCCAGATCTTGAATTTGCTGAGCCTCAGTCTCCTTATTGATAAAGTGGAAATAATATTATTGACCTGCCATAAGGATTGCTTGGCATCATTATATGAAAGGGCTCTAAATCTGTAAAACACAATGCAAATGTAAGCTAAAATTTAACAAAATACTGCCGTTTCATCAGCTGATACAAAAATGCATGTGGGTTATGATGAGTCTGCAGGGTTCATGTTTGGGTCTTTCTGGAGAAAGAAATTTAACTAGTATCTCTTTGGTTACTAGGGCCTCAGAATTTAAATATATGCCCCAATCTATGACTCTACCACAGTAACTAAACATGGGACTGCTTTTCTGTTTCTTTATCTCTTTTACAGATATTACACAAGGACCATCTATCAATTCCAGTTTCAAGAAGCCCTTTGTCAAACAGCTAAACATGAAGGTCCCCTGCACAAATGTGATATCTCCAATTCCACTGAAGCTGGGCAGAAGCTGCTGTAAGAAATGCTTCAAAACAGTTGAAACTCTCCTATTATCATTTAATATCACTCCTCTCCATGCCTGTTTGAATTTGATTTCTTTGTTCTAAAAAGAAAATTTTTGGTCTCAAAGGGTCCTCATCCACAAGTTAAATGCTTATTTTGTGGTCACTCAGGAACCTAGACCATGTGAAGCCTGGACAGGGCACCTCCTCTCTCCATGCCATAACTACAGAGCTCCCTTTGTAGTAATTGGAAGGGAAGAGAGATTGAAGGATTAATCCATCCGTTAACACACCTTATTTTCTTATCTGCCAGGAGCAAACTTAGCCAAGCCAAAGAGGAGAAACTATAGATCATACATGTAAATATATGTACATCTGTAATTCCTCAAAAGGCCCTGAACCCGCCCTCCCCTTTTCTCATGTAGCCAAATGCTGAGCCTTGGAAAATCAGAACCCTGGACCTTAGCATTGGAACGTATTGTAGGAGTGAAGAATATGGATGTAAGACCACTGCTCAATTACTTTGAGCCCTTGTTTACCTGGCTGAAAGACCAGAACAAGAATTCTTTTGTGGGATGGAGCACCAACTGGAGTCCATGTGGGTACATCGAGTTGACACACTTTGAATCCCTCCCTTTCTGCTTCTCCTGGTCTTCTCTGGCCCCAGTGTTATGGGGCTGTGACATAGTATGTTCTCCCTCTGTGTAGACCCTGCTTCTGACTGTGCTATGGTGGCAGCTGCCATTTTATCTGGGAGGAAACACAATGTTTCTTGAGCACCTACTATGTACCAGGCACGGTGAAAACTGCTTCACACACACCCCCCCCTTCTCTTTCAAGTCTGCTTTATTAGCCTCATATTTAAAACAAAAGAGTATAGCAGTCCCCAACTGATTGTAATAAAATACTGCTCTTCAGAGATAAATACCTTTAACAATTTTAATGCTATTACAAATTTAATGCTATTCGTTCTGGCAGTTTCATATTTCTAAACAATGTGTTTATATTGTTATCTCTTTATTGGTCAGTTTTAGACATGCACTTCTGCCTACTCTTGCGCCTCTCTTTCTCATTCTCCCAATAAAGCTTTATCATAATTTTCGGTAAAGAAATCATCAATATTTACATCATTATGCCTGCAGAGCCAAGGAATCTATTATATCCTTTCTTACATGGCTTTTTGTTTGTCCTGAAGTTTCTACTGCCTCATTTTTTTGGCATGCTTAATTTGCTATCTATGTTGCATTCATCTTTTCCAACTATTCCAACATATCTATTCTTTTCAGTCTCATTTTTTCCTAAAGACTTCCCTCTTAGAGTCTTATGTCCTCCTCTCTCAATCTGGACCACAGTTTTCATCCTGAGTCGTCCCTTTGCCACTTTCCTGGGTTGAATCCACTCCTTCCTGGATTCCATGTCATCTTTCTTGGCTTACCTCTTGTTTTTGCCACAGCAGACTTTCTAAGCAAGAGCACGTGGGTTAGGAGGATCAACTGTTCCCCAAAGTGGCTTTAACCAAACCTTGGCTTTCATTCCCCTTGTTTTCAGTCTGATATCTTCTTTCCACCCCCTGCTGTACCTCAATCTCAAGCCTCTCTGGAATTCTCTGGGACTTTTTGGGTGTGTACCGCCTCTGTGTACACATTAGGCCATGGCTTCCTGACTCTTGAGAAAGCACTTACCCCTCCTCCATTACTTCTTATTTTCCAAAAGTGTGTTTATACCTTTTAAAAAATTCCTTTACTATCGCTTTAGTGGGATCTTGGGAGGGGAAGGAAATAAACACACATGGTAAATCTGTCATCTGTAACAACAGTCTTTGATTTCTCTTTGATCAGATGCTGACCAAAGCATCAAAGTGAGGATAAGCCTAAAATCAGCTCTTGGAGAAAAATCAGTGAGTATTCTGGACAGCACATCCATTACTTTTCAATGCACTCCCTTGAGCAGGACACAATAAGCCCATTCCAGTGTGATCCAAAGGATGAGAAGCCACACGGTTCTCTTAAAAGCTACAAGCCCCAGGTTCTGGCCTTTGGCTTTTGGGTTTTTTTAGTAACACATTCCTTATTGGATTGGCTATGTCTACTTTTTCCTTGTTACCTTGAAAGTGTTATGAAGATCAATGAGAAAACATCCAATCTTAAATATCAAATACCCACCCTCCCAATTCACTCTTTCCACCATTACTTGTATTTGAGGAAGAGGACATGGTTGTATTTTGAGAGATTTTTTGTTTTTAAAATTAGTGTTGGTACTTTTGTTTTGTTTTGTTTTAGTCAATTATCTATATCCCGGAAGCTTGTTAAAAACACAGAATCTTAGGCCCCCACCCTGGACTTGCTTAATCAGAATCTGCATTTTAACAAGCCCCCAGGTGATTTGTATACACAATAAAGACTGGAAAGGTCTGATTTAGAACACTGTTTCTCAAACCTGGCTGCACATTGGAGTCATATGGGGTGTTTAAAAAATCTGAATGCTTGAGTCCCACTCACAGAGATTCTGACTTAATTGCTCTGGGGTGTGGCATCAAGAGTTCTAAAAGCTCGCCAGGTGGCTCTAATCACAGCAAAATCTGAGAACCACTGACGTAGACATGCATTTTGGGATAACAAAACGTTTTACAGAAAATCACATTATTTACACCTTCATGTGAATTGCTTTAATCAGCTGTTGCTTTCTCCTAAGTACCTGTTTCAAGTTATCCAGTCTGAAGAAGTAGTGGCTTTGACTGGGAAAGAGGAGAGGAGAGGGTATTCTCAGGCAGATGGGGCTCAAAGGCCTGGGTAGGGGCATGGCACCCTGAAGGCTTTGCAGAATTAGACGACAACCGGGAACTATTGGATAAAATAGTTCAAGGTGCTACAGAAAATTGTTATTTGCATTGGATAGATCCAAAGATTGCAGTTCTACCCCCTTACTTTTCCTGGGGAGTTAAATATTGTCCAAGGCTCTACAGTAGTTGTAGTGTAATTTTCATAAATAAGTAAGACATCTGAATAGAAATAACATAGTAGAAGGAAAAAATGAACATTTAAGGAAGAAACAATAAAAATGGAGATGTCTCACTTCCCAAACTCTAAAAGTTCAAGTTCCTATTGTTAACAATCATTGAATGTCTGTGGGATTATTTCTCTTTCTGTCGTATTTTCATTAGCTCTTCCTTGGCCTAATAAATTTTAATTACTTTAAAGTATCGAGCAGATCAGGATCCTTTTCAATTATCTTCTTTTTTTCTTGACATTTGTCCCCATGTCCTCTTTCCATGCAGTGAGGGATTTGTAAATAGTCTTCAGAGGGTTTGATGGCGTAACGTTCTGAGGCCAATTCACTGAGCAACGGGCTGCTCTGATGAGACCAAAATCATACTTTTAGCAAACCTGCATACCAGGGCCAGTATGTCTGCCCAGTTCAAGCTATTTCATGGCAAAGTCCAACTGGATCTTTGGCATTATTTTCAGAACTCAGCCTTTAATTTTATTCATATATAGAAATAGTAACCAGAAGATTATTATTAGTAATATTAATAATATTATTACTATTAAAGCAACTTTCCCCAAAACCCCAGTGATATCAAGCTGAAGTGAATGCAACAATTCTTTTGTGAAATCTTGTAATTGTTTTTCCTAAAAGGGAAAGGAGAGACGCAAAATTTGTGCCATTCATTGATCTCTACTGCCAACTACTGGAGGAAAGAGTGAATGCTTTTCATAGACTATGCAAATACACATTCCTTTAGCACTGAAAGACAAGAACAAACAAATTACCTTGTTGTTTACAAAATTATTTTTTCCTTGGATCTCAAGTTTCTTCTTCTTTTGCACTTACGCATATCTGAGAACTTACTATAAAAATAGTAAAAACTCAGCATATTTGTCTACAATATATGGACATTTTAACCAAAACCCATGAATCGCATGACTCCCATCTATAAACCTGCCCTTAGGGTGTTTATTTCAGCTTACATCAAACTAAAGTAAAAGGGTCAGTGACCTCAGTGGGTTCTTAAAGCGTGGTTTCCTGACGAGCAGCATTAGCACCACATGGGAGGTTGTTAGAGCTGAAAATTCTTGGATCTCTTCCGAGACATTCTGAATGAGAAACTCTGAGGGTGGGACCCAGTATTCAGTGGTTTAACAAGTCCGCCAGGTGATGCTGATGCATACTCAAGTTGGAGGTCACTGACTTAATAAATAGCAAGAATCTTAGGAATATTGGAAAACTTAAAAATAATGCTTGTGGAATATCAGGTTTTGAATGTATCCTATGATCCCCACTGAGCAGTGTTTTTCTTTCGAATTTGCAGTATGAATGGAATGACAATGAAATGTACTTGTTCCAGTCATCTGTTGCATATGCCATGAGAGTGTATTTTTTAAAAGCCAAAAACCAGACAATTCTTTTTGGGTAAGTTGAGTTGCTGTGCTCTCAAGTTACTCCAACCAGTACTTCTCTTAGTCTTGGGTCTGAGAAGATGTTATGCTTAAACTTTAATTCAAGTGAAATTAAGAGAAAACTCCTAATAACTTATAAACTCCTTTGATATCTTGGAATTTGGGCCCTCTATTTAGGGATGATTGTGGCTTATTTGACTTGTAAACTGCAAGAGCATTGTTTCTATGAAAAGGCCCTCCCCTCTCCTCTCCTCTCCCCTCCCCTCTTTTTCTCCTCCCCTCTCTCCTCCCCTTCCATCTCTTCTTTTCCTCCCGCTCCCCTCTCCCTAATGCTCTCATCCACCCTCTGCACTGAAAGAAAAAGGCAGAAATCTCTGCCTTCGTTGAGCTTATATTCTAATACATATGTTTTATGTGTGTGTTACAGACAATCAACAAAATATACAAGTGAAATATGGCAGAATTAGATGGTAATAAGTGCTAGGGAGAAAAATACAAGTGGAAAGGGGCTAGAGAGTTCTGGTATATATGTGTATAGAGTTCCATTTTTAGCTAAAATGATCAGAAAAGGCCTAATTAATATTTGAGCAAATGTCTAAAACAGGAGAGAGAGCCAGCAATGCAGACAATGGGGGAAAATGTTTCAGTTGGGGGAAAAAAGCAGGTAGAAGGAATGAATATCCTTCACCTGTTGAAGGAATGAATATCTTTCACTTGTTGAAGGAACAGCAAGGAGGCCAGTGTGGCTGGAGCAGAGTGAGCTAACAGAAGACAAGTGAGATGTGGTCAGGGTGGGACTGCGGGATGGGAAGGGGAGCAGAAAGTTCACATAGACCTCACAAGCCATTCTAATGACTTTGGCTTTTATTCTGAGTGAGGAGGGCCGTAAGCCACAGGATCTGCCTTGGGTTTTATTGGAATCACTCTGGCAGCTGTCAGAGCACAGTCTTGTCACATTGTGTTGTAAAGCCCACTCCTTACCCTCGCCCATGGGTGTATCATTAGTTTTTACTGGGTGGGGCAAGGTTGGAGGATGTAAACACACCACCTCTGTCCATGGTACTGAGCCATTGCAGCCCACCTTGTTTTTTATCACAATCCTGGGTCACCAATGATTCCTCGCTGAGTCTCCTGTTGCTTTCGGCTTGAAATTTTTCTTATCACTGAAAAAAAAAAATGTGTTCTTATATGGTGGCAGAAAAGGTAGTGCCAAGACTTGCTGCCACACCTTACATAGTTGAGTTCATGTGCTTTGGGCAGTGTTAAAGGTTTTTGGACAATTACATCCTTCCGTTGTTTGACCTACCCCATGTCTCTCTACCCTGTGATCCTCCCCCTAATCTCCTTTTCACCAGCAGAAATCTTCATTCTCTTTACTGTGTCCTCTGTGCCACAACAGAAAATGTTCCTTTCGTTTCTCCACAGGGAGGAGGACGTGTGGGTGAGTGATTTGAAACCAAGAATCTCTTTCAACTTCTTTGTCACTTCACCTAAAAATGCATCTGACATCATTCCTAGAACTGATGTTGAAGAGGCCATCAGGTGATATTTTACTTTAAAACAAGCTATATAAGAGGGAGGGGGTTAACAAATGCAACAACAAAAATAACTAACATTTAGTGTGCTCTTACTGTGTGCTAGGCACTGTTGAGTCATTTACATGTTTTACCTCATCTTAAAAACTTGGGTTTTAATTCCAGAAGGATCTCATGGCAAGGGAATTGTCTTGATTTGGGTTCCTCCAGATACAGGCCCTTGGACAAGGATTTGAATCTAAGTAGTTTATTTGGGAGGTGATCACAAGAAACACTGATAGAGAAATATAGACATGAGACAGAGAATGGAAGGAATATCATAAACGACATGTTGTCAAGCAAGTTACCACTGTGAACAACTAGAGCTCCATTCTGCTGGGGAATTCTGGGAGACTGTAGAATATGCACCTTAATTTTAAAAAAAAATCTTTTTTATGCTTTTTTTGGTGAGGAAGATTGGCCCTGAGCTAACATCTTTTGCCAATCTTTCTCTTTTTTTTTCTCCCCAAAGTCCCGGGACATAGTTGTATATCCTAGTTGTACATCCTTCTAGTTCATTTATGTGGGACACCGCCTCAGCATGTCTTCACAAGCAGTGCTAGGTCCGCGCCCAGGATCTGAACTGGTGAACCCTGGGCCACTGAAGTGGAGCATGTGAACTTAACCACTACGCCACCGGGCTAGCCCCTAGAATATGTACGTTAATTGTCTCATTAGAGCTGGGGTATTTATTCACCACCTCCTGTCAGTCACTGGTTGAGAACTGCCTTACAGGTGACATTAATTCCCCAGCATTTCTGGCCTGCAGGCAGGACAGAATCTTGTGGCCTGAGAATGCTCTCAGGCAAAGACAGCAGGTACTGGCTGAAGAAAGTCTGGCCAGCAGGCATGGAAAATGGTAAGTGCAGAAGGGACATGGGCAGATATTGCCATCATTTGCTGAAGGGACTTTGGTGTAGGATTCACTTAGCTAACCAAAGGACTTTTGAAACAAGGTAGGCAAGAATAGGATTCCTTAGACACTAGGAGAGGGACTTGCTATTGGCAATGGGTGTTTAGAAGGAACAGTTTGCCCAGTTTGCCTCAGCTCTTTCCCAAAACAACAAGAGTGAGGAATGGATAGATGTAGATGGTTCCCCTTGTCATTAAAAAAGGCCTAAAATATCCACTGCTACGGGGAAGCTCACTAGGTGGCCCTCTTGAGCTGCTGTTCATCTTTGGAAGCAGAAGTAAGATCTGCTGGGCAGAGTGTGCCTAGAAAATCTGGCTTAGTTGGGGTGTACAGCCCAACCATACCCAGAGACTCACTGAATGCCTCCAAATGACTTGTCTCTGTCTGGGGGGAAAAGTGCCAGCTGAGATCATCAGGAAAGAGCCAAGCCTTCCTGCAAGCTGCAGGGGACTTCAAACTTCCTGTTTCCAGAATTACTTGAGACACTTTCAGGCTAAGCTTGCCAGGGGTTACATGGCTAATTCTGCTTTGACCTCTCTCCTTCTCTGGGTGCACTCTGACCTCCTAACCTGCGCTATACCCAAGGGTAGGAAGATGGGATGTCAGACACTTTGGTTTTCAATCCAGAATATTCTTTATTTCACTATTTTTTGTTTTGTTTTAAAAACAATCTTCATCCTTTTTTCCTCTATAAAATTCAGCCATATCCCATCCCAGGGCTGGAGAAATTGGCAAAGGCCCTTTTCCTGTGGTCCTCCCCAGTGCTGCCTCCAAATCTCAACGCCTTTCATTTGGAAAATACAATTGTTGTGACTTGGGTATAGGACCTGATTCATTTATTTGTAGATGAGGTATATCCAATCGTCCTTTCCATCATTTGACATAAAGTCATATTCTAAGAGAAGGGAAATTCTTGCCAAATATGCTAACTTTGCCTTTACAACACAGTAGTCATAAATGAGCAAATGCCAACCACTTGCACATTTCCACACTCGCAACCCAATTTTCCAATGAAGCTGTTGCCAAACCTAATCTAGGATGCAAGATATGAAAGGTGCATCATTATCAAAACTCATATCTTTCATTGGACCTGGTTATGTACTTTGATTTCGTTGCTATTTTAGGTGTACATTCTTAGGATAAGCCTTATCAAATCCTTTCTGGAACAATGATATAAGGAGTAAATTTTATTTTGCCTAAGTGTTTTTCTTTTGGGAATAGGATGTCCCGGAGCCGTATCAATGATGCTTTCCGCCTGGATGACAACACCTTGGAGTTTCTGGGTATTCAGCCGACACTGGGACCCCCTTACCAGCCACCTGTTACTGTATGGCTGATTGCTTTTGGGGTTGTGATGGGCCTGGTAGTGGTTGGTATTGTCGTACTCATCGCCACCGGCATCAGAGGTCGAAGGAAGTAAGTCACCTTTCCTAGACTTCTCTATCCTAAAACAGAAAGGTTTAGTGAAAACTAACCTGAAAATTTGCAGTAAGTGGTAGGTTGTACAAACCAAAAACTTATTTGAACAATTTTGTACCTAAATATCGTGATGAATCCCCTAGAAATTTACCAGATTTCATCAGAACTTCACCTTCCTAGCAAGCCATACCATGCAGTAGATGTCCAGCCTGGGGGTTACTACTATGCCCTGGTAAACTCCATCTTGGCCACAGCATCATTTCCCCGACTGCCAAGAGGCACTGCAAACTCAGCAAGGGTGGGCAGCCTCAGGGGATTATCCTTACTGATGAGTCCTCCTTGGTCTATAAGTGACCCTAAAGACTGGATTGGTGATGGGTTTGAACTGTGAAATAATTCAAAATTGAGTTCTGAGATTTGCTTCGAGCTGCTACTCTTTAATCATCTTCATTCCTCCTCAGATAGCCCTGACTCCCTATCATCTCCTTAGTTCATGGGTCAGGCACTCTTTAATTTGTTCTTGAGTTGAAGATCCAAGTTCACTGAGGATTTAAATCCCTAGAGACCTGATTTATAGTCTTGCTCTGCCACTAGATTTTTCTTTTCTTTTCTTTTGCAGGGAAGATTGGCCCTGAGCTAACATCTGTTGCCAATCTTCTCTTTTTTTTCCTCCTCAAAGCCCTAGTGCACAGTTGTATATCCTAGTTGTAAGTCCTTCTAGTTCTTTTAAGCGAGCCACCACCACAGCATGGCAACTGACAGACAGGTGGTGTAGTTCTGTGACTGGGAAGTGAACCTGGGCCACTGAAGCAGTGACAGTGCTGAACTTTAACCCCTAGGCCATCAGGGCTGGCTCTGCCACTAGATTTTTCTTTTCTGACCCTAAGAAATCATTTACTTTTTTGCACTTATGTAATTAAGGTTAATAATATGTTATAGAACCTAACAAAACCCTATACACACTTCAGGTTGTTTAATCATGTTCTTGATTGAATTTTTACATGCACTAGTCTATTTTGCTCCATTTTCTACACTATAGAAATTTTTAGTCCCCCCAAATAGCTTCATTTAAAAAAATTAGGCATTGAATAGAATACATCCACATGGTTAAAATTTTAAAAATACAAAAGGATACATAGAGTCTCCCCGTCACTCTTTGCCTCCAAGCTCCCTTCCCAAAGCCAACCAGATTGATCAGTTTCTTGGAGACCTGGTGAATCAGAAGTTTCATTTCAGCAAGACCCCAGGTGATTCATATGCACATTACAGTTTGAGAAGCACTGTTCTACATACTAAAAAGTTGCACATGAGATACTATTCCAAAGTTAATTCATTAAATAAATTATTTGAGGGCACCTCTTTCATGCCACACACTATGTTAATAGAAGGCACACAGACAAATAAGACTGGCTACCCTGCTCAGAACTTTCACACATTAAATACATTAATGTTCTCAGCAAATTTACGATGTAAATAGGTAATTATCTTCATTTATATATAAAACTGAGATTCAGAGAGCCCAAGTAACTTTCTCAAGTTTACACAGCTGGTCAGTAACAGATTGGGATATCCACCCAGTTTCCAAAGCTGGTTGTTGTACTACAAAGCTGTCCTACCCTGATCTTTATTCTTTGGAAGTTGATAATTTATTAGGAAACTCTTTAAAATGAAGCAACTAGCTAAACAACCACTGAGTTGCTAAAAACAATAATAATGGTTAATATTTATTGAGGATTATATGCCAGGTACTGTGAGTGCTCTGCCAGCATTATTTCATTGCCTTCACATTGCCATCATTTTCTGAATAGGCAAACTGAGGCACAGAGGGCCCCTCTCTCTGACTCCAGAGCTCACACCCTAACCAGTCTCCTCCTCTCTGCCAGCCAAGGCGCCAACTAATCACAAGGCTAAAGAAGTGAATCCAATGCCCTCCAGGTGTTTATAGTCCATTAAGAGGGCACGGATATGCAAATGATACTCCAGTAATTAGATGCTGAAATGTAGAGGATGCCCGGGCCCAGTGGAGTCCAAGGGAGGTAGTGTCATTCTGACATCACTATATTAAGGTGACTTCACTTTTTAACAGGAAAAATCAAGCAAGAAGTGAAGAAAATCCTTACGCCTCTGTGGATTTGAGTAAAGGAGAAAATAATCCAGGATTCCAAAATGGCGATGATGTTCAGACTTCGTTTTAGACAAATCTGTTTTATTTCCTCTTGAGGTGATTTTGTCGTATGAAAATGTTAATTTCATGATACAGAAAATATGATATTATAAAGATGTCACTAAATATCAAAACTATGGCTCTGCTCAGGAAAAGTTGTCAAAGAAGACACGCCTGAGGAGAGGGCATCTTCACTTGCATTGCTTTTAATATTTATTTCTGCCTCAGAATTTGACTTCTCTTCTGTTTCCTAAAAGAGATTTTTTTCTATTCGAGAATAATAGGGAAAGTGTGTCTTTGGCCTCACAGGCTCTTCAGGGGTGACGGAAATGGAAATGTCTGTTGCATTGCTGGAGTTAAAAAAAAAAAAAGGTTGTATGGTGGGAAAAAGTGTTGGGGCCTTGTATGGAATCTGGACAGATCGCTTTTAGGGACAGTGCCCGTGAACTGATGGAGCTGCAGGGATTAAGAATGGCACACACTGTTCACTTCTATTTAATTCAAATGTGTAGGATGATACACTCTCTTCATGTAAACTTAACCTAAGTACTATAGCGATTTGCCCACAGTGATGATTGAACTGGACCATCCCTTCTTCAGGGTGACAGGTCTAAAGAAGAGAGAAGAATCCGGAGAACAGTTAGAGGACATTGACTTCTGGCTTCCAAGCTGCTTAATCATTGTTTCCCTGACAACATAAAATTAGCCCCAGGGCCCTCCATGCCTCCGCCAGGGCACACCTGATAGAAACTCACTTACATTGTCCTCTAACTGGGGAGTGAATGGAAATCCCAACTGAAAGTCACCCTCTGAAGTAGGCACCCAATCTCTTAAATCTTTTGTATTTATTCACAATGTTTGAGTAGTACTGAGCACAAAGCAGATACTCAATAAATATTCACTAGATTTACACACTCCTGTGGTCTCATGTGTGCTTATGTGCTGGGGCTTCTGTGGTTTCTGTCTACTTTTCACTTCCAGGAACAAAGTTGCTGTCTGACTTCCCGGGGACACGACCTCCCAAATGTCTTCAAATGTATCCTAATTTCTTAAATTCCTTTATTGTACAAAGCAGTTGTAAAATCAATCCAAAAAGAGTTGTGTTAAGATTGTATACACCATCAGCTTAGAAACCAAACCTGATACTGCTTTTACATATCTCAGAGCCCCCAGCCCAGTTCTGACTATAGCATCCGTTACATACCTGAAGACTGATTTAAAATAGATTAAAATATTGAAATTCTACCCATCAACTTACTCTGTGTGCTGACCAGCATAATGTTAGAGCAACTTTGTGCTTAATAAATTCTATAGAGATAATAGTAATGGTGGATCAGTTAGCCAAGTCAGGGGAAGATGACCTTTTTCTTCACTTCCAAGAGAGTACAGGCAGGCCTCTGGTTAAAAACGACAATAAATGCCAGAAATCACCACTAAACACAGTTTAACAGCATTTTAAAAATTATTATGCATGTTTTAAAATAGTATGAAGACCGTTCCTTTACTTGGCTTCTCCTGGCTTCACTGAACTTATTTTCTGATAAACCTCTACTGGTACCTTAATATCTTGCTTGAACTTGATTTTTGAAGCCAGGTTTCTAAGCAAGGCTTTGGCTTCTTTTCATAGAGAGACAATTCTATATTGTTTGAATTTTCGCAACAACCATGTATTACTTTAGTTACAAAGAGGATTATTTTTAGGAGATCAAGTATATAAAAATAAGGAGAAGAAAGGAAAACAATCTTCAAGGGGGGCGGGGTCCAGGAACACCTAGTTCGAGCTGAGAAATCTTTCTCTGGGGCGTTAACTGTCTGAGGTACATGTCCCTGGTGGACAGGATCAGAGAGAGCAGCAAAGGCTGGCACCGCCACCTGACTGTGGGCCCATCGAGGGGGAGGGCTGTGTCACTTGTTCCTTCTCTTCCTTTGGGTAGGAAAGAACCTGGCACACAAGACACCCTAAAGAAATGCTTGCTGAATATATAAATACCCTAATGGTTATTTTGAAAGTTCCATTTCATTATAAATTGAGATTTGTGTACCTGTGTAAAAAATAGAAGGCTGGTATCATAAGTCAATTCTGCTGAATTTAAAGAAATCATTATTTAAATGTCAAGAAGCAAATAACCAAGAGGGATCTTTCGAAATAGCTGGGGGATGAGGGAGTGAGTGAGATGAGGGAGGGCGTGAATGTCTCTGAAGGGAAATTACTAACTTATATCTAGAAAATAGTAGCGGGGCTTACGTAGGGCGTCTTTTCATTTTAACAGTGCCCTCCACATCACCCTTCTCTTTCTCTTCATGACGTTATAGAAATGACAATGAAGTACTCCAAAACAGAGTAAAACCTACGGGTTCCGCAGCCGGCGTGAAGGAAGGCATTCCCAGGAACGGTTTTAAAGCTAAAGTACCTTTGAGTAATAGCCATGAGAAGCTAAAATAGTACTTTTGTACTTTCGTGTCAAAATAGAAGACTGAAATAGAAACTGCAGTTATCAAACTAGCCAGAAGCCCCAGAGCCCTAAACTCAAGGATTGAAAATGATTAGAAAGCAACGATCTAATCAATTCTAGATATAAGTTCATGGTTGCACTTGTGTTGAGATTGGTAACAGTTAAGGTTAAGGAAAAAGACATCAAGTTATACCTTAGCATCTTTTGAAATATGCTCTGCGTGAAACAAGGTTGCTACATTATTGAATAATATAATTTAACTTTAGTTTTTTATTTGTGTACATGGTGACGTAAAAAGTCATTGTTCTAATCCAGATGTCAGAGGAGAATTGTGTCATTTGGATTGGATTATGGACCACCTAATGATGCTCACCACATGATGAGGTCCCCTAGGGCAGTTTGGCCTGACTACACGGGGACATGTGACAACTTGTTAAAAATTCAGATTCTCAGGCTGCACTCAGACCTGCTCTACCAGAATCTCTGGGGTAGTTCCAGGAATCGTGTTTTAATAAACTCTCCATTTGATTCTCATGCATGCTAAAGATTCAGAACATTGAAACATCACGGCAAGTGTCCACCTTTCTGTACTCGATAATAGTATATTTAATTATCATGAGAGTGACAATTAAAGAAAAGAACAAATATCCAACAAATAATTTTTCAATTCTGCTCAATCTTTGCACACGGTACACACCCTCTTTCTATTGCAATCAGAAAATGTGCTTCTGCTACAGGCTGGGGAGTGTAATATTAAGAGCAGCATAAACAAAATTACTAATTAGACCTAAATTTCACGGAAATCTTTTGTTTCCTACCTTGTTCATTTCTAGATAAGATAATAGACAAACAGCACACAGAATACCATTAAGAAGAACTAGCTAAATTACATTGTCTGTGCCTTGCTACTTTCCTTAAAAAGAATGAAAATGTTGGCCAACATGTACATTCATTCTCATCAGAGCTCCTAATTTCTTCTTCAAGGCTTGTCTTTTTCCCGAAGTGGTTCCATAGAAGATAGGAGTTGCTGAAATGTGGGACGCTTTTCTGGAAGCTAAATAAAAGAGAAACCCAATGGTTTAGTCTATGAAGGTTATGATTAAAAACATAAAATATAAAATGTTTTATACCTCAGTCCTAAAGCTAGTGACGTTTAAAATGTGGAAACTCTACAGACATTTCTACTAAAGAGAAAACTAGAGGCCTAAGAATTGGAAAAGAAAACATAGAAGTATTTTTTTTGCATAAGATATGACAGCAAACCTGGAAAAACCAAGAGAATCAATGATAGAACCAACCCAAGTATTAAGGAATTCGCCAGGAGACCAGTATATAAAATTAATATACAAAATCAATAGCCTTCATATGTACGTACAACCACTAATTTGAAGATATAATGGAAGAGAAAACCCCATTTACAATAGCAACAACACCAAAATAAAATACTAACAAAAATGCACCCCGTAAATGAGGAAAACTTTAAAACTCTGCTGAAAAATACAAATGTAGACTTGAAAAACATAGAAAAGCAAACGGTGCTTGTTCTGGAATAGGACAAATCAGTATCATAAAGATGTCAATTTCCCTAGGTTAGAATATAAACTAAATACAATCTCTAGTTCATAGATTTTTTTAAATATTCAAAAATAGCTGAGAAAACTATAAGGAAAGATGAGCAATGAGGGAGTGCTAGCCTACCTAGTGTTGAAACATGTTCTAAAATCTTTATAATTAAAACAATGCAGTGCTAGCACATGAATTGAGAACAGAGAACAGAGAAAGTCCCAAAATAAACCCAAATATGTATGGAAATTTCGTATAATGTTAGGGGGTATTTTGACACCATTAGATGCTATCTTATCCCTGAGGATAACATGGTCTTTAAAAAAATGGTGCTGCAACAACTGGGTAGGCATTTAGAAAACAAGATCTTTGAGTCTATCCTTTATACCATACACCAAAACAAACACCAACTAGATCAGAGACTTAAATGAAAAAGAATGAAACCAGAAAAGTACTAGAGGAAAATCTGACTGAATGCCATTATAATCTGGTGTGGGAAAGCCTATCTCTCACTCAGTTTTCAGAAGCAATAAAAGTAAACATTGATATAGTCAACTATACACTTTTTAAAAACTTTTGCACGGCAAAAACCACCATAAATTAAATCAAAAGATAAATGACAGACTGGGAGAAAATAATTACAACTTGTGTCACAGATAAAGTATTAATCTCTTTAATTTATAAGGGGATCTTTAAAATCGAGATGGGAGAAACAAAAACCTGATAGAAAAAGGGAAAAGACATGACATATAACTGTCAGAAAGATATACAAATGCCCTTAAAAATACACCTCACTCATAATGGAAGATGTACCTATGCAAGGTGCACTACAATGCCATTTCTCATCTGTCAGACTGGCAGGAATTCAGAAGCTTGACAATGGTTTGTGTTGGTGAGACTGTGGGATACTAGGCACATTGTTAGAGGGCCAACACCTGTGGAGAGGAATGTGCTACTTTTTTTAAAGACAGAAATGGAAACAAAAACACATATACGTACATGCGCCTTTTTATGCAAAGAAATATGGGAAAGGTAAATTGGCATCTAATGAAAATTGTGAATGTTCTTCCAAAAGTTGCAAAATAAAATATAAAGGGGAGACCAAAATGTACAGAATGCTCACTATATGCAGACCCTTCAACTGGGGATTGTCTCTATGCAAACCCCTCTCAAAGGATTCTGCCACAATTCACCCACTTTCCCGGACCAGCTGTGAAGAAGGAAGAAGGCAGTTGCTTCCTGTTCCGGGCACCCTGTCCATCTGACGGTGCAGTCATATCCCCAGGAGCTAGAGTGGGGAGGGCCAGGGAAGTTCCTGGCTTCAACTCAAAAACCCCTTGTCTGCTCCTCTTCTCCATCTGACAGGTGAGAGCAGTAAGTCAGCCTGATTGTGGGCAGTGATAGGTCTCTAACTCCCCTCTGACCCAGTCTGACCCTCTAGCTCTGCCTGGGGCTCTCAGCACCTCAGACATTACACTTGGGGTAAAAAGGGTGGGGCAGCCTTAAATAGTATTCAAAGCGCCGTAGGATGGGAAACCACGAAGCGTCCATACTCCAAGAGATAATTTAAGGCTAAACAATAAAATATTATTATGTGATGCAGTCAGCAACCCTTCCAAAGTGGGACTCTAGGCTCCAACACAAGAGATTAGCAACTCTTTAAGTCGTGTGCAGCAATTTATTCTGAGCACCATGCATAGCGCCTGGTGCATAGGTACTCTGTAAATATAACAACAGCAAACACTTAGAGTACTTACTGTGTACCAGGCACTGTTCTAAGGACTTTATAATACTAACTCATTCAATTCATACAATAATCCTATAGGTTAAGTACTATTTCATAGTGAAGCACAGAGAAGTTAGGAGGCTTGTACAAGGTCACACGGCTAGCATTCAATCCAGACATTCTGGTTCCAGAGTCTACATGCTTAACCACGACACCAATCTGCCTTTTACCAGTGAATGAATGAATGCATCAAAGCATGAATGCAGCATTAGGCCCCTTTGTCAATGAGGCGGTACCATATAATGGCTATGAGCTATGGGCTCTTAGATCAACGTTCTTAAAAGTCCTCTATTGTCATGTCACCCTCAAAAGCCTTCAGTGGCTCCCCATTGCCTATAGAAAGCAAAACTCGCCCTCCTCTCCCTGTCATTCACTCTACAGAATCTGGACCAGATCTACTCTTCCAAATGAATTTCCAGCCCTTCCAACGATAGCTATAGCCAAGCATCACGCGCATTCTTGCCTCTGCAACTTTGCCTGTGCTGCTCTCACCTGGACACCCTTTGACAATGTCTCCTCTCACACACCTCTGGACATTCTGCGTGGATTTCCTGACCTGGTCGGATAGTGATGCATTCAGCAGGCTGGTCTCCCTCTCCTTTGAACTCTTCTTGTACTCGCCTATGTTTCCATTCGGTATGTATAATTATAAACTGCTTGGTGTTCTCAGTCCCACAGTGTGCGTGTGTGTGTGTGTGTAAAGACTGAGTTTGGCGAGGGCAGAGATGGAGCCTCATACTTCCTTAACATCCCCCTTAGTTCTACAAGCATAGTAGATGCTTTGCAAATTAATCTCTGCAATTTCAGCTCCATGTCTACCCCCAAAGATACTCTTACTCTCTACCTGCATGGGATGCTTTTATTCAGCATTTGGGAGGCATGGGAAGAGAGGATGGAATGGTGTCCATTACATGTTCTCTACACATGGTTGTATGTTCTCTGTTACACATATTCTATTTGAGGAGAGACCCCATAGTGTGTGGATAAGAACCGGCACTCTGATACTAGCTAGCCTGCTTCTTAGCTGTGTGACCTTGGGCAAATCACTCAACCTCTTTGAGTCTCTGTCTCCTCCTCTGCTAGTTTTAGCCATAATAGTACCTACGTCATAGAGTGTTTCCTCATGGATAAGTGAGTTAATATTTATCAAGTTCTCAGAACAGTGCCAGACATAAGCTGTTTGTTAAATTTTTGGCATCTACGTTGCTTGTTTTGGATTACAGACACTTGAGGGCGGGGTCCCAGGCCCATTTCCACCTGCTCTGTAGCAGGTGCCTTCCCTCAAAAATGCTTTGCCCAGCGGTGACACAGCAACCAGCCTGGATGTGACTGGCACCCCTTCCAGCTCCCCCTGGTGGTGCACTTGCCTCGTGCCAGCAGCTGTACATGATCTGGTAGATGGTGTCTGATGCCAGTTGGGGCCGATAGAGCCTGTGGCCCTGGGAGACCTTCACAACCACCTGGGAGTTGTCATACAAGTCGTAGGGCTGCTTCCCCAGGCTGAATACTTCCCACATCAGGATCCCTGCACCGCACCAAGGGGTGGCCGGCAGACAAAGAGGAAAGAGAGCCAACATCAGAAGGGACAGAGTTTGTCAAGTGAGCTTCACGCGCCAGGTCAGGAAGGCTATGGGTCAGAGTGAGGGATCCTTGGGAAATGAGTCCTAGCAAAACGGGCACAGTATGGAAGGTGAGCCTGTACCATCATTTCTGGAGCCCAGGGCCTCTTCCCGATGTTCCCTGAGACCTGGATGCTTGTTCTTGCTGGTAAACAACCAGCAAGGGCAGCTGCAGAGGGAGCTACCTGGGACCAAGATTCTTGGACTGCTTCCCAGAGGCAGTTGGGGCTTCAGCCCACAGTGATGACCACCCAGCTCCCACCCTTAGGAGTGGTTGACTGAAGTCTTTGCCCTTTCTCTCACCCTGCTTGGGCAGTTGTGTGCAACGATTTCACTGCACAATCAAATCACCTCTCAGTGGAAATGTAAAGACAAAATCATTGACAACATTCCTCCTCTTCCTATTGCCACAATAGTTCATAATATGCTGTGGGTCTTTTGAGAATCTGATAAAAGCCATTGGCTCTCCCTCGGGAAAGTGAACACACAGTACTTCTGAGTTCCCTGTCTGGAGATTCACAGTGCCCCAACAAGGGCATCACAGACTCCAGGTTAGGAAACCGAGGTCCGGTCATGGTGGTTAAGAGAGTGGCATTTGGGGTCAGTCAGATGTGGCCTTTGAAGCCCAGTCCTGCCACAGATAGGCGGGGCAAGTTTCTTAACCCTTCTCAGCTCAGGTTCCCCATCTGTAATATGTGGATATTTGCACATCATAGAGTTGCCGTGAGGATTAAATAGGATACAACATGCAGAGCACTTACAAGAGCACCGGGACATTTTAACTGCTCCCTAAATGGTGGCCATTTGCTGTTCTACTGGCCGAGCCGGAGAATTTCAACAGTCAGCCAGTTTGAAAAGCTTGGAAAACCAGAAATACGTAAGAAGGAAGAAAATTGTTCTAGAATCATTACTGAATTACTACCTTCAACTCTTCTTTGACTTTAAGGGCTACAGATTTTACGTAAAATATTTACAATAAGGCAATATTACAAGCTGTTATGGCTGTATTTTTTTTAAACTTTCTAAAACAATCATCCAAAAGCATGTTGCCCCCTTCACAATTCTCTCTTTGCAAGGCTATCCACTTATCTCAAAAATAGTATCATTGCTTCAAATATCTGTGGGACTCCTCCCTGAGAATTGCTTTCAGAGGCCCTGGTTCATTTTGAATAACCTCATCGGGGACAAATTTTTAAGAATAGATTTAACTTTTGGAAACAGCCAGAAAATTTCTTTCATATCTTTCATAAGGCATATCCATTGATACAAGGAGACTTAAACTAATTTTGGCAAGTTAATCAGCACAAAATGACATAGATATTCACCAAAATGCTATCTTTGTGTTTTTTCCTTTTTCCATGTACATTGGATTATTTTTTTAATGAACAATACCACTTTTACAAAAGGAATAATTATTTTTAAAAATTGTGTCACCTAGAAAAATGAATGGCTACCTAAATTTTCCCTTTTTTCAGACAGTCTTTTGGATGTCACATAGAAAATCTAATTATGCTTATGGACTAAGACAGGCCAGAAACAGGTCTCAGTTGCATTTAATATATTCTGTAACTTTCTAATAATTGGGATTATTTATCCTAAATCCATCTGACAGTGGTTGTAAACAGGACTGACATTCCTCACCATGTAGAAAAATATCAGAAAATCTATAAAATCGCAATTTAAGAATTGTTTCTGTTTTCTAATTACTTTTATTAAATTTCAAAATAGATCTTTTAATAAAATAGAGGTCAGCAAAGTTTTTCTGTAAAAGGCCAGAGAGTAAGGATCTTAGGCTTTGCCGGTCACGCAGTATCAGTGGCAAATACCCTACTCTGCTGTTGCAGCGCAAAATCAGCCAGAGACAATACAGAAATGGATGGGCGTGGCCGTACTCCAGTAAAACTTTATTTACAGAAACAGGCCACTGGATTGGGTCCTGGGCTGTGGTTTGCTGACCACTGATCTAAACGATGAATTTTAACGAGGACACTAGTTGGAATTGGTATGGTCCAAAGAAAGCACTGAGTCACGTTTGGTGTTCACACCAGGCATGCCGAAAGAACCCATCAAGTCAGGAGGGAATGGTTGTCACAGCTGCCTTCTCACAGAAACTCGATGACTTCATTTTAAGCCCTTCAATGTTTCGGACTTCGCGCAAACTCGGTTTTAATTTTTAATGACTACTTTTTAAAAACTGTTTGAAATCTTCAGTGGAAGAGCTTTTATCCCCTATGATTTGATGAGAAGGTGCTAGCAGGATGCAGATTATACAATATGTGGCAGACATCTAACACCGACCCAAGAAAAGGTCATCACCATCTTCAATCTCTTGCTTGTCTCAGGCCACACAGGTAATTTCGTAACTGCTCAGAGCTTTTGCTAAAAATGGATGTTGCTGCTCTTGTGGTTTCCTGTTGTGGAAACCAGCTTATGCAATGGGGCTGGGGCCTGTGCGGCCACATTCTTACCAAATGCCCATACGTCTGACTTGCTGCTGTATTTGAAGTAGTGAAACACCTCTGGGGCTGACCACTTGACTGGAAACTTTGTTCCTACTGAACTGACATACTGGTCATCAAGAACATACCTGCAGGGAAGAATCAACATAGATCTTAAGCCACTTGGCTGTGCAAAATGGGAAGACCTCTGCTGGCCACCATTGTCTCCATGGCGGTACAGGCTGCTGAAGGACATAGAGCCATCCAGCCTCAGCCAAACGCCCCGGTTTTCTGGATCTTTTGCTTCCTTTCAATGTGCAAGCTTCACTAGAGGCTGATTACGACTTGTAATCTTTAAAAAATGATATCTAGGGGCCAGCCCCATGGCCAAGTGATTAAGTTCTCGCACTCCACTTTGGTGGTCCAGGGTTTCGCCGGTTTGGATCCTGGGCACAGTGCAGACATGACACCGCTCATCAGGCCATGCTGAGGCAGCATCCCACATGCTACAACTAGAAGGACCCACAACTAAAAATATACAACTATGTACCGGGGGGCTTTGGGGAGAAAAAGGAAAAATAAAATCTTTAAAAAAAAATCTAATTTTGAAAATACCAAAATCTGAAGGCAAAATGTTTAGTAAATATCAAAAACCACCAAAATGTAAAACTAAAAGCACTCAGAATCCCACCCCCAAAATAACCTGTAATTCTACCATTCAAGACACATTTTTGCTTGTATTTTCCAATCTTTTTTTTCTATATATAATTCGAACAAAATTGGGTTTCTGTTGCATTGCAGTTTGCTTTTATTTTTCTTCTAATGGCATATCAAGAACATTTTCCCCATATGGTCACATTTCTTCTGCAGCATCATGTTTATTAGCTGAATAGTATTCCCTCTGATGGATTAACATAACCTGCTTAACCATGTAAGTTGCTTCTAATCTTCTGTTATAAACAATGATGAAAAACAATATCCTATGGAGATATCAAGACCATAATATATTCAAAGATGTGCCCTATACTTTTGTCTGTAATAATGATAAAAATGGAAGCAACCTCAATGGCTATATGTTGAGGAGCAATTAAATATAAAATGGCAAATTAATGCAATAGAATAGTGTGCAGCCATGAAAAATGAGATAGTTCTATATTTATCAAAATAAAAAGATGCCCATGGTATATGGCTATGTGCAAAAGCAGGTATATATAATGTGATTCCATTTTTGTGGGAACAAACGGTAAGTGTACATATTTGTGTATATGACTGGGTATACATAGGAATAAGGTGTAAAAGGACATCCACCAAATGTGTTAGCAGTAGTTGGTCCCAGTGCTGAAAACGAAGTGAAGGGGTCAGGGGCAGATTCTACTTTTTACTTTATACACTATTGCTGTATTTCCTATAATAAGCATGTATTATTAATATAATTAACAGAGGGGAACCTTGTATATTTGCCCACAAAAAAGAACAACAAAATAACAACTCAACTCAAAAAAATAGGAAAATGAAAATTATGGAAACTGAAATTTTGGATACACTTTGTAGGAAACTTTACACACCAAAATGTGTTAGAGATATTTACTGTAATTAAAAATATCAGAAAAAGCTGATTTGGCAAATCATTCTTTGAAATATTAACAATCATAATAAATAAATAACACATTCATAGGATTATAGACAGCACCTTCCATACTTCCCTCCCCAGGCCCCCCTCAGCTTCTCAGACACCCGGAAACTACCCTGGCACCCCTGACTGGGTTCTGCTCATGGCTTAAAGCTCCCTTCAAACCATCAGGACCAAGTTAAGTCACAGGCATCTGAACGGTGGGACCATAGATCTTCATGACCAACAGGGCCTGGTGCATGGCCTCCAGGATGCCTTATTCAGAGCAAGACCTTGTGTCTCCCTTTTCCTAAGCTACAAAGAACTTGATGGTCTATTCCCTGGATGCTAGCATACCAGCCAACGTTCCTGCTTTGAGAACAAGGTGGGGATCAGTTCCCTTGTCCTGGGAGCTTCCCCTGCCCTAAGGAGCCATGAATAGCTTTTACTCTTGCGCTCCCGAGAGCTAGACATTTGGAGTGTCAGTGTAGGAGACTCAGTGTATGATGGTTGGAGTGATGGCAGGTAGCACACACCTAAAGGGATATCTTGCCAATATTGAGGGGTCCCAGAAGAGGAGCATTTCCTAATACTGAATTTTGGGGAAGACTTAAAAAAATAGATCCCCCTATAGTGTTTTAGAGCCATGTTGCTAAATATAGAGCTGGCCTTAGCCAACACTTCAGGTCTCTTTGAAACTGCATTATTCTTTCTCAGAATTATGTTGAATCAGCACAACTTTATAGGTGTATTTTGTCTCAACATTAGGGACATCTACTTGCCTTCTGGACTAAAATGTGAGCATATGAGGGCAGGGACTATCTGACATATCAGTATCTCCCACAGGCCCAGGTATCTAGTAGGCACCCAATAAATCTTTGTTGAATGGAAAGGCCAACATGTATGTCTTCATTTCCCATGTAAAATCATGAAAATTGACTCTGAGGCTTAAATAGCATGAGGATTCAGAATCAAGGAAACAGAATACTCTTTTAAACTGCTGTAAGAATCAAAATAATTTCTCCAAATCATGAAGTGGTGATAGAATGCTCACCAAGAGAATTTCCGAGTCTACTTCCATGTCTTACTTGGTGATACATAAAATGTAATGACACGACAACAAAATCTTTCCTAGTGGTAATGCTATGCCTATTTGAACATATATTGAGAAAAAAGCAGAAAGGGCTAAAGGAGCCTTGATTGAATTAAAAATATATGTAGCCAAATAATCTGGCTGTAGCATGTTATATTTAAATATTTAGGATCTCTCATGGAATTTATTCCTAAGTTTAGAAAATATTTATTAGAGTGTTAGAAGAACTAAAAGGGACTTTGGATGATTTCTGAAGAACAAGTCCATCTTACAGGTGAAGAAATGAGGTGAAACATGTTTCACAGGTAGTCAGAGGTAGTATGGGGGAGGGGATCCAGGTTTCCAAGGCCCTAATTCAGAGCAGATTCTACGCCCCCACAAAGTCTTCAATTATGATGGCATTTAGATGTGAATGGAAATCTCTCTTTCATAGGTTGCCCCTTTGGAGCCGGCTTACCTCGTCATTCCAAAGTCAGATACTTTCACAGAGAGATCACTGTCCACCAAGCAGTTCCGAGCCGCCTTTGGAGGAAAAACAAAATTACCAAGTAGTAAAAGTGACCAAGAATCCGATGTCAGAATCCAGCATTTTCCTTCTCTTTGGCAGAGTTCTCAGCAAAATCTAAGATTGCCTATCAAAAACCCAAATGTTGAGAAGCTGTCTTTTTTCCTTTGCAGTTTTCAATTTTTTGAAATGAAAATGTGCTTCCCTAAGTGTTTTCACCCAAGCATCCATCCTTGTCAAACAACATGAAAGGTATTTCACATTAAACACAGAACCTCAGCCCATCAACGAGAAGGGAAAAATTATTTCTAGGGGTTTCCTCTCCACCACTAGGATACCGTGCATTAAGAAGGGCTTTGAAGGCATGATGCTGCACTGAGACTCAGAGAATGCACTGGCCTGGTGTGCATGGCATGTTTGCTATTCAGGACAAGGAAATCTCTAAAGATAAGCACCAGTACATAGCAAGCTGAACAATCCCCACTCCCACCCTGACCCAAAGACACCAATTTTATTTCCTTTTTTTTTTCTTTTGTTTTTTCAGTTATCGTATTAAGTGACTGCTTTAGCACTAAGCCCTTCCCGGAGTAAAGGTCAACTTGGGTTTAAAGGTTCCGAGAAACACTAAACTGACCAAAGCCTTTCCTTTCCATCTGTTTTCCTTCATAGCACAATGCAACTACATAGATCTTGATGGCTTCTTTGACTCTTTCTGTACTTTAAATATTTTATTTTGAAATTGTGGTTTTCATTACAAAACTGTCATGTATTTAAGCAAGTCATAAGTAGGCAAAGTAAAAGTGAAGATGCCCTCCTTGCCATCCCTCCTGATGGCCCACTGCTGGAAGCGGGAACTGTGGATTGCTTTCTTTCCTTTCTTTGAGCTTCCAATGGCTTTGCTTACCAAGTCCCGATGTATGAACTGGTGCCTCTCCAAGAAGGCCATGCCTTCACAAACGTCATAGCACATTTCCAAGAGCTGGGAGGGTTCAAGTCCTTTACCATGACTCTTCAGGTAATTAAGCAAGCAGCCATTGGTTATATATTCAGTCACTATGTATATAGGGTATTTCTTTGAACACACTCCGTAGAATTTCACCAGCTTGGGATGGCTGAGTTTCCTAGAAACAACAGATTTTCAAAGTTCAGTACTGAATTTCCACACTCCATTTTCCAGATGTCCTGAGGAAGAATCATTCTCAGATTTTTGTTCATTTTAATTTCCCCCTTCTACTTGATCAGAGAAAGAGAGAGGAAAGTTTAGGATTTTATTTTGTGAGCGTTAGCCTTTGGAGGCAAACAGTGCTGCCTCACATTGGACATTGACAACCCCAGCAGCAGTTTAGCAGTTGCGGGGGCTGTGTTCAACTTACCTGCAGAGAATCAGGGAAGCAATGGTCTGTTGCCTCAGAAATCCTGTTTCGTCTCGTGGCACTTGAGAACTTCCATGACTGATTTGGAGGAAGCTATAGCGTAAGAGCAATCACTTCCATTTTAAAGCATCTAATTTTCATATCTAAGTATTTTATTCTAAAAAATTTGTTTCAGGGGCCAGCCTGGTGGTGCCGTGGTTAAGTTTGCACATTCTGCTTCAGCAGCCCGGGGTTCGCCGGTTTGGATCCTGGGTGTGGACCTACACACCGCTTGTCAAGCCACGCTGTGGTAGGTGTCCCACATATAAAGTAGAAGAAGATGGGCATGGATGTTAGCTCAGGGCCAGTCTTCCTCAGCAAAAAAGAGAAGGATTGCTGGCAGATATTAGCTCAGGGTTAATCTTCCTCAAAAATTAATTAATTAATTTAAAAAATAAAAATAATTGTTTGAGAATATGAAGGGCATAGGAAAAATGGAAATAGTTGCCATGTTAGGGAAGTGAGATTAGGCGTTATTTTTCTTTCTTTTAAAAAAATTCATTTTATATTATTGTTACATTATTCTTTCAATAATAAATTTAGAAAATAGTAACCACATGTCACAGCACTTCTGGTAGGTCATGATGGATGGACACTCAGCTATCATGATGTTCACCAACTTGTCCTTATGTGATTGATCTATTCTCAATAGATAGATTCAGGTAATTAAGGATGATTCTTTAATGTTCAGATGCGTAAAGTAAATCCAAATTTAACCTGTTAACTTGTAAACTTTTTAATAAATAAGGGTTTATGAAATATTTAGTTATTTTCTTCCTTCTTAGTTTAACTATAGGGACATGACTTATCATGTTACTCAAGGCAATGAGCTCAGTTATGTATCTTTCAGCAAGTTCAGAGACCTGCATGGTACTCAGCATTGCTCCCTTCAGAGGGAGGGCTTGTGGTGGGACAAAGGTCCACCACCCCATAAAAACTGTTTCTTGAGCAAATTCAGTCACTGACTGACAAGCTTATGGTGGGAACACCATGTCAACTGATATGTCCCACATGACAGGCCTCAGTTTCACCATTACATTTGGGATTTAACAATTTCCCCTTATGGTACAGTTTGACCTCTTTCGTTATGACTAAGTGATTTGGTAATGACTTTTTATGATTCTTTATGATTACCAGCTTAGTAATAGCAAAAAATATGTTTTAAAGTCACACCAGGACACAGGGGTTACACCATGAGCCTAAGGGAGTTTCAGCCAGATTTTTTTGTCCTACACAAAGAAGACATCAAGGGCCCTCTCCCCACTTTTATGACAGCACAATTGCCAAAGGCAGAACCAGCGACATAATTTGCAGGGACTAGTGCAAAATGAAAAGGCAGGGATTCCTGTTTAAGAATTATTAAGCATTTCAAGATGGTGACAGCACAGCATTAAACCAAGTGAAGAGCCCTTCAAAGTGTGGGGCCTCTCCACAGGGCAGGTTGCATGCCCATGAAGCCAGCCCCAGCCAAAGGCTTATATTCACATGGTACCTTTGCTTCCAAACAATTCTGCAATTGTGGTAAAAGTGATTGTTCTGATTCTCCTGGCACCTTTGGCCTTCATAAAGGAATGACTAAGGAAATGGACACTGGAATGTCTGCCCTGGTTTGCATCTCTGCTTTGCCGCTTTTACTAGCTTGGTGACCTTGGGCAAGTTATTTAACATTTCTGTGCTTCAGTTTCCTATAAAACAAAGATAACCATGGTACATCTCTCATAGGCTTCTTATGAGAACTGAATGTGTTAATATCTAGAAAGTGCTCGGAGAGATGCCTATAAATACTACCTAAATGTTTTAAGTAAAAATTTTTTAAAGTGCTATTATTCTGTAATGGGCTAGGATTTGTGATTTCAACTATCTTTGACCACAGTCCTGCTATAGCATTGTTTTCACATCATGCTGATCGGGTCCCGAAAAGTAGGATGACCAGCTGTGTCAGTTTACCTAGCACTGAGGGGTTTCTGGGATGCAGAACATTCAGCACTAAAACCAGGCAAGTCCCAGGAAAACCCGGATGATTGGTCACCCTTCAAAGTCTGATTCACATGTTGACAAAAAGAGGTAGAATCATCAAAATAATTCTTTGTGGGGCAGGCCCAGTGGCATAGTGGTTAAGTTCGTGCACTCCACTTCGGCAGCCTGAGGTTTGCAGGTTCGGATCCCAGGTGCAGACTTACACACAAGCCATGCTGTGGTGGTGTCCCACATACAAAATGGAGCAAGATTGGCACAGATGTTAGCTCAGTGACAATCTTCCTTAAGTGAAAAAAAGGAAGATTGGCAACAGATGTTAGCTCAGGGCCAATCTTCCTTACACACACACGATAATAATAATGACAATAATAATAATAATAATTCTTTGTACTTACATAGACGAGAGAGAGAGAGAAAGAACAGAGAAAGAGAACACATATGTATTGCCAAGAACTGAGGACAGTGCTTGGAGCTGAGGCCCATTAGGAAGGGCATCTTCACTTGTCAGGTGAGGAAAGAAGTAGGGTGAGAAAGGGATTTTTACCAGACTGTACTGAAGCTACCAGGAAGGAAAAGGATACTGTCCATAGGGCGTTAGTGTTCAGTATTGCTTTAGTCCTGGCCACTAGAGGCTCCTGCTCTTGGGCATGTGTTTTACAGGGCCCCACTCTGTTCCTCATCCCACTATGCACCTCCTCACAAGGCAAGGAGACCAAAGGGCCAAGAAGACATACCCACTCAGAACCTGTCCATCTCTTTCTCTATCACCCTCAGGGTACCAGGACTCTGGAATCCCCTGTCCACATGGTTCTGAGGCCTCTGCCAGGATCCGTGCAGACTCTTCCTAGGTCTGTCCCCCTAAGACTGAGCCATGCTGTTGAGATGCCTACCCCTAACCAAGATAATTAGCCAATAAATATTTATTTGCAGGAGACACAGGGAGTTTGGATGTACTGAATGCTGTGTCTGCCAATAAGTACTGAGTATAGGGCAGGATGGAGCTGGGGTTGGGAGGAGAAAAGACAGAAGTGGAGTTTGGGTGGAGGGGCACGGGCCAGAGGCTAGTTTCTCTAGAGTCTGAGAACTCTAAACTTGAATACAGCCTTTCAGGTTGTTATGAAGGTATACTTGTCAAAATAGGAGCATAGAACCGATTTTATTTAACAGTGTGTTAGCTTGTTTATAATTTCTATGTATTAATATCTATGATCTGTGGAGTCTTGCTCCAGGCGTTGTAAATATTAGGGACAGGACTGTTAGCATGAACGTCCTCTCACGGTGAGGGCTAAATTGTCATTCCTCAGAAGAAACTTACATCATGGTCTGGGCCTCCTGGAAGAATTCATCCTCTGACATGGAACCCTCCTTGATCATCTTAACAGCAACATCATACTCCCCCTTCCACTTGCCCAGATGGACCACTCCAAACTGGCCACTTCCCAGCTCCTTCAGCAGGGTAATCTCTTCTCTTTTCAGTTCCCAGAGTCCTAATAAGGCAAGACAGGCATTCTTTAGGATGGGAATAGAAGGCTTTGGGGCTAAAAGCTCTCCAAGAGATTTTCTCTCCAGTGAGAGTTTCCAATTGATAATATGAAGGATAGCAAGACTTTTTAAGTAGCCCACTTAAAAAAAAACCCTTAGTGATGTGGTCTTATGACCTATTAGACCACATGATAATGCCACCTGGACAATATTGTTCTTGAAGCAGCTATAGTTATTAACAAGAAAGCTCTGAGTAAAAACACTTTGCCAACTAGAGGCAACTTGGAAAGGTTCAGTGTCAAAATGTGCTCAATGCCCTTAGCCTGGTAAAACATTGTTACATTTTCTTATAAAACAAATTAAACCATGATCTGGGTGGATGTCATTATCCTAAATACTCAAGGTTGAAGACTGGTTCCCCTGAACAGGCACAGAATCCCGGAAGAAGAAAGGAGAGGCAATGGGGTTCTAGAGGCTGATGATTGGGTTTATCAAGAGGAAGAATTTGACAATCTTTTTGGTAATGCTGGGGAGATTGCAGATTTAGATTGGGAGGACAGAATAGAGTTTGTTTTTTTTTTTAAGAAAATGAACAAATACATTAGAGCTGAAGCCCTGCCTGGTACAACCTGAGCAGGGACCTCCTTCCTGTCTTCCCTCCTTTTTCAGTAAATTAACTATATATATATACATTTAACCAAAAATGGTGGGAAATGGAGTTTAAGAGCCCAAGAGTGTGTCCATACCACTTCCCAAGGACACGGAGATGGGAACCTTGTTGGCCTTGGTCGACACAGGGTGGCGGAGTCGTGTGATCATGCCTGCAATGGAATCAGCACCACATCATCACATCATCAAACCATATCACACCAGATTACATCCTAATGGTTCACACCTCTGCTTATGCTCCCTCCAGAGCAGCTGAAAAAGCGCAGAGTTCAGGTTGCTGTGATGCAGACAGAGAATCCATCCTGACCATATTCATCCCGTAGTTGTACTAATTTGTTTTTGACTAATTAGCTCAGTGTAAAGCAAAAATTCAAAGAGTAAAACCAATTTATTTGACTTCAAAAAAATCCCATCGAAGTTAGTTGCTTGATGGAATCTTTCATTTAAAAAATTTTCCCTTTTTTATTTTGCTATCTCCTTATAGTCCTATATTTAAATATGTAAACACACAGCACATACATTTGGCAAAAATCCAAACAATTTAGAAGGGTGCAAAATAAAAAGCAAACCCCTTGAATTTTTAAAAATTGAACACATTACTAAATTGCATTAAGTGGTAAAGGCATTTTATTTGTTTACATCAAGTTATGGTAAAGCTGGGTTAAAACAGTCATAGTATTTACAATGGCTTGAAAGAACTCATTCAAAAAAATATATTTCTTGCTTTAAATGTGTGACGTTTTCCAAGTCACGAGAACTACCACACATGTCCTTTTTTCCTCCTTCCTTTTCCTATATATTTGTTTACTTTTTATATGAGTAAATCCTGAACCTTTAATAGACCAAAAAAAATTAGTGCATTCCTCCAAAATATGTATATATACAATTACTGCTTAATTGATAAATTATGTGAATCATAAAATATACTCACAAATAGAAAATTTAAGAGAATGAAATCTAAAAAAACAAACCTAAATAAACACTTTAATATTTTCTTCCTGTACTCTGTGGAGTTTCTTGAGCATCCTCTGGAGTGGAATCATTCCACTTGGATATGTCTATTTATAAAATACCTTTTCCAAAGGGTACTTTTGAGGTGCTACAGGTTAAAATAAACAATCGAGGAAATTTAGACAAAGGAAAAATGCAAGAACCAAAATGAAAACCAGGAGTAAGGCCAATTCACCAATGTGCACGCAATCAGGTCGGATAGAGTTGCACAAATTCGACGCTGAGCCCACAGTTTATTTTAACGCATTGTTAGAAATTCATCCAGTCACTGCCCATAAGCGGCACTGTTCTAGAAAAGACATTTAGAAGGGATCTCTTTTTTCATTTCTTTTTTGTCCAGCGTTATTGAGATGTTATTGACATATAACATATGTAAATTTAAGGTGTACAATGTGATGATCTGATACATGTATATATTGAGAAATGATTACCACAATAAGGTTAGTTAATCTCCATTAGAATGTATTTCTATATACATTTTCACTAGGTGATTAGGCAAAATTTGAAAAGAGTAAAAGCACCCAGTGTTGGTGAGGATGAGGGAAATTGCTGTTGGTGGGAGCGTATATTTCTGAAAAGCATTTGACTATGTCTAAATTTTAAATGTTCTTAGCTATTACAAATTCCACTTCTAGGGAATTTGGCTACAGAAACACTCTTACAGGTACACAGAGCTACATGTGTAGGACCTTGCACTGAAACATCGGTGTATTGTGAAAATATCAATAGAGGGTTAGGTGAATAAATTATGGAGTAATTCTACAATAGAATTCTATGTAACTGTTAAGTAGAACAAAGTAAGCTATGTATATTTGCATGAAAAGACCTCTAAGACACATTGAATAAAGAAAGTAGGCTGTGGGGCCAGCCTGGTGGCGCAGCAGTTAAGTGTACATGTTCTGCTTTGGTGGCCCGGGGTTCGCCGGTTCGAATCCCGGGCACGGACATGGCACCACTTGGCAAGCCATGCTGTGGTAGGCGTCCTACATATAAAATAGAGGAAGACGGGTACGGATGTTAGCTCAGAGCCAGTCTTCTTCAGCAAAAAGAGGAGGACCAGCAGCAGTTAGCTCAGGGCTAGTCTTCCTCAAAAAAAAAAAAAAAAGAAAAGAAAGGCTGAAATGTAGTATGTGTTGAATGATCTCACCTCTGTAAAAATATAATGTGTATACCTACATATGCAAAATTTATCATTATATATATAATGACTAATAACTGTTAGTATCAGCATAGAAAAAAATTTTGTCAGAATAGACATCAACTTGTCCATGACGATTACCCTTCCAATGATATACATTTCTATTATGTTCAAATTTTGCAAACAAGTTACTTCTACAGGCAGAAAAAAACCTGCAAATATTTTTATAAAGAGAATCTCTATTTCTAAGTCACTCAACTCACTCAACTCCATTTTTTCTGGCATTATAGAGTACATAATGTTATATTCCAGGAAACGTAGGTGAAAAATCACAGCAGGCATAGGGCTTGAGAGCATTCTTTCCCTACTTTCATGGTTCCCTATATAATTGAAAATATTAAGAGGATCAGTAGTATCCAAGAAAAGTGATATTTATCAACAAGGACTTATAAAAGAAAAACTGAAAAAAAATTACCTGCTGAATTGTGTTGATGATAGTGAATAAGCTTTGGAATGGAATCAAAACAGTAGTTTTCTGCCAGGTACAATTTGTTCTCAGCATTTGTATGCACATGGTAATGTTTGACGGTTCCTTTCTTATCACTGGTAAGGAAGAAAGAATGTTAGACTTATTTTTTTTAATGTTAGTCGTTTTTAATAAACAATTGAAGCTTGATTAAACAATGGCTAAATAATTAATTTAGTTGCATTTGTAAATCTTGGATAGGGAAGTCAGAGACGGTTTCTCAGTGTGGGCATCTGGTGTTTTTCTGGAGGCAGCCATGACAATCAGGAATTATGGAAGGCAGCTCCTCTGAACTCAACCGATCCTTTGTGCACATACAGAATTCATGTATAACAAAATTCCAGCTCTCTGGACTGTTCCTTCCCTAGTAAGTCTAAAGCTGGAATCTTCCTTTGATGATCGAGAGCCCTGCAGTTCTTTACGATCATTATTCTGAACACCAATTCTCTTTTAGGATAATAATAGAGATAAAAATCTGGGAGGCAAAGGTGATTAGGCTGTGGGTGTTCTCACCCAGAACATGGATGGGAGGCCCTTTTGGGAGTGGAATATGCAAGATGAAGTGGGTTAGGATATCCTTTAATTCCTCAGGTGAACTTGTATCTTTTTTGTATGAAACACTTTTTTTCTTTTGCTCTACTTTTAGAAAATAGCGGTGAATTGATGCACATTGGTTTAGGCTGATCAGGAATGGTATGCCTGTTTTGGATTTCAGAGCATGGTATAGCGTCAAGAACCGGGCTTGACTCCAGTTCTACTGCCTGCTAGCTACCTCATCTGGGTGTTATAAAGATTGAATGAGATTATCTATATATCAGTTTGCACTATGCTTCATGCATAAGAAACTATTAATAAATTGTGTTGCTGTCATGCCAGCCTAGTTAAAACTGCAATTAGAAAAAAGAGAAAGGGTATTTCTCTTTGTTGCAAATGGCTACTTGGCTCTTGGTCTCAGCATGAGAGTCACTCAAGCCCATTGATGGTGTTTCATAAAAGACGGCTTCTGGATTCATTGATTGGGATTGTTTTAATGTGATTCCTCATATACTTGCTAATTTATCTATTTGACCACCTTCAAAAATGAGTTTCGTGTCAAGAAGCTTGACTAGGAGGACTTCCGGTATCAGGTTTGGCTGGAACTGCAGGGCCAGAGTGCCACAGAGATTTTGCCAGTCAGTGAACCAAGTCTTCTCCCGGTTCTTACGTGGTTGGCTTTAGCCAGCATCCAGGTGCGCAACCTAGCACATGAGATGCCCCTAGGATGTGGCTTTTGGCATTGGAGAACGTCATATGACCGCTTAGGATACATCCAATTACCTCACATTGGAGGTAGGTACCCTAAAAAAATTCTTGAAATAAAATAGCTTTTTAATTATTACAAAAATATATATATGCACCACAGGGCAGGGTACATGAAGAGGGCACCAAAGCAGAATGACCATTCAATTCCACCATTAAAAAAGGATCACACACATAGAAATATTTTCTTTCAAAAGATCATAATCAAGATTTGGCCAGATTCTTATTCCGAAACATTGGGAATTTCAGTGTAGAAACAGGAGTGTGGTTGAAGGAACATGAACTTGGCTGTTGAAGGCCAGGCTTCAAGTCAGTCATTTATGAGCTTTGCAGGCAGGTCTTTGTAAGCTCTCTGAACCTCAATCCTCTTATCTGTAAAATGGTGCAAATAAAAATAGCTTTCCTATTTGCTTTGCAGGATGATTAGAAGGAACAAAAGAACTAATAGCCAATGGGAAACTGGCTTGTAAAACTCTGGAGGGGGATCCTGATGTTGGTGACGATGACTTGCATGAGATGACTGTGGGTGTCTTACGTGCCTTAGTGTTGAGGTGGAGGTATTGGAGCAAGGAGAATTACTCTTTCTCAGCAACAGCAACAATAACAGTAATTGCTGTTAGTTTATTGAGTGCTTACTATGTGCCAGGCGCTGTTCTGATCCGATAGATGAATTAACTCGCTTCATTCATAGAAAATAATAATCATTATTATGTCCCCTTCCAGATGAGGAAGTTGAGGCACAGTGGTTAAGAAACTTCCTAAATGTCATAAAGCTCTGGAATGGTAGAGTCAGGATTTGGACCCAGAAGTACAGCTTCAAACCAGGCCTCTTAATCACAGAAAGAGGATAGCCCACTAGAAGGAAGCTGTCCAGGAACACAGCTACACTGATTTAACCTTCTGCTGACTCTGCCCCCACTGGAAAGACTCGCTAAAAACCAGACTCTGGGGTAGGTTTCTCAGCTCAGCAGGTGGCTCAGGCCAAGAGTGTAGAGGCTTCATTGCTGTTTTTCTCTCTTTCAGGCTTATGACTGAATCAAGGAAAATAACCCAGGATTTCTTTAGCAAATGTTTACTGAGGGGTGCTGTGCGCTGGGCACTCTGTTGCTGCCTGGGACAGGCAGGAGGGGATCAGCCACAGCACAGCCTCTTGGAAATTGTAGGGGAAAAGGCAACTGCAATGGTCACATCCAATAGAAATACTTTGATCCCAAATTCCAGGCTTTAAAGAAGATGTCTTACCCCAAAAATGTGACTAAGTGACAGGCATATTCAAAGAACATACTCAAAAGATAAAAGAAATAAATTCATGTCATACTTACTTCACAGCCTTACTAAATAAGGACACTGTGTACATTCCCGCCTGGCTGGAATTTCTAACCATAAACGCTCCTTCTTTTCCCTGAAAAGAAATGTAAATGCGGAAGGAACAGAAAACGTTTTCATTATTCTTGAAAACTATTTTTCTTGGTAGGTGGTAGGAAATTAGATCTTTTAGATCCACTTTAAATGTCATTGATGACACAGATTATCCAACAGTTGGCACAGAAGGGGACCCACGGTTTAGCTTTCCTCCTTTTCTCACTCAGTTTCTTTACAGTTCTACCCCGTGTGCCTCAACTTTTCTTTTCTAGTTAATTTTTAACCCTCTCTGGCAATTTTCTCTGTTTTGTGTTTGTGCAAGCCTAATGTTTTAATCTTTCAGAAATAAAATTTAAAACCGGATATCGCCTATCACGCTCTTTGAAGGTTTTAGAAAACCAAAGATGCAGAATAAATCATTTGTTAAAATTCTATGCTCGACTTGTCTTTCTTAATGACTTGAGCTAATTCTAAGCAGATCCAGCTTCAGAAAGAGCAGATAATAAACTATGAATGTGACCAAATACTGAGTTAGGTAGTGAAGTCATCACATTCTCACTAGTACCCCTCAAAGAAATAATGGGTGTGTTTTATTAGGTTGAACCATATCAAAGTGTCATTTTTGTAGGTCAGAAGTTTGCTCTTGGTAATTCCATACCAATTGGTAAGAAAATCAGGTTGATTTATCCCCTGTTACATCTGCTGTACTCTGGTTGAAGTCCTAATGAGCAGTGACAGAGCTGAGGTAGACTCTTACACAGATGGCCCCAATGAGTCATCTCTCTGTGTTCGTGCCCTGTGTAGTCCCCTCTCACGTTAACTCTGGGCTGGGCCACGTGACTTGCTTTGGTCAGTAGGATATTAGCAAACATGACAAAAGCAGAGACCAGATAAATGCTAGCACTGAACTGTGGGGCGTGTCCTCTTCAACCACTGTCTTGAGATCACCATGCTGGGAGGAAGCCCAAGTTAGCCACATGGAAAAGAATTATGGCACCCCGGTTGACTGCCTCAGCTGAACTCCACCCTCTTGTCAACCCACCAGCTAAATGCAGCCATGTGAGTGACCCTAAGCAAAACTTGCAGAAATGGTGAGAAATCATAAATCTTGTTTCAAGCCACTAAATTTTGAAGTGGCTTATTACACAGCAATAGATAATGGATCAGAGGAAGTGGCTATATGTGAAGGGCCTGGTATCTCATCTGCTGGATGACCAACGCTATGGTGACTTGACTATCGTTAGCAATAAAGTTTCTATGACAGGTGCACTATCCTCTGGGCCCAACAATAGAAAGAGATTCTTAAAGCCTATTTTAAAGACTAGATTATTTACCTTTTGTCTCAGTAACTGCTCAGATTGTGACCTGGAGATGTCACCTGCAAACCAGCTGCAATAAAAAGGAATTCCGTATTTGAGAATTAATAATTTTTAATTGCATAAGTTGTCATCAACTTTCTAATCTATAAAATGAGATGTTGGCCTAGATCAAGGGTTTCCAAACCTGGCTGCTCAAGAGAATCTCCTGAGGAGCTTTTCAAAAGTTCAGATTCCTAAGTCTCCATCACCCAGTTATGATTCTGGGGTGGGGCCTGCATATCTGTATTTTTAAATGGGCTGGCATTTAGAAACCTTTGGCCTCCTTCTAGGCGATCTCTAAGTTTTCCTACATTTCACCATTTTCCATGAGAGCCAGAGATTAGACCAATGAAGAATATTCCAAAGGGAAAGTCAGGATTGCCAAGGATGAAAGTTCCTGTCTTTCAATCCTATAATTTTCATTTAGTGATCCAAGAGAAACACACCTCATAGCATCTATTTTTTTTTAAGATTTTATTTTTTCCTTTTTCTCCCCAAAGCCCCCCGGTACATAGTTGTATATTCTTCGTTGTGGGTCCTTCTAGTTGTGGTATGTGGGACGCTGCCTCAGCGTGGTCTGATGAGCAGTGCCATGTCCGCGCCCAGGATTCGAACCAACGAAACACTGAGCCGCCTGCAGCAGAGTGCGCGAACTTAACCACTCGGCCACAGGGCCAGCCCCCTCATAGCATCTATTTTTAAAGCAAATGCTTCTCTAAAAATATATATATTATTTGCCGAATAGCAATAATAGATAAGCATCTAAGGTTATATTAAGACAGAAGCAATTGTACTTAACTGAGAAAAAGATGATGTGGGACAGCCAGGTGTAACCTTTACATACTGCCATTTTTACTAAGTTAGCCAAGAACATCATGTCTTATTTTATATGTGGAGCTCAACAAGCCACAGAGCTGTTTCTTATGTGAGATCAACAATGTCTGTAGTCTTTTGGCTTTGGCCAAAACATCATACTAAGGAAATAAACAGGGGGTGAAGTGGGATGGGGCATGGGTTTGGGGGCTTGGGAGGACCCTCTGGCTAGAAGGTAACACCTAAGGAGTAAAGAAACCATGAGGAGGTGAGAGTGTATTAAGTGAAGGTGGGGTGTCAGTTGATGGCTAGTTCAACGAAGTGGAAAGAGCCTTAGACCAGCCAGCCTGGAGATTTGTGTTCCAGACATAACTTCCTAATAAGTAGCTGTCTGGCTTTGGAAAAGCCACTTAACCTCTTTGGACCTTGGAATTCCTTATTTGTAAAATTAGGATGCGGGTTGAACTTGATAAGTTTAAAGTCTCTTTTAACTCTACCCTTATAGATACTGTATAATTAACACTTGAGATATTAACTGATAGTTTTTTTAGTGAGCTAATAGTTTAAGATAAGCATAGCTAATTAAAAGACTATTCAGGGAATATGATCCAGGATATACGCCTATGGGAGACAGAAGAAAGAGACGATCAGGAATAAGGAGAAAGGCCTGGAGAGGCAAGGGGAGATTGTGTATTACACTCCCCCTTTCCCTGCCCATACACACACACACACACACACACACACACACACTCACACACACACTATGCCTGTGTCATAATTTTGCTAAGGCCTGGCTCTGTTTGTTTTAAAAACTATTTCAGCATTTCAATGTCAGAACAGTAGAGATTTAGGCTTAGTCTTAAGTGATCATTTTCCACCTAAACCTCAGAGCCTCAGTCTTTAATGGAGTGGAGTAGAGTTGCTCATGAAGTTATGGCCATAAAATAAATGCTTCAGTGACACTGATAGAGCAAGAAGCTGAGGGCACCAAGTACAGGGTAAGAAGGCTGAGCCCCAGATCACACAGCCCTGCAGTCCTGATCTCCCTTCAGCATCTCTTTGAAGAGGGCAGGTCTTTCCTGATCATTTCTCCAATGTACATCTCACACCATTTGAATTTAGAAATGATGGAGATAGAGACTATCTATATGGTCAGACGTGAGTTTTCTGAATCAAAGAAAGACTTCCAATTCATCTAAATGCTAAAGACTAAAATCCGTGATTAGAGGTTCACTCCCATTGGCTTAAGTCTTTGTTATCTGTTAAAGTGAAATTATCTTTGGATAATTTTCGTGCTGGTCTTTCTCAGTCTTTTATGTCTTAGTTTGAATTATTCCATCAGATGCTTTCCTGAGGGTAGATGTTGGGGAAGAAAACAGGGCTAAAGAAGAGGTAGAAGGTGGCAAAGAGACCGTGCTGCGAAGCGGTGGGGGGTACAGCATGTCTTCCCTAATGTGACAGGTATGCCTAGGGCCAGGCTGGGTTAGAGGTAAGAGGAAAAGTCAAAACAGTGGCATGTACTTTATAAAAGCTCTCATTGCATTTATAGCCAACATAGCACTCGTACAAAAACAGAACTAGAAATATGCATAATCCTAGTGTTCAAACGAATTGGTTGCCATTGGATAACAGGTGTCTGAGAGATGCAGTATGCCCTGGTACTCCCACCTCTCCTTAATGCCAATCTTGAAGTCCAGGAGACTCATTTGTCCCTGTTTGTAGAATGATAGAATCTTAGATTTTGGAAAGGACCTTAATGGCCACGTAGACCAACCTGTCTCAGTATAGTTGGAGTGGTCACACATTCTTATTTGCCCAGAAGAGTCCAGTTTATGCCTGATGTCAGGTGTAACATTTAATAGTACACTCTTTCTCTCTCTCTAAAGTGTCCTGCTTTGGATGTTAAATGATAAGGTCACCCTAGGAATAGGACTCTCTCAACATAAATGTTATCACGTTCAAGTCTCTGTTGTGCTACCTTGTAAAATTACTGCATCATAAATAACTTCAAAAGATGGACTCAACGTTAATAAGAACCTTCAGTCATCACCTGGTGAAAGGCCTCCAGGGAAGAAACAATCAGCAGAAATGTCATATGCTGTATCTCTGAAGACAAAGGGAAACGAAGAGGACACCAGGTATATGATGAATCCAATGAGTACGTGCAGCCAATTTAGATAATCCAGATCGGGAAAAAATATTTTCACTAGTAACAACCCAGCTCCTTGTCACCTGTCCTCCAGATAAATGGCCCAAAACTTCACCTGTGTTTACCATGTAAACACAGCCTCCTGAGCGAGTCTGAGCTATCCGTTTTAATGCCTTTGGGGAAGAGTAGAATAGCAACATCTATATTTAGTTTCCAAGGAACATAGAGGACTTTCAAAACTCACTCATAGTCATCCAGGTTTTCCTCTTCTTCAGATGAACTTGACTCAGGGAATCCCCTTAAGAAGAGAGAAAACAACATGAATACAAAAAACCACCATGAAATCTTCTAAGTGCCTAGCAGTGCAATATCAAATCCCACCCTGCTTTCATCCACATAAATAAAATTCAGACTGTCGGGTTTCCCTTTTTGCACTTGGGAAGGAGTCAGTAAAGTGAAGAGAGAGTCACTCAAAAGTTGAGCTCATGCCCAGTCTAATGAGAGCATGACCCTTTGATACAGGAGGCCCCCAGGAGGGCCCCAGGCATGTGAGTTTCTTTGACTCTTAAGAAGAGTGGGATCATGAAATAGATGAAGATGTCTTCAGAGGCAACTGTGGCATAAAGTTGAAAAAAAGATCTCAGGTTGTATATAGAGCTATTCTTAGAGGAGAGTTATTCAACTCAAGGTTGTTTTTTCTCCTGCTAGAGATGCCTGAGCTAGGTGTATTAATGTTCATATTGACACCAGTGTAGATTATGGATGATGGATTGGAAAAACCAGTGTGAGGAAAACTGTAACCTATAAGTCATCGACTCAGACCAACTTAAGGGTTGGGAGAGGCAAACTACATGGGTTTTTTTGGTTCATATTTACTTTCATGTAAAGTCTAGTTGCAAAATCATTGAAAATTTGGTCAGTTTTCCCGCAAATGGAAGTAAAGGAATATCTGAGTTTGATTTACCATGACATCTTTGAGGTGCTGTGATTTACAACATCTCTTTCCCTTTGGTTACTGCACGCAAAATCTTCACTGCTACAAAAAAGACACATTTCATAAATTTATGTTCATTTATGAATGTTAAATGACAAAAGAAAGTCATTAGATATGTTTTAGCTTTATTTAACATTTTGACCCATACATTTCACTTGTTTTGGAAATTTAAGCTAATGAGTCATTTTCACATTTTCATCCTTGCAGGACTCCAATAGAAATCAGTAGTTCGACAGTATTCCTAAACAAAAGAGAATTGTTAATAAAGGCTCGTAATAACCCCAAACAATAGAAGACTTGGATTAATAAATCATCTTGGTGGGTTTTGCCCTGATTTCCTTGTAGATATGCAAGCATTCTGTCACTTACATATTTTAAAATGTTATTTTCCTCTATACTGTTGTGACTGCAATTAAAAGTCTTGAAAATACTGAACTTTTTTTTTTAAGATTTTATTTTTTTCTTTTTCTCCCCAAAGCCTCCCGGTACATAGTTGTGTATTTTTAGTTATGGGTCCTTCTAGTTGTGGCATGTGGGACAACGCCTCAGCATGGCTTGATGAGCGGTTCTATGTCTGCGCCAGGATCCAAACCGGCAAAACCCAGGGCCGCCAAAGCGAAGCACGCGAACTTAACCACTCGGCCACGGGGCCGGCCCCCGAAATACCGAACTTTTAACTCTGTGTGGACACAGACAGATCTGCAGGATTTTCATCATTCTCTGCCACTTGTCATTTTCTCTCTTTCGTTTTGGGTGTTAAGCAGAGCATGAGAAACTGCTTACCTCTCCAAGTCCAAAGGCTGTTTTATTTGGAATGTAAGACCTATTTTCTGTTTGCCTTCATATCCCAGGCTCTTTTTCAAAACCACGCTTCATAGTGGCAAGCTTCCTTAAGTAAACGCTCCTCTGGCTCTATTTCAAGGCGTGCCTGGAGAAAGCCCTCAACACTAGAACGCCACCCTCCCCGCCCTCCCAAAGAGCCTTGCTCACCAACATAGCTTTTTTACTTCATCTCTTCATAAGAAAATTCTTATTTAAAAATGCTATGCAGTTTATTTAGCATTTTCATTGTTTTTAACAACACGTGGAGAATGTCCATCAATGGTCCATCTCTTAGGTTTATCCATATAATGGAATACTATATAGACATTCAGAATAATCAGGTAGGTTGCATAACAACGTAAATGTACTTGACACTACTGAACTGTACACTTAAAAATGACTAAGATGGTAAAGTTTATATTATGTTTTGCCACAATTAATTTTTTAAAATTAAGTATATTGTGATGTATTCGAATGGGAAAGATGTTCAGTGAAGAGAACAAGTGGCAGAGAAGACTGTGTGGCGAGAAGCTGATTTTTAATTCTATGTATCAGGTGGCATGCACATAGCAAATATTTTAGAGGAATGTACACCGAATATTCTGCGATGCTTTAATGGGAGCATGGATTATTTTGCTACTCAGAAAAAAAACCAAAGATTAAAAGGCAGCTCAGGCGAAGATAGCACAAATGACAGAAAGTTGATAAAAAATATTATCTAGTTATGTGAGCTGAGAAACATGGCTGCGTTTTTAAAGTTCAAGCCCTTTTAGCAATTATCATAATTCACTCACACACGTAACGCTGCCATGCTAAGAAGTGATTAATCAATCTTTTGTTCAGATAACTAGCTTTCTGAAGTTCTAGGGAATAACCTAGGGTCTGGACTAAATGTTGGGTGCAAAATTGAAGGGTGTGTCAAAAAACTCAGTAATTGAGGTAAGTAGTGTTTTAGTGGAATATTTTAAAAAATAAACATTAATACAAAAAATCCACGATGAACAAAATATCAGCATTTTAAATAAAGATAGGATCTGGTCATCCATGAGTTGGCAGCTCTTCAGGAACCCCATGTGAATCAATAGTGCTGACCTCTTATTTGAAAACTGGTGGGTCAGTCTCACTGTACACCTCCCTCAGGGAATCCCTGGGGCTTCCGGCAGGGAGGGGACCCGGCACAAAGTTGACGTGACATCCACTCTTCTTGGTTCTGGGCTTATTGATTGTGTCCTTCCACAAGAACACTGGGTTTCAGGCAAATAAATGTAACTCCTTCCCTCAGGCACCAGATATAGATGAATATATTTAGATTCTAGCTCCGCTTTAGATTGAAAGGCATCATGACTTGTTATACTGAAAACAACTGAAAGAATTCACTTATATCCTTTCAAGTTCCGTATGGCCCTGTGGCTGTATCATTGGTACAGTGAGGCATTTGCTTTAGGTAAAAAGGATGAGGATGGAAAGAATAGAAGGACAGGGGAGCAAACAAAGAAAAGAGATACACGGTGAGTCAGAGAGATGCCCTGCTTCCATTGTGGGGAAAGACAGACGTTGGTACCCTGTAGAGATGCTAATAACTGGGTGAGAAGATGTCAGACAGTGAACAACATGATGAGTTGGAAGGATAAGGCAGCAAATAAGGAAGGGTAGTCACCTGACCCTTTCTCTATTGTCATATTGCAGTTCAATTCAATATATTTTGAGCATCAAGTGTGGAGCCAACTTGGTGCCAGATCCCAGAGACATACACAATTTGCCTTCAGGGTACTTTCAATTTTGGCTTTTGGTAGCATCTTTTGGCTTAAAAAATCTGAGAAAAGTAATCATGTCAGGAGAGGCAAAGGTGTACATCCTGAGAAAGCAAGCCATGGTCTTGCTTGAAATGCTACCTGTCATTTGGCCAGTGATGTCCGAAGCACATTACAAAAGTAAGCCCACTTTAATCTTTTTCAAGTAAAGGATATATTTTAAAGATTCAGAGTTCTGGAATGTGAGGTTATTTGGGAGAAAGGGGGAGAGAAAGAGGAGGGAACAAAATGCTCAAGCATTACAGTCATGTGTCACTTAATGACAGGGACGCATTCTGAGAAATGCATCATTAGGTGATCTTGTCATTTTGCAAACATCACAGAATATAGTCACACAAACCTAGATGGTATATCCTACTACACATCTAGGCTATATGGTTTTAATCTTATGAGACCACCATTGTACATGCGGTCCATTGTTGATCAAAACGTCATTATGCGGTGCATAACTGTACTTAGATCATGAGATAGGATAATCTAAATGGAAAGTCTGAGCTGCTCAGTCCCAGTGGGGCCACTGTTTGCCTAGACTTCTGGCACTGAACATTTTCTGAGAGGAGAGCCCTATCTCAGCTAAGGCCTGCGTGGACAGTGTTGAGGCTGAGGTCTAAGGCAGTGGGGTAATGTCTATTCTATATGCTGGACAGCCAGACTAAAAGAGGAGGCTTACCTTTTCAGTTTTCTGACTTGCCACCAGTCAGGGAAGTCTTCTTTCGGAATATACCGCATCTTGACGTTTGACTGGGAGCCATAGTCTTTCTTTGAGTCACTGTCATACTGAGCTAGAGTGGTACTTGAAGATGGTTCATCCATTTTGAAAACAGGAACTGCTCGAGGAATCTTCAGCTTTGGAGGACAAGAGATTTTAATATATCACAGTGAGGCACAGATTCATGTACTGGGAACTAACAACCAAAGTATATCAGCTCTTAAATTAAAAAGAAAAGAAAAAGAAGGAAGGAAAGAAGGAAGAAAAGAAAGAAAGGAGGGAAGGAAGGAAGGAAGAAGGAAGGAAGGAAGAAAGGGAAGGAAGGAAGGAAGAAAGAAGGAAGGAAGGAAGGAAAGGAAGGAAGGAAGGAAGAAAAGGAAAGAAAGAAAGAAAGAAGAGAGAGAGAAAGAAAGAAAGAAAGAAAGAAAGAAAGAAAGAAAAAGGGAAATACGAAGTATTGGAAGAGATATGGAGCTACTAGGGCTGGCCCTGTGGCAAGGGAGTAAGTTCGTATGCTCTGCTTCAGCAGCCCAGGGTTTGCGGGTTCAGATCCCAGGCACTGACCTACGCACTGCTCATCAACCCATGCTGTGGCGGTATCCCATATGCAAAAAAGTAGGGGAAGATTGGCACAGATGTTAGCTCAGGGACAATCTTCCTCAAGCAAAAAGAAGAAGATTAGCAACAGATGTTAGCTCATGGCCAATCTTCCTTATTAAAAAAGAAAAAAGATTTGGAGCAACTGGAACTCTCATACTTTGCTGCATGGGGTATGAAGTGGTATAATCACATTGAAAAGCTGTTTGCAGACGAATGGATAAAGAAGATGTGGTACATATATACAATGGAATACTATTCAGCTGCAAAACAGAACAAAATCATTCCATTTGCAATAACATGGATGGACCTTGAGAGAATTATGTTAAGTGAAATAAGCCAGTGAGAGAAAGATAATCTGTGTATGACTCCACTCATATGAGGAATTTAAAATTATGGACCAAGAACAGTTTAGTGGATACCAGGGGAAAGGTGGGGTGGGGGGTGGGCACAAAGGGTGAAGTGGTGCACCTACAACATGACTGACAAACATTAATGTACAATTGAAATTTCACAAGATTGTAACCTATCAATAACTCAATAAAAAAAAAAGAAAAGCTGTTTGCATAATCTGCTAAAGCTGGACACGCACATCCCCTGTGATCCAGAAAGTCTATGTACATATCCAACAATGAAATCAAAAGACATGTAAAAGAATGTTCATAGCAGAATTATTTCAATTAGATAAAAACTGGAAACTACTTAAATACCCATTAAAAGGATAAAATAATAAAGATATTGTAGTTGTAGTAGGGTAAATACTGTGTCGCCCACAAAAGATGCTCATGTCCCAGTTCCTGGAACCTGTGAATATGTTACCTTACATGGTAAGAGGGATTTTGCAGATGTGATTAAGTTAAGGATCTTGCGATGGGGAGATTATCCTGGATTCTTGAGGTGGGGCAGATGTAATCACAAGAGCCCTTAGAAGAGGGAGACAAGAAGGTCAGAGATTAGAGGGAAGATGTGAGGATGGAAGCAGAGATCTCTCTTTGTGTAGAATTCAGTGACTATTAGAAATAGAAGTTTTATCAAGTTGCGATTGCCCACAATCCAGTCTTAACACATTTCTATCACTCCTATAAGATCACTCATGCCCATTTGTAGTCAATCCCCATTCCCATCCTGGCCCCAGGCAACCACCAACCAACCTTTTGTCCCTATAGATTTGCTTATTCTGGACATTGCTCTTAGGTGTTTTACAGGGTCATAGTTTTCAAGCTTCAGAACTGAAGCACATATTCAAACCGAAACAGCAATATTGCTGATATCAAAATAAAATCCCCAAACCTTAATAATTCTATTAGTCTCCTAGGGCTACCATAACAAATTAGTACACATTTGGTGGATTAAAACAAGAGAAATTTATTTCCTCACAATTCCGGAGGCCAGAGGTCCAAAATCAAGGTTTCAGCATGACCATGCTCCCTTTAAAAGCTCTAGGCGAGAATTTTTGCTTGGCTCTTCCAGCTTCTGGTGGTTCTAGGCATTCTTTGGCTTGCGGCCGCGTAACTCCAGTCTCTGCCTAGGTTTTTAAATGGACTTTTTCTCTGTGTATCTCTCTGTATCCTCTCATCTTCAAAGGACATCAGTCTTTGGATTTATGGCCCGTCCTAATCTAGTATGATCACATCTCAGTTCTCAACTAATTATGTCTGCAGAGACCATTTCCAAATAAGGTCACATTCTGAGGTTCCAGGCAGACATGAAATTTGGGGGACACAATTCAGCCTACTACAGTAATGGATTTCCTTTTGCCTTTCATGTTGGTTCACAAAAATTATGTGGTTTTTACTTAGATAGAAAGATAGAAGTAAGTGTGTGTGAGTGTATGTAGCTGGAAATAAGTACCCAAGACACCATAGAGCCGATGGATGCGTGGAGACACTCCCTTACTTTCAGGTGAGCTCCCAGAGAACCACTGGAAGGCCATTGGATGTGTCTCCTGGCATTTGAAGAGGCTGACACCTGCCTGAGAAGCCTAAAAGCAGGAGGCTATGGCTATGACCCCAAGGAAGCAGAGCAAAAGGAGAGCAGCAGCCTGTACTTTGAGAGCGAGCCACATACGGTTTTACTAACCAGAGCAGTCAAGGTTTTGTTTGTTTTCCTGTAGGCCAGCTCCACCCTTGGGAGAGGGTTGGCTGGGAGCTATCTTGAAAGAAACTCTGGCCAAGTTGGTAAATTGACCCAGCAGAAAGATTGAGGGCTAGAAAGCTAAGAACTAAAGGTCAGGACATTTCCTATGTCGTAAAACTACATTTGGATCTGCACCCCGGGGGGAACCCCACGAAAGTCTCCCCTAAAGCAAAGAATCAAAATCAGAAAACCGTCTTACCCAGAAGCCACCACTACCAAATCATGATGGGACCAACCATATATGACTGTCTCTTTTTCATTTGACCCACTCTTCCTGGGCCCCAACCCTGAAAGGGTCAGAAATTTTTAGCCTTTCCATGACCTCTCCGCCAAAGCAGGCTGCCCTCTGCCGCAGACTTGAGCTAGATAGAAGGGGAAAAGCTCTAACTTGGAAAGATGTTTGCAGTAGCGTGATTATAACATTGGTTGGGACAATTTAGAGGCTGTTCTCATGACTGCTAGTAACTGGGAAAATTTATGTCATTTGAGAGTGACTGGAAAACTCTGGAACCTCCCTGAGATTCTATCCAGGGACAGAGAAGAAAGCCCACCGAATAGTTTTGAAGGGCTAATGGAGGGGAAGAATTATGCTGTTTTCTGCTTGTGCCCTGTGGAGCCCCATTCCTTCACCAGGATACTTACAGGACGCAGTCTTGGCCATGCTGGTGGCAGGGGAGGAATGACAGCTAATAATAGTTGCCTGTTATGTGTGATGCCATCTTACGGACTTCTCCCATAGGCACCCATTTTTTGGTGACCACTTATATGCTTACAGGTTAGAAAGAGGCCCAGTTATTAAAAGAAAAAATATAAAATGGTAAAATGGTTCTACATTTGAATTTATAATTTGATACTGCTATTGCTGTTGGTGATAGCTCACGTTTTTTCTCTCTTTGCTGAGCAGTCTTAATGAAGCCCATGCTTTCTTGAACCTGGCAACTCTCGCTTTACTTAATACTTTCTGCCTAGGAACAAAAATTTAAATGTTGACTTACCACTCTGTCTGGGAAGGTGGGAGCTCTGTGTTTCTCTTCATTGGTTGCAATGTGCAGATCAGCATCTGAAAAGTAAAACCAGTAATGTCAGAAGGAACTTTACACAAAACGAATCAAAGCACCCAATGTTAGGAATCAAAAGAATGAGCTAGTTTGCGTGAGCAATACTCCAGATTAAATGAATTTAAACACAGCATCTAGAGTGATTCTGGTACTATCCTGTATAATGTCCAGCTCGAACACTACGCCTCCACCATTGATTTTCAACATCCTGTCAAAATGGATAAAAAATTCAAGTTCCTCTACATCTTATAAACTGGTAATTTATACCACATTTCCAACTTGTATTTGAGTGACAGATAGCTAATCTCGTTGGGTAGTACCTGTGACCCTAGGATTCAGAATCCATGTCTGATTCCTCTTTGACTGGCTCATACAAGATGCTTATAAATAGCTGATTTATAAGTGAACACCTATCCCATGCTTTTTTTCCCTCTTCTTATGATAATTGTTGGTTTCTCTTTCTACCCACACACGTAGGTAGATGTCCAGGCTGTGAGTGTGAAGCCGTTATATGCTTTATAAGTGGGGTGGCCACGGTCAACTTACGTGTAGGCCATGTACCCTGGAAAGAGGGTGGTCCAGGGCATTTTGGAGACAGAAGGAAACAAAGACACTCAACTGTTTCCTTCCTAGCAGCTGCGCCCCTGGGGTGTCCTGTAGCTCAGCAGAGGAGGCCAAGGGAGTTAATTACACTTGGGAAGATAGACAATATCACAGCTGCTTGTGAGCCATGACACCTTTACATTCTGTAGTTTTCTTCAGAGGCTGGCAAAGAGCCTGTGGCACCCAGGGCACATAGCAGGTGCCATCCAGACAGAGCCTAGGAAGAGAATCCTAAGGCAGTGCTCTCTCTGGCCTTTTTCCTGCTTTTTCCCAGGGAGTTAGGGCATGGTCAGAGCTGGAATCTGGCCTGCTGGGTAATGATGCCAGACCACAGACAGAATAATTGGAGGGAATGATTAATGCTGTAAGGACACATTACTTCTCAGCTCCTCACAGTGGAGGGAAGATCTGCGTATAGTAAATTCTGTAGAGTTCGTTAAATCACTATAATTATGAGTATAAAGAGCAATATGATGCAGTTAAGGTTAACAAATAGTCATTGTGTAGTTTGAGATGGAAAACACGACAAATATTTATTCATTGATTTTGTAAAATTATCAGTAGTAACGTTAACATAATTGTCGGTTGTTAATACTTTATGGAGTGAATTTGAACAATATTTCATGTCCCTGCGTGTTCTAAGTTCATGAGATATTATCATGCAGCTGATCTCATTCAGTTCTTTAAAGTCATTGTAATCCAAGCATATTTTGTCCAGGTTGGTAAAATTGTTACTAAAATAAATTCTCCTTTTTATTTGTTGACAACTTCATGTTGTTAAACAATGATACACTTCTAAAATATCTAAGACTGCCTCATGTAGGGATCCTGCTGGAGGAAGGGGACTCCATGGGGCGCAAGCAGAAAACAATACAATTCTTTCCCTCCATTATCTGTTCAGAGCCAGTCAGTGGGCTCTCTTCTCTGTCTCTGGATAAAGTCTCAGGCAGATTTCCCTAGGACTATAACTCTGGATAGAATTTGGTTGCACTTAAAAGCAAATCCTTCACTACCTTCTCTGATGTTATTAAGAAATCAACAAACATGTACAGAATGGTAAGCCACCTTAAATATATCTTTTAAAACTTGGCCATCCAGCATTTTGGTATACATGGTGATTAAAAGTGTTACTTAAATTTTATCATTTGATTTTTTAAAAGGATGTTGGTTTTTGAGTTTATAATTTTAGGTTACGAACCATGATGATATGTTCACCGCACTCTATCTATTTGGAGTTTATCTTAAACGAGGAAGAATTATTGGAGGTAACAAACAGCTCCTTGCTTGATTCATGATTCCAATTTAAAAAATATTTCTCATGAAATGAAAGAATGGCAGATGTTAATATTGTTATTATTTTAACGAATATGACTCAATTGACCCTAGACTTAGACTTCATTTGCCAGATAGCATCTTCGAGTCTGGATTTTCATGATGCCAACCAATCTGGCACATCTTGTTTTCCTGAACTGGCAAGCTGTTCTGGCATGTGGCAGGTTTGCCTAATGGGACACCATCCACCCAGGGTCCAGCCCAATAGAGAGGTCACATTACATGCTTCCCAGAGTGTACATCCCGGGGCCGCTTTGCAACTCTGTTGGCAGCACAGGAACTTCCCGTCCACGAAGAACCCACTATGGTACTTGATCAGCAGGTGGGGGTTGCCCCTTATCTCTGGGGAGCAGGCAGGAAGAAAACACGACATGAGTAAACGTTGGCCCAAGAGAAGAAACATTCAGTAAGAGCTGTTATCACAGAACAATGAAAACCTCATTTTGCCAGCAACAAGAGTGAGGGCAAATGGTTCCCAAAGGATGTGTCTTTCACTTAGAAGTTAAAAAACCAAAAAGAAAAGTCTAACTACGTGTATCGTGAGAACAACACAATAACTTACATCAGTCTTAAAAAAAACTAGTAGGAAATGCATGTACAGATCAGCTTGGTGTTAGAATTTTAGAAATACATCCATAAAGGAAGGAAGTGAGTTATGGCACATGGTGTTCTCTTGTGGCCAAAAGAGGCTGGAGGGTAGGACCAGATCGTAGCAAAAAGAAAAAAAGTTCTAATATACATTCCTTCCACTTTATATTTTGAAACATTTCAAATGTACAGAAAGGTTGCAAGAATAGTACAATGAACGTCCATATGCTGTTTACCCAGGTTCACCAATTTTTAACCGTTTGTCTCATTTGCTTTCTCTTTCCCTCTCTGTGTATACATATTATGATTATTTTTAAATTTTTTATCGTTGTATTTTACTCAATCATTTGAGAGTAAGTTGCAGATATTACGACCTAAATAATGTCACCCATAAATACTTCAGCACGTAACTTCTGTTAACAAGGACATTTCCTTATATAACCATAATACAATGATCAAATTCAGGAAATTTAACACTGATATAATACTATTACTTAATACATACTTCATATTCAATTTTTTTCACTTGTTCCAGTAACGTCCTTTATAATCATTCACTTTCTTCTGATGGAGGATTCAATCCAGAATCACTTATGGCATTTAGTTAATCTAGTTTTCCTTGATCTAGAACAACTTCTCATCCCTTCTCTGTCTTTCATGACTCTGATCTCATTTACGCATACCAAGGAATGAATGGTTTATGGGACTACTTTTCTAGGAATATGTGCATATTTTAAAAGCCCGTGGAAATAGGACAAAGAAAGCCAAAGAAATGAAATTCCAATATTGGAATATAATACTGTGTCAACAACAATCTAGCCTCTCTCAACATACAGCAGAGGAATCTAAAAGGTCTTCGTAGAGTGGTTCAAGAAGGATCTCTAGGTAGGGAGGGCTAGTTCTATGTGCGGCTTCAATTCTTTACTTCTTGATTTTATCTTCATCTTGAGGATCCCTAACTTGATCCCAGGAGAATTCTGCTCCTCCTTTACAACTCTGACTCAAGGAAGTCTAATCATAATAATTACTTTATTATTAGATAATAATAACTACTTTACTGGGTCATTGGAAGGATATGAGAAAATGTATGTAAAGCATCCAGCACAGTGTTTGGCGCAGAGTGGGTGTTCAATGAATGGTGGGTTTTAGTTATATCATTCCCTTAGTTTAACTCAGTTCAGCTTACCTGAAAACACTGCCGTTAAAAAAGACCTTACTGGGGGCTGGCCCCGTGGCTGAGTGGTTAAGTTCATGCGCTCTGCTTTGGTGGCCCAGGGTTTTGCCAGTTCGAATCCTGGGCGGGACATGGCACCACTCATCAGGCCATGCTGAGGCAGCGTCCCACATGCCGCAACTAGAAGGACCCACAACTAAAAATATATATATATATATATATACAACTATGTACTGGGGGAAAAATAAAATCTTTAAAAAAAAGACTTTACTGTATATTAATGGGAATTAAAGGAAAGTTATTACCAAAATCACAAAAAGCAAAAGGAGTTAAGATTACAAAACACTAGTTTCTGACCTTGACAACGGTCATTACAATTCCTTGAGCACATTACTTGCCTTCCTGCTCCCTAAGCTCCTGTGTGCCAAGATCCCTATTATTTCCTACTACATGGATTTAGTTTCCTGGGTAACCAATTCTTTCCCAACGAAGTCCAAAAGTCCACACTGAACAGTGCTACCATCTAATAATGACAATAACAGGAAGTCATAAATTAATATGTGTATAGGACTTTAAATTTACATATTTTTCCCTCACATATATCGTCTCATTTAATCTACTCAATAACCTTGGAGTTGTTATCATGGCTCTTACAGGGTTAGGTAAACTGAGATGCCGAGGGGTGGTGTAACCTGCTCAAGTTCACAAAACTAATAAAGAGCGGATCTGAGACTCAGCCCTAAGCTTTTTCTACTATGTTCCAATGCACAGATGCTAGCTTCCCTGCCAAACACCTTTCAGCTGAATTCAGAACCATGGTAGCTGACACTCCTTAAGTGTCCGATGAATCAGCCCAAACCTCCCAAGTGTAGGTTACCCTCTGGAGAATTCTGTATCTCCAAAGTCCATCTCAGTTTATAATGCCTGAGCTAAATAACAGACACAAAAGGGGGGAGGGTCATTATATCACAGTGAAACTTCACAGGGGAGAGGATTTGAGTGATGGAACCTCTTTGTTTTCTTGTGGCAGGTTGGTTTGCCAACCTGACAGCTGATACTACCTTCCTTCTCTCTTGTTACCTTCAACCTGACAGCCGATCCCAACCATCTTCTCCCTTGGATTCCAGCATAGAGGCTGGAAAAGCCAGATACTGTCTTCCAGCCTCCCTTGCACATAGAGATGGCCGTGAGACACAGTTCTGGCCAATGAGACATGAGCAGAAGGTTGCAGAGGGGCTTCTGGGAAAGCTCAGAGCCTTTCCAAGAACCTCTAAGGATGGAAGAGCAGAAAGCTAGGAGGAGCCAGGGGCCCTACTGATTTCATTGAGCTGCTGCCCTAGCCCTGGACTTGCTTACCTCTGGATTTGTAAGAGGAACAACCATGTATTTGTTTCAGCAACTGCTTGGTGTCTTTTCACCTGTATCCCAAAGCATTACTAACTGATACAAATCGCTTCTGGCAGCCCTAGTAATAGGGTCTCTCTGCAGTTTTATAAGAGGATAAGAGATTCACTCCCCCTTCTCTCTCTGCTCTCCTTTCATGTTCCATGTGCCTTAACATGAGCTACCCAGGGCCCACCCAAACCTGTCTACCACATACAGTTCCAGAAGGGCCCACAAAGGACCCTAGTGCATGACCAACAGCTGCGCACAGGAGGTGTCTACATAGGAGCTGCTCCCAGGAAATCCCCCCAAAGTAGACTGAACGGGAAGCAGCATCTTAGAGCTCCTCCTGGAGGCCCCACTATAACCACAGTGACTCATGTCTGTGTGCAGGATACTTTAACAGATTTATGATTCACTCATTTGCAGCTCATCATCATTCTAGGAGAAAAGAAATGTGATCTCCCATTTTACAGGCCAAGAAACTGAGACTCAGAGATGCTGGATGGTTTTATTAGATGCTATCGTGAGGCAGGACTTGGATGCAGATTTGCCTGACTCTAAAGGGATGACTTTCTCACTTCACCAAGCTGGTGGAGGTGGAGGGAGGCTCCTTTCCTTACTGGACCACTTGACTATCTTACAGAAAAAGTTGCTAACTCCTTTCACGCAAAGGGAAAATTAAGCCTTATGTGTGAAAAAGGATGTATTTGCATTGAAGTGGAGTAGGTGATTGTCTAAAGTAGTGTAATTTGAGGTGTACTAAGAAAGAGCCCTAATCTAAAGCTTAAATGAAATAAAATCTTTCCCCATCTGGGAGCTTAATATCTGAAATTCCGATAGAGTCATCCATTTAAGTTAAATATTGTCCTCACACCATTACCCGCATTTAAAATAAAATTATTGCAAGGAGAAACATCATAGTGCCAAATTATTAACACAAATTCTCTCTCTTCGACCAAAAGCTGTTACCAGGGCAGCCTAAGCATCACTGAATAAAAGCTCCATTAAATCCCCAGTTTTGCCTAGCATTTTACCATACTCGTTAAAAAGCTGGGTTTGGGTAGTTGAATTATGAGTTCTCCATTATTAGGTATGTGACATTGGCCATGTCTTCACTTACCTGGAAAATGGAGAACAATATTACCCTTTCCATAGAGTTCTCAAGAGGATTACCCAAGAAAATATTTTGCAGGCACTCAACACAGTAACTGGCAAATGGTTAAGTGCTTAGTACGTATTAGATACCACATTCTGTACACATCCAAAGTACAGTAGCTACAGGACCTGAGGAGACTAGACTTTGCCCTGGCAAAGGCAAGCACTGTGGGTGGAGAGCAGGCAGCCCTGCTTCCTCCATGCTGCTGGGAAGGCACAATAGCCAGCTCTGTGCAGAGTGGTGAGGAGGGCGGGGAGGAGAGGGGTATCTGATCCCCAGGCTTCCTCTATGTAACAATGAGAATGCAAAATAAGGATAGCATGGCACATTCTCTGAGGCTGGTAGGAAAATCAGTAGATTCTCTCCTGGGCTTGGGTCCCTTCCTTCACTAAGCCTCAAAAAAATTCAATCAATAACTCCCTTTTAGGACTTTTTAAATTACCTTTTTGTAATGCTTTCAACCACTGACTTCGGCTCTTTTCATTTGATGCATAGACATAGAGAAGCCCATCTTTATAGACAATCTGGAAAGGAAAAGATTTGGTGCATTTAGATATAATTGCATCATAGTTCACTCTGGCGCAACTGCGTATTTTCTGTTATTCAAAAGAAACGTTGAGTTTGCTTATATAATATGCATTCACTCTGGAATTAAATGAGAAAAAATCTAGTTATTTTTATCCTCCATCCCTCAATTTGTTTCATCCCAGACACCTCTACACTTTGGAAAATCACAGCAATGATGCATCTGACAGCAGTGAACATTGAGGTGTCAGTAGAGATGCCCTAGACCATGGAGAATTATGAGAGTATAAGATGTTAGACATTACAGGTGTATTAGGAGTGTTCTGATCCATCCACCCATGCAGTGCATAACTTTCTTTACAGCCCGTTGGAAAATGTTTATTTGCTCTATTCTTAAAAATATCTTCAGGGATAGAATGTCCTTTACTTTTGCTATGCCATCCTTGTCAATTTCCATATATTTTGATCATTATATAGTTCATGCTTATATTGAGTAAAAATATATCTCCCTATACTTCATTCCCTTGGGTCATGTCCCACCCCAGGAATCCTAGCATAAATCATTTTCTACTCTTTAAAACACTTGTTTAAATGTTTGAACATTGCAATGTCTTCCCCAGATCCTTCTCTATCCCACTTTTGTGGGTAAATAATACAGACATTTAGTTAATACATTTATTACATTTTAATGTAATAATACATTACATTTATTAAACATTTATAAATACACTTATTAAACACCTACTAGTTTCTGGGCTCTTTCTTACTTTAATATTTTAATCCTATTTCAACGCTACAAAAAATATATGATTATGCCCATTTTTCAAGTGAAGAAATAAACTCGGAGAGAGGTTGATACTTTGTCTGTGGTTACACAAATATAGGCAGTGGGGCTAAGAACTCTGTAGGGCTCCAAAGCCTGTGTTCTTCGTACTCTATGCCTGATAAGAAACTGAAGCATCTTCCATGAGCACACACTCCCTTGGTTTCTTCCAGTTGGGTAATGTCCCTTTTTAAAGTGGAAAGTATGGATTGCTCATTAACTGGATTATTTTATTTTATTTCACTTTTGGCCACAGTTCCCTCATACTAGCCCTTGGTAGTCTGGCTATCTGAAGGTCAGTCTGCCTGCCTTTAGATCAGAAAGATAAGTATTCATGATATAATAAAAGTAGGGCATGACTTCAATCAAGCCACTTCCAAAGGGTACTGTAGGCACACTCTCTGTAGCATACCATTGTTTAAAATACTTCAGGGTAAAATTAAAACTCCTCCGCGCGTGCGCTGTGCGAAGCCTTTCATGATGGACCTTGCCCACCTCTCCAGGTTCATCTCTTTCACTCTCTCACGGAGCTGCTTTATTCATGAAGGCTACTTGGAGCTCTCCAAATGTACCATACTCTTTCACGTATCAGTGCCTTGACACCTGCTATTTCTTTTGTTTTGCTGGGCTAAACTCCACTTGTCCTTCCCACCCGAATGTCACCTCCAATAGAAAATCTCTCCTACCTCTTGGAGTGAGGAGTGAAGCTTCCACTTCCTGGGGCACCACGGCTACTCTGCCAACCCTCATCTTAACACTCCCCCTCACTGCATTATAACGATCTGTGAATGCCTTGGAGACAGGGACGGCATTTTATTTCCTATAGTGTGCCTAGTACTTGCAGCACATCAGAAATGCTCAGTAATGTTTGATGAAAGAGATTGTCAGACTCTGAGGCAAGTCAGGCCATTGCTGCTTACATGCTCTCCCTCTAGGAAAGACAGATTGGTGGATAGAATTTTAGCAAACTGCCCAACTCCCATCTGGGGATGTTCCAAGCCTTGTCATTGTGTTAGTGAATCTTTGCAACATCATTATTTATCTCAAGTATATTGAGTTCATAACAGAAAATATTACAAGAAGAGCCATCCATCCAATGGAATGGGTCCCCGCCCTTACCTGAAATGGGTACTGCCTCTCCGCAGGGGTCTGCTCCTCAACATTTACTTTCTCCACGCATCTGATCTTCTTAATCTCGATTGATCCTTTTCTGCTGCCTCTTTTCTGAATTAAAAAGCAAAATATAACATATCTCATGTGACACACAGTGGTGCACAAAGAAAAGCATGAAGTTAAGGTTATGCTTGGGAGGGAGATTGGAGATGGGATGGACATGGGAGACTCACTCCCAATTATTCCATAATAGTCAAAATCCAGAGACAGCAGAATATATCTCTTGAGTGTGGGCACTAACTCATATACTCCTCCGAAAGCAAATCAAGGAGCACTTAATAACTTTGTTTAATAATCTTGAAACACATTTCAAATCACCTGGTATATGGTTAATCTACTCAGGAAAATCAAAATTTAACTCCACAAAGCATCTTCATTTGGTTTTAATTTTGTGTATTTCAGTATTCCTACTGCTGTAGAAATTCTCAACTGTACAGAAATATTCTCATTTTCAGCACTGTGTTAAGGCAGTGTTTCTTTTCTTCAGCACTATTTGGGGTTAGACAATTCTTTGTGGTGGGGGCGGTCCTGTGCATTATAGGATGTTTAACAGCATCCTTGCTCTCTACCCACCAGACTCCAGTAGCACACCGCACCCCCAAATATGAAATTATGACAACCAAAAATGTCCCCAGCCACTGCCAAATGTCCTCTGTGTGGCAAAATCACTCTCGATTGAGAACCACTGTTCTACAGTTACAGTTTGCCTTAGTAACGTTAACCAATGCTTTAAAAATCTTTATCTTGAATTAATTATACCTCGGCTAAGAAAAGACAATGTGATAAGTGAGTGCAAGTTGATTTTTACTGTGTAAGTTAAGAAACCTGATGTTGTTTCATTATAATTAAGTGCGTTGTGGAGACTTAAGAAAAACAAATAATATAAGAACAATGGAATAAATAGGGTCTCACCATTTTGTCATATTCATAGTAGGAGAGGTTTGTTTTGGTCAAAACAAAAAGCCGCTCTTTGTAGTTATTTGGTGACATTTTCTTCTTTTGCTGTGACCTTTTGAGAAGAAGTTCTTCTAGGATGGATTTTGTATCCATATTGTTGTCCTAAATTTAAAAAAAATAATTAAAATGAGTGTTCACAGCATCTCGCTAGGTTCTCTCTTAGCTTTCATAGTTTTTATTCAACTGCAGCTCATTCAGGGATAATATAAATTCTAAAAATTAGATTTAGGGTTATAGAGGAAAACATAATTAGGTAGACTCTTAAACACACACATACCTGCACTTTTTTCTACTGCTTTGACTTTGACCTTTATAAATATGTTGACTTTTTATATCTCCCACCCTGGATCATAAATTCACCATCTTTGCGCTACCCTCTAGACAACCTTATCAAAAGTCTCCTTATTCCTTAAGCATCCTATAGGCATTTGTTGAATTGAATTGGATATAATCAATCTCTTAAAAATTGAGCTCCAGACAGCTCACCATGCATGAAGTAATTGATCAACTGAAATTTCTCTCCATGAATGTGGCAGGTTGTTTGGGCAAATTAAACCACCGTAAGACTCTGATATCATTGTAAACGACACCCACAGCCCCTGGTTATGATCAGATCTTTAACATAAAGGACATGGGTAAAATTTTCAATGTTTCTGAGAACAAAACATTAAAAAAATGCTATCAGAAAAGATTTAAAAGAAATGAAGAAAATGGATTTTTGTAAGCTAAAAACACTTCTGCTTTTCCTTTCAAGCCCACGTAAAACATTAAAACTTAGGGTATTTCTGGAAAATAAATGCACTGATTTTCTGGTTCTACTAAGACTGTTGCTTCAACTCTCAGTCTGATATCAGGTCTGAGAATGAAAAGAAGTAATGTTAAGCAGTAGGCCACAAGAAGTTACACTTTCTTCTGTTCTTCTTTGCTTTGTGAAATAACATGGTTATTAGCAGTCAGATGCCCAATAATTACCATCTTTCTTTATTTATTGATACCCTGAGAGTAATTAACTTTACTTACCTTGCATTTGATCTAGCCAAAGTGTGCTTGCGGGTCCTTAACTTTAACTCTCAAGCTCTAAGCAAAAAGTTACTGCTCTGAGGCACCATCGCTCATCTTCCCTCTATGGCTATGCCAGAGTCAAGCACTAAAAAGAAGATATTTGCATCCTATTTATCACTCTCTATCAGGAAGCACCCACACAGGCATTGCTCTGTCTGGATGGAGGCGGATGCCAAGTGAACCTGTCCAATCACTAAGGGGTACTTCTCACTGGCCCAGGAGTGTGATGGGCCCATGATGGCAGGGGAGTGGAATAAAGGGAGACTGAGAAACAGCCTGGAATTGAATAAGCCGGTCAGGCCCAGCCAGCTTCCCTCCTGACATAGACCATACCACTCTAGAAACGGGAATCAAGAAAATCAGCTTTTATTTTTTATTTACACAGATCAGGTGACTATTTATTAATCCTTCAAATGTTCTCCAAGGGCAGTGTTTGATTTATAGGCAGAAGTAGCAGAAATCTTACCTACTAAATATAATAAAGTCCCGGTCACTTTTTGCTTTGAATATTGTTTTATCTAGGAAAAAAGTATAATTCTTTTGTGAAAGTAGAACAGGTTTCTTTTGAGTACAATGGGTGCTATTCGCTATGGTCACTGCTTTCTTTGCCCCGGATGCAGAGACAGGGCAGAGATCAGGGTGTAGCAAACCCAGCAGGACCTCGGAAGGCAGGTATGCCTACCTTTCACCTGTGCCTCCATCATAACCTCTACACACATGCTTGTTTAGATAAAATTATTTTCCACACCCAAAGTCTAAGGCTGGAAGAGAATTTGCTTGAAGACTGGTTGAAACCATGGGGGGTCTACTTCTTGTGTGTTACAGTCCCCTTTGGGGAGCCACACCACACGAGGCAGAGTTGTAGGGCACTTGTGCCTTTTACACTTAAAAAACTTACTAACAAAGCAGAAAGAGAAAACTACGAACACTCTTGCCAAATGTGTCTTATATCCACAGCTAAAACGTTACACCTCAAACTAGCAGAGTGCTAGTTACATAGATCTGGTTAGTGGAATAGAAAGTTTACTTTTCAAATTCTTTTCAGATGCTGAATCCATTTGTAACATTAAGAACACTGTCTTGAAAATGCAAATCCCAATGTCCAAGGTAGTACGCAGCCTTTCCCAGTACTGCATGATGATACACACACTTTTCTGTTTATAGACTTTCACATTTATCACATGAAAGATGGTTTTGGAGGGAATTTTATCTAGAAATTCATATGGTGAGTCACAGAAATCATTGACAAGTGAAATCCACAAAGTTGCTTCTGTATGTCGAAGGGAAGAAGAACATTGACTAGGAAGGAAGGTACCAAGTCCTTGAGCACATTTTCTAATAAATCTTCAAGGGTTTATACACGTTGCTGTATCTGATGCAATATAATAGTCAAATTCCAACAAAATTGTTCATTCTAAAATCTTGCCCTTTGTGAATTTTTTTGCTTTCATTTTAAAAATCATATATGGGGGCAGGCCTGGTGGCATAGTGATTAAGTTCACACCCTCTGCTTCAGCGGCCTGGGGTTCACGTGTTTGGATCCCGGGCACAGACCTACACACTGCTCATCAAGCCATGCTGTGGCAGCATCCCACATACAAAATAAAGGAAGATTGGCACAGATATTAGCTCAGCGACAATCTTCCTCAAGCAAAAAGAGGAAGATTGGCAACAGACGTTAGCTCAGGGCCAATCTTACTCAACAACAACAACAACAAATATATATATATGGTATGTTTATTCTACAAAACCAAGAACTATGGAGAAGTAAAAGAAAAAAACTGTTAACATTTTGGTGAACATACCTCTAGATTTTTTCAAATATATGTGTGCACGTGTTTATTTTCACAAAAATGAGTTCATATACTGTGCACATGAGTCTGTAATCTGTTTTCTCACATAACAAGCACCTGGAGCCACACTTCTTTGAAGTCCTTCAAAGCTCCACTCTCTGCACTAGACTCCCAAGCTTCCTGCTTCCTCACAAGCTTGAAGAACCCCATTTTGATGACTCACACTTTTGTCATCCGCAGATTGGTTTCTTTTAAGACAATACCTGATTCCTGCTCAAGTTTGGACCTGCCTTTCTCATTCTATTTGCTTCAGTCCCTTTCTTGTACTTCTCTCCTCCCCTAGATAGCCTAGATTCTAAATTGAAGCCATTTCTATGGTCTCTCTTGGTATAAGAGGTGATAACTGGTGATGACTAATTTTTAAAAATGTAATGTCTCCTGCCATGTATTAGGACCATAAGTCAACAGGGCTCAGGTACCACTGTTGATTCAAATGCCCGTCCAGCAACTAACAAACTCAGCTCTGCCTACCCTTATTTTAAGGGAAGGGAAAAAAGAAAAAAATCTTTCAAAATAAATGAGATCCTAAAGCTAGCCAGTATTCACCAGAAATCTATTTCCATAGAGGAGCTGGTGGGACTTGTCTGGACTCTCATATTACCACCTACATAGAATAGACACATCAATTTGCTTACCAAATATCCCAGGCTGCCTATTTCCATAAGGGCAGGAAACTAGCAAGAGATTAAAGTGCAGAGGAGGCAAAGAAAAAAAAGAAACCTGGCAGAAATCAATACAGTATTTTCTATAAGGAAGCCAGCAACTACTGTGTAACCTATAACATACATAAAAGGTGCATGCTGAACTAACACGACTTGGAATCGCTATGGTTATTTAGCGATAATAAGGAAATGTTATCACAAGAGTAAGGAGTTCAACTGTGCAGGTCTACGTAGCACACTTGATTTTGAGCCTAAGTGTGCCTGACAACGAGTGACTGGTTCCAGAAATAGAAATCATCTCTCCACTGCCCTGAGTGACAACGACTGGGTTTGAGAGAGAGGTTTCATAACTAATTAGCATGCAACGTTGCTGTGGGGTGGTAGACTCAGAAGGCTTGGAGGAGCTTACAGGACTGTCATTTGTGAGCTGTGTCACCTTGACCAAGCCCCTTCCCTGCTCTGAACTTCAGTTTTCTGATCTGTAAAATGTGATGGGTAACAGCTCCTCCACTTTATAAGACTTAAATGAGAAACCTTATGTGAAAATACTGGACACACTGTGGGCAGTGAATCCTGATTGAAAAAGGAAAAGGTGGAAAGAAACAACTGAGGTGCTAGAGTGGAGTCCATTCTCTTTGCTATGAAAGGCCTGAGGAAGGAAAAGTTGTTTTCTTCCTTAAGATAATCAAGGAAAATATTATGGAAGAGAGGGCATTAAAACTGGACCTTGAAGGCTATGAGTGATCGTAGTAATAATAATTCTAGCTAACACTGAAGGAGGGCTCACCATGTGCCAGGGGCTATTTAAAGCACCTTAGAAATATACACTTGTTTACTGGTCACAAACACCCTATTGGGTAGGTCATGATACCCCCACACTATAGTATAGGTTGTGACACCATACCCTATTGGGTACACAGTACCCTATGGGGTAGGCCATAACAACCCAATCCTATGGGGTAAGTTGTAACTAAGTTACCCTATGGGGTAGGATGCTACACCATTCCTTGCTTATAACTGATGAAGCTGCCATAGGTAAGTCAATTGCCCAGGCCACACTGCTAGTGTGTGGAGCTGGGATTTGAATCCAGGCAGCCTAACTCCTCTTAACTCCTGACTATGATGCTAACGTTAGAGAGGGACATGCCAGCTGTGTAACCCACCTCCTCAGAGAAGGCTCTAGCCTAAATATAGGAAGGCAGCCGTAGGATATCAAGGCTGATAGGAATCTTAGAAGTCATTTTACAGATGCAATACTGAGCCTCAGCAGCGTAAGTGACTTAGCCAGAACCACAAAGCTATGACCTAAGAGACACAGCCCAGGGAGCCAGTGGGGCACTGTCTACACCATCGTGGCACTAAACAGACTAAAAGAGATCTATGTGTTCAGCTTAACATGCTATAGCCTTGCTAAGTCATGCTGTCTGGGAAATCTAGGCATAAATTTGAGTCTTACCAGACCCAGGCAAGGGACCTTTTATTGGAAATAGCAGAAAAATGTCACCTAAATAACCTTTCAGCACGAACCTCCAAGGCAGTGTTAAATCACAAAACTCTAGCCCACATTTTAAAATAGGCAAGAACATACAACCTCAAAAGTTGGAATAAATTCTAAGTGGTGCAGAAGGAGGAGCAGGAGGCAGGAAAAGAAGGGAGAAAGATATATATATATAGTCAAATGGGGCCACTGGATAGTTCCCTCAACCAAAAAGTTGACTGGCTCATCATGGTGCCTTTAAAGCTTTATGTTTTAGAAGTGAGAGATGTACGCCTTTACTTGATTTAGTTATCTTCTCTTACTTTACATATCATTTAACTAAGATTTTGATAGGTGTCAAAATATCATAATAATACATGTTGTGGGAGGGCAGTGGAGGGGTAAGGTGAGAAGGAACAGGGAGATGCACCAAGTGCGGACGGGGGTAGAGGCTTAGACGAGGGAAAATAGAGGACCCTGTGACAAACTCCATCTTCAAATATTTGTCCAAGGCCAGGCCTGTTTACTTTCCTGCTAAATAACTGAACAAAATATGTTGGTAAGTTAAACAGGAACAAAAAGCTGAACTCAGAATCGGGTAAAGTGGTTCAAAAATATCTCTTAAGATGCTAGCCAAAGATAAACACGGGCTCTGAAGAATGCGATGTGACAAATTCCTGCTTCACTTGATGTTATGCAGGAGAGAGAAAGTTACAACTGATCTTGGCATGACATGGACAGAAATCCTTTAACATTGACACCCAAATTCTCGGCATTTTGAAACACCATACCTTAATGCTCCAAAATAAATTTAGGAAAACCAGACATTTTGGGAAGGCTATTTTGCACAAAGAATGTGAGAATTCCAATGCCATTCCTGTTGGAGCTAAAATTTGCTTTAGGTGTGAAATTCATGTTCAGTGCCTGACAGAGCTTTTCTAAGCCCTTCCTTCTTTTCAGCAATGTCTTTCCTTCTGCTCTCTCTCCTTTGCCAGGGGCACTCCTCTGGGCACCCTCCTTAGGAAAAAAGCAAAAAGTGGTAAATCCACGTCTTAACACCTTATGCTGAATTAGTTTAACACATAACACTGCTTAGGTGATACACGTTGGTGTGAGCGAAAGCACCAAGCTGGTAGGTCCAGATCCCTGCTCTGTCTCTGTGCAACCTGGCGTGTTGCTTAACCCTGCTAACCTCAGCTTCCCCATCTGTAAAGGGAGTGAAACAATAACCCCCTCAAAGGGTTATGAGGAGTCAAGAGAAAATGGTGGTACAATGCCTAGCACTCTAGAAAATGTTCCCAAACCCTGTATTCCTTCCCCTCATCACTCTGTAGGTAAAGTTTTTAAAAAGACTGTAGCAAAGTTTAAAAACTGAAGACAACAAAATGACCCTCAATGATAAAATTTCAGTCCTCATCTCTCTTCCTCCAGCTCCTGGGGATAGGAGATAAGGGGAGGGCTCCCCACGTATTCTCCAGTCAACAAGCACCTGCTCTGTAGGTCTGTCACAAGCTTTCAGTCCTGGGACTGGTTACCTTAAAATCAGGCTGAACCAGCCCTATTGACTGTGTATTTGTGCCAGCAGGTTTCTTACAAATCAATATGTGGATGTTACTCAAAGTGTGGTCCATGGATGAGCAGCATCCACATCCCCTGGGAGCTTATTGGAAATGCAGAGTCTCAGGCCCCACCCCAGACCAAGCACATCAGAATCTCCATTTTAGCCAGATCCCCAGGCGCTCCCTGAGCACAGGAGAGTTTGAAAAGCACTGACCTAGACCACATTACTGTTGTACTACTTTTTAAATCCAATGAAATCATCATGGTCCATAGAAACTTTCAAAATTATATGGATGTGGCTGTAGCTGTCTGGTTCAACTCCTTCCCATCTTTCTGCGTCCATCTGAAATAGCCCCAAGCTCCCGATTGAGGGAGACTTTGGGAACCTAAGAACAAATATTTGTAGCTAAAATAACGTTAAAAAACCACAGATAAATAAAAGCAGGTATGACTAACATTTCTTTGTCTTTTTGGAAACAGTTATGAAGCCAATATGAAAAGTCACAGAAAGTCAACGCCTAAAGAATAGTATGGAGAAAATCAGCAGAGGAAACGATGCAAAGCTACATAGACCTGATGCTGATGTACACACAAACTGACAGCTTCCCTGAACGAGATTTTGAGCTGGGGGAGGAATTTACAGTGAAACTATAGCAGTCCCCCAAATTACCTGGTCCCATCCAAAGTCCCTGGAGGAGCCCCAGCAATTTCATATGCATAAATTTTTAGTATTTTCATTAAAGGGGGCTTTCCAAATTTTGTGAACTTCAGGCTCTACCACACCCGGATCTGAAACTATTTTCCTGTAGGATATGACATTGTGTAGCCACCTGCTGTTTAAACGCACCATTTTGTCTTGTTCCATCGCCGGGTCCGCTGAGGTGAAGTTAATCTGCCCTTGCAGGAACACAGCCCCACGGTCCTCCTTCCAGCAGTAGCAAATCGTCTCACATTTTCCCGGCTGCTGGGTCAGAAATGGCTACATTACTCAGTGCCCCCGAAACGTTTATTGTCCTGCAAGGCCTTACACAATCCCACAGGAAACCACGCTCAACACTTAGCCAACACTTGTTGATCTGATTGAACGCAACAAAAATGGAGACAAAGCATATTTCAGAAAGGTTCCAACTTTGATAACTACAGCTCCTGCTTTTCCCAGGCAGCTGTCGGGTACATGTGATAACCCTGCCTTTGTTTATAGAGCTCTGTGCTGGAAAGGACCAGAAAATATCTCCGCAAAACCCCACTTCTGACGCTGACTTCTCTCCCACGAGCCAGGAAACCGTGAGGTAATGCCACAGTGCGCAGAGAATCAGCAACGAAAACTTCAGCTCGACGCTGGACAAAGGGAGGTCAGAGAATATATGAGAGAGAAGGACAGTTAATGTGACCGAAAAGGAGCACATTTCCGCAACTTAATTTATCAAGAGATCCAGAAACGGAAAAGAGATCGTTTTTGCTAATGTACCATGCACCAAGATTGCAAGGAAAAGGTGTGATTGTCACTTGACATCATTGATACAACATCACAACTTTTGGTTTTACTGCTTCCACCATTTTCTCGGGTGCATGCTGGCTGGTCATAGCTAATAAACCTAATGACTTATTTTAGGCTCTCTTATTGACAGCCGAGAAAATGAATCATCCTTTTAGCATGCATTGACACACTGTATTAAGTTATAAATTGTTGGCTATGTTAATTATTTGTAACCATCTAGGGTGTGGTGAAATCTTGGGTTGGCAGAGGAGAGTATAGCTACTGACTTTCAAAGAGGTATTCTTTTCAGTGGACACAGGATTAGCATCATTTCTACTCATTCGTTCAAGTCTTGTTCAGAACGTGCCACGTGCTGTAAGCATGCTGTTGGGGGCTGGAGACACAGCGGTAAACAGAGCAGAGGCAGCCCCCGTCTTCAGGGGGCTCACGTCTGGTGGAGGAAGAATCACGAATGAAGGTTGAATTACAGTAGAGTGTGTGAAAAATAACTGGCAGAGATATTTCTTATATTTCTGTTTGAAACTGGAATTTTGGGAAGGGCAAAGAGTCCTTCAGAAGAAATCAAAAGTGGCGAGATTACACCCTGATAGCAAGTAAGTCACTGATGGGCTCCAAACAGCTCTCCACCCTCTAGGAATAAAGCAGGCAGTCATTTGAGAAGGTGAGAGTGGAGCAGAGTAACAGTGGCACAGCAACCTGGACAAATGAATTCATTTTACACTCTGCTAATTAACTTCCTTTTCCACATGGCGATTTGTATTAACTCCACTGTTTATGTATGGTAGCATAGCAGAAGATCAATTCTAGAATAAAAAGTAAATTTAGGGGAGGGGAAGGAGGAAGTGGCAGAAACCTGGAGACACCTGGGCACGATCTCGCGGGATTCCCATCCCTTCTTGGGGCTTGAAATGCTCAAGGGCAGCTGGGAGGAGTGGTTTCCTCTAAGTCAAAATGCCACAGATTTATTTACTTATTCTATTCGTTCACTTCCTCTGCCACTTCTCCCAAACCTTTCTTTGGCTCTGTATTTTCCATGTCTTTAGTTTAATTCTGACATGTTGTGGCAAACTGCTATTTCGATTACATGATTTAATTTGCTCGAATTATAGGCTGTGTTGTCACCTCTACCCAGTGAGACCCTAGGAATTTTCTCTAAAGCTTGTTCATGCACGCCTTCAGCAGGTAACAAGCTTCTGTAAGGATGCAGCATGGGATAAACAAGCTTGTTCACTTGGGAGTAGTAGAGCTTAGATTTTTAGAATAAGAAAGAACATGACAGAATTTATTTTGAGTGTGTGTGAGAGAGAGAAAGAGAGCAAGAGAGGGAGGGAGAGAGAGAGACCTTCTGATTTCTCGCTGACCTCACTTTTTCTCTCACTTAAAAAAATTCATTTGACTCATGGCTTTAAACACCATCTATATGCTATGATTCCAAATTTCAGTTCCTCTCCCTTGAATTCCAGACTTGCATTCGACCGTCAACTTGTCCATCTATACTTGGAATATCTAATAGACATGTCGAACTTAACATGTCAAAGCTGACCTCTCGACTAACCCCTCAAACTAGCTTCTCCTACAGCCTTCCCCTTCTCAGCTAATAGCAACTCTATCCTTCCAGGCCAAAGAAGGCAGAATCATCCTTGAGGTTTACCCTCCCTTCACACCCAACATCCAATCCTTTGCAAAATATGGTTAGCTCTATCTTCAAAATATACCCCAATTTGGCCACTTTTCACCACCTCTACCGCTACCTACTGGTCTCTGTGCTACCATCCCTCACCTGGATATTGCTCTCGCTTCCTGACTGCTCTCCCTGACTGACTCTTGCCCCCTGCAGTCTATTCTCCACTGAGTAGCCAGAGTGAGTCTTTGAAATGTAAGTCAAATCTCACCACTCCTCCAGTCTGAACTCTCCAATGGTCCCCTCTTTTCTGGTCCCCTAGCATTGTCTTTAACATCACCCTATGATTCTTCTCCTTCATCTTGCCTCTCGTAAAACTGGCCTCCTTGCTACTCCTACAATATTCTGAGCACCATCTGCCCAAGGGCCTTTGCATTGGTGGTTTCCTCTGCTTGGCAAACTGTCCCAGATATCTCTCTGGTTCATTTCCTCACCTCCAGGCTCTGCTTCAAATGGTGTCTTCCTAAGCCCTACCCGGACCACCCTGTTTAATACTACAAGCCTCACTTCACCCAGCACTCCCAATCTCCTACTCTACATTTTCTTTTTTCCATAGCACATATCACCTTACAACCTACTATATAATTTACTTATTTATTACCATTAGTATCTGTCTTTCCTCACTAAAGAGCAAGCCCACAAGGGTTCCAACAGCTACTCTCTGCAGCTTGAGCTTTTCCCATGGGTGTGTCTTCGTTTGGGTGTTACTCCGTCACCTCCTGTGCTCACTCCTTCCGGTGTTAAAATAATCTGCTTGGAGGTTGGGACCTGATGTGAATAGTTTACATTTATTGGAATTGAAGATTAATGCGTCACCTCTCCTAAGGATGCTTGCATTTTAAACCTCAGATCCAATCGTGGAATAGCCTTGCTCCTTATGAAAAGAGATGGGTGAGTTGGGGGTGGAGGTGGACACCAAAAGGTTTGTTGTTGTGTTTTGTTACCAGCGTTCCAGACACCTATGAAATTTTTGCATAGATGTTGGCATTTTATCAATTTTACTCCCATTTTTCAGTGGAAGTAAGGATTTGGGGTGTAGATGGGGTTGGCACCTGCTTTTGTAAGGAAAGTGTATTGGAACACGGCCATGACCATTCGTTAGGTATTGTGTGTGGCTCCTTTAGTTTTATAACAGCAGAGGTGAGTAGTTGCCACAGAGACTGTATGCCTGCAAAGTCTCAAATATTTACTATCTGGCCTTCACAGAAAAAATTTGCCAACTCACGCTCTAGAAGAATCCTGCCAGCTGTGGAAGTGACCTAGTCGCTTGGAATTCAGTTCTACAGCTCAAGGCAACAGACATTGACTGAATGGTACTGTGTACGAGGTGCCAGAGTTGAAAGTGAAGAAAGTAGGCAAAGGGGATATCTTTAGGGAACTCTTCCAGCCACGATTCCCTCTTTGATTCAAAATTATTTTTCACAAAATTTTATCATGAAAACTTTCAAAATACAGAAAAGTTAAAAGAACTTTACAGTGAGCACCCATATACCACCATCTAGAATCTACAATTCCATTTTACTATATTTACTTTGTCATATATCTATCCACTTATCCATCTCTCTATCCATCAATCCACGTTATTGGTATTATTACTACCACTGCCAATATTATTATTTTTTAGTGCATTCAGAGGAAGTTGCAAACATCAGTACAATTCATTTGTAAACACCTCAGTATACATAACATTAAGTAGAGCTTAATTCAAGTTAGCCTTTTATTTTAACTCCAATACTGTGATCTTGAAAGCAGCCTTCATTTGCCAGAAGACACAACCTTATAAAAACTGAAAACCGAGAAAGGTTATCAGGGTAACTGAGGTATGTATCAGGGGAATCATTCACCTAAATTTCCCCATTTCCCTGGTTCAAAGATGGATCGGTCTTTCAGGGCCAAGAGCTTTTTGCTTGTGGTGAATTCTAAGAAAGTTCTGAGGCTCAAAAGAGAGGGTCATAAGCTGTTCTTTTCTGACATGCTGCCAAAAACCCATGGGAAAGTCAGAGAGGAACACATTTATGAGTTTCATGCAACGGTTGACCACATGTAGCTTCTGGGTCAGAACCCTGGTCGACGGAACAGACCGACTATGTGCAGACTGCTCGCATGAGGGTGGAAATGCAAGTCATGTACACCCATCTTTTCTGAATATATTTGGATGTCCTCAATCATCAGCACATTAATGGCCTTCATAAACTAATGTTTACAAAATAATCAGTCCCTGACTTAGAGCCAACTGATTTCACTCCAAGTGAGTCTGAATCCCTAAAATGGAATATTCCAGAGATATTTGTCATTTTAATGAACAGAAGCTACAGTGCTCTGGGAGGCAAATTACCAAAACCTTACCAATCTGAAAGAAAGAATTTTTGAGATGACTGCTTTCAGGAGAGAAAAAAATTATAAATGATGAAATGTATAAGATGTCCATGTACTTCTATCAAATATATCCTTAAGCAGAAGGTTGATAAGTCATGCAGAAGAAGAAAATAAAATTTTTGAGGAAAAAAGGAAAAAAAGGTCAACTAAAATCTGTTGATAATGGGGGTGTCTTTACAGACAAGAATGGTGTTCTTTGGAATCTTTTGGGGAAGGCTTTCTTCATTGTCATATCAGCATGGAGTTTTCTTTGTTTCCCTGGATTCCAAGGGCCATTGATGGTGTATCTACATGCTCACATATCCAGCTGCCTGGTCGACATCTCCATCTGGGTGGCAAATGACATTGTGAAATGTGTTCAAAGCCCCATGTACAGGGTCACATTTCTCATCTCAAAAGTGGGCCCTGTTATAATGAAACAGTACATGTCCCATACTCCATTTGTAAAAATTCACCCCTCTCTCACCTTTGTTTTTCCTCATTTTAAGTCTTCTGGCTTTCCAGGCCTACTCTTTCTTTCCACAGAGGCCTGCAAGTAGAATTCCCTGCCTGCGCTGACAATGCACGCCCTTGGACTTAACTTCTACCCGTGACTGGCTTATCAAAGACAAGAAGGAAGGGAAATTCTCACTCTCGTTACAGTTTCGGAGCTGGAGGGGATGCTGAGTCCCAGAGGAAGCTTTGAAAAGGTGATAAGCTGAAAGCATCCCCAAGAGTATCCCAAATCCAGTACAGAAGTGGGTGAAATTGTACAGCGAAGCCATTCTCTCCTGTTTTCTTTTGTTAGGAAGCTGTCCTTGTAAATGCTACTTGTAACAGAGGAGCCTATGAGGACACCTGCACTCCAGAGCTTACTGCTATGGCCAGTTGGATGCAACATTCAATCTCTTAAGTCTAGTTTAATAATTGTTTATTTTGCTGGATGGCTGGTTGCCTTGGTAATAACATTTAAATGGATATATCTGCTTTCTGAAAGGGTAAATATTTGTGAGAGGTTTTCTTTAGCCCAGACAACTTTGAAAATCCACCTTGTCTTTCCTCTCACATAAAAGCATATTTTCCAGTTATCTATTATCACAAAACAAACCACCTGAAAACTGAATGGCTTAAAACAACCACTTCTATTTGCTCACAATTCTGTGGGTCCAGAAGTTGGGAAGGACGCAGTGGGGCGTTCATGTCTTATCCAGGTGGCGTCAGCTGGGGCAGCTGGGCCTGGAGGATCCTCTTCCACGGCGGCTTCTTTGTCTACATGTCTGGCGTCTCAGTGTTCTTGGCCTCTGTCTCTTTCCTCACACGGCATTTCTACCTCTCCTTCATGTGGCGTGGGCTTCTCCCAGAATGGTGGTCTTAGAGTCATCACTCTTTTTACACCACAGCTGGCATCTAAGAGGCAGGAAGCAGAAGCCGCCAGGCCATTTCAGAGCCACTCCCAGAATTGGCATAGTGTCACTTCCACTGTATTGCATTGGTCAAAGCAGCCACAAGCCCTGCCTAGACTCAAGAGGAACAGAAGTAAACTCCACTTGTGATGAGGGGAGTGTCAAGGTTGCATTGTAGAAGAACACATGTGTGATGGCAGATACTGTTGGAGTCATCTTAGGAAAATAGAATCTTCCAAAGGATGGCAAACAATGATTGGTGAACAATGTGTAGTTATGATGAGTGCCATGTCAAACTTCTCAGCCACACTTGAGGGGACAGACAGGGAAGGTTTCCCAGAGGGAATGACATGGAATCTGAAAGCTGAAAGATGAATGGGGATAAGCCAGATCAAGGAGAGAGAAATAAACTTCCAGACAGAGTCATAGCAAGCCAACAAGAGGAAGAACACACGTTCCACAGTCTAAAAGAAGTTCAGCAGGGTGGAAAGAGGCGGTGCCTGCGTGTGTGTGTGTGTGTATTTGTCCTTGAGCAAGTGTCAGCGTGTTGAGGGTGAGGCCGAGTTGAAGATATCACAGAACTTTCTTGAGGACAGTGAAAGTGTTGGGCAGTTATTCCATTTCCCTGCAACTTGGAAAATGGCTTTGCCAGTAGTAAGCCTGAAGGCAGGAAGAGTGGGGTGGCTATCAGAGAAGATGGAGGGTGGCAGTCAAAAAGGGAAGGATTGGATATAGTTAACAGATATTAGCAGAATCCGCAGGATTTCACGGTGGAAGAGGGATGGGGATAGCCTGAGTTCCAGGCTCAGGCAATTGGCTAAATGTTGAAATTTTTGGTATGGAACGTAGAACCATTTACTCAGGACTGGAAAGTGCCAGGCAGAGAGACCATGCTTCTTTTTATTTGGAGACAGTTGCAGAAGTAAGTATGGTGATGATAAGCAACAATATTTATTTCATGCCACTTTTAATGTTCATGTGCATTGTCTCATTTAGCCTTGAATCATCTAAGTAAGGTGACGAGGGGGGAAGTGAGCCCCACTGACACATAAGGAATCCAGGGGAAAGTCCTTGTTCCTTGACTAATCTGTTCTTTTAAAGATTGGCACCTGAGCTAACATCTGTTGCCAATCTTCTTTTTTTTCCTTCTTCTTCTCTCCTAAAGCTCCCTAGTACATAGTTGTATATTCTAGTTGTAAGTCCCTCTGGTTGTGGCATGTGAGATGCCACCTCAGCATGGCTTGATGAGCGGTGCTAGGTCTGCGCCCAGGATCCCAACCGGTGAAACCCTGGGCCGCTGAAGTGGAGCACAGGAACTTAACCACTCGGCCATGGGGTGGCCCCTAACCTGTTCTTTTAGAGCAGGGGGTCTGTAAATTGGCCTGCAGCCAAGTTTGACCCACTATCCAGTTTTTACAGCTTGTGAGGTTTTTAGATTTTTCAGTAGTTGAAATTAAAAAATCAAAAGACTATTTCATGACAAGTGAAAATTAAATGAATTCAAATGTCAGTATGCATAATTAAAGTTTTATTGAAACACAGCCATGCCCACTGATTTACATGTTGTCTATGGCTGTTTTTTTGCTACAAAGGCCAAATGGAGCAGTCGCCACAGAGGACACATGTGGCCGCAAAGTCAAAAATATTTACTATCTGGCCCTTTACAGACAAAGTTTGCCAACCCCTGTTTTAGAGGTGTCACTTTCCGTCCTTTCTCAAAACCACGCAGTGAGCTTTCTGGGTTTAGAGGACAGAAGCCCACAGCCATGCCTGTACCTCCTGGTTAAAGATCCTGGCAATGAACTAGATGCTCTCACTGGCTTCTGCGACTCCACAGGTCCCTGGGAAAACGCTCCAACGCCTGTCCACTGCATTCCAACATCCAAGCACTTCACGAATTTTCTCCCCACTAGAGTGCGCCTTTTCTCTAGGCAGGAACAAAAATGTCTTGGCTCCCTCACTCCCCCCACCCCATTCTAAGTGGCAAACTGCAGGCAACTTATGTAACAAACAATTGTTTAGTTCTTTAATTCTCAATACAATCCTAGAGGTTGGTACTACAGATCTTCCTCGATTTATGTTGATGGGGGTTTTGGCCTGATAAACCCATGAAAAGTTGAATATCCCAAGTCAAAAACGCACTTAGGACACCCAACCCGTAGAACATCATAGCCTAGCCTAGCCTCCCATAAACGTGCTCAGAATACTTACATTAGTCTACAGTTGGGCGAAATCATCTAACATAAAGCTGTTTTATAATAAAGTGTTCACTATCTCACGTTATTGATCGAATACTGTACTGAGAGTGACAAAGTGGTTGTAAGTATAGCGGTTGTTTACCCTCGTGATCCTGAGGCTGACCGGGAGCTGCAGCTCACTGCCACTGTCCAGCATCACCCGAGAGTATGGTACCACATGTTGCTAGCCCAGGAAAAGATCAAAGTTCCAAGTATGGTTTCTACTGAGTGTGTATTGCTTTCCCACCATCCTAAAGTTGAAAAACAAGGAGTCGAATCATCGTTAAGTTGGGGCCCTCTATATTGTCACCGTCCCCATTTTACAGTGTTGGAACCACAGGCAGAGGGGCGGCGCCACCCGTCCAAGGTCACGCAGCTAACAAGTGATGGAGGGAGGATTCGAACCTATGCAGCCAAGCTCCACGGGATGCGTGACAAGCAGGTTCTGGTTAAAGGCAGGTTTCTTAGGAGGGCGAGTTGAGACCTTCGCTCCGATCAGAGCACCCGCCGGGCCTACACACATCTCCCAGGGCCCACGGCGCCCCACAAAAGCCTGCCCGGGTGCACATCCCTCCCATCTCTCCCGGGCGGGAGGGGCGTAGGGGCCAAAGGGCAGCAGAGCAGGCTGGAGAGGCGGAGGGCGGAGCGAGAGGATCCGCATGGCGGCGTGTAAATAAAGGCGTGTCGCCCCCGCCCACGGCCCCGAGGCCGGTCGCTTCCCGCCTCCTGCCTCCCTGTGGCCGCGACCGCGAAGCGCTGAGTCACGGTGAGGCTGCTGGACCGGCGCCCTCCCCCACCACCCTCCCTGCGTCCCCCACCGCCGCACGGGCTCCAGCTGCCGTCCCGCGCTTGTCACAGGCCACCCTGTCCCCGCCGTGTGAGTACCGGGCGCCCGCGGGGGTGGGCTGGGGGGTGCTGGCTATCAGTAAGCAGCACCTCGCCTTCCCCAACCCCTTTAGACTCCTAGGGGAGTCTCCTAGGGAGATGACAAGAGATGCTTAAATAGTACTCTGAAAGTTAGTGAAAGTGGTAAACGGCTTTTCCTTCTGCAAAGCGCTGCGACCTGGTAAGTACCTCATCAGTTGTTCACGTGCATAGAATTTAATTGTAGGAGTCTGGAAGGACCCAGAAATAGTCCACATGGGGTAATATCCATTCTAGTTGCTTGTCTGTAGGTGATGACAGTTCTGTATGCCTCTGAGAATCAAGCTCATATCTGTGCCCCACAGTCCAGCACCTAGGAGGTATTGATTGATTGCCTGCTCCTGGGAGGGCACATTTTAGAATGGGCCTTGATGACTGGAGGGCACTGGCAAGTAGAGTGCTCTGAATAAGGCGGCTAACATTCTTAGAGCACTGAATACACCCCTTTGAGGTAGGCAGTCTGATTACCCCTGTATTACAGGTGGAAAAACTGAGAGGCTTAGTGATTGGCCTCAGGTCACACAGCTGATATGTGGTGAGACTGGGATGCAAACCCAGGCTGTCAGGCTCCAGAGTCTATGCTTCTTGCTAAAGCATTTCTCTTGGTTTGAGTAGGAATCTATGAAGGAACGGATTCTATTTAGCTTGAAGAAGAGCTTTGGGGACTGGGGGTACTGTCTGCAAGCATCTGAAGTGGGAAAGGGATTGGTTATACTTGTTCCATGACATCCCATTGAGTAAAACTTAGGCTCACGAGGAGGAAACCCTTTGCAGTAATAAACCCGGGGTATAGATTGTCCTGAAATAATGGGGTGCATTGTCAAGGGCGCCTCCTCCATGAGTTCCCTGTGCTCTCGAAGACTTCATGAGAAAGCTCAAAGATTTCTTGCCACTAAAATTGGCCCACAACTTCAGGGATAAATGGGTCTTAGAATTGGTTGACCATCAAAGATCCCTTTTAATTGCCAGGATCTTCAGCATGTTCTGGTGAGAGTCGCAGACCTCTTGGTTTTTGTCCATGTTCCCAGTGTCGCCACATAAATCTCTGCTGTCAGCCTCACCGGTAGCACCTACCTCATGGGGCAGCGTGGGGTTGGGGGAAGGCTGAGGGATTTCAATGAGGTAAAACAGATAAAGTGCTCATTAGAGGTTCTTAGTAAGTGCCCAACAGAGCTGTTACTAGACCTTGGAAAAGATGGCTGCAGGATCACTTGAGAGAGCAATTGTAAATAATCACTAGGCCTGGGAATCTAGAAAGTACCCATATACATTCACCATCATCATTATTGTTTTATATCACCAAACGCAGTAAGCAATCAATAAGTTGTGGCTGTTAATATTTTGGGCAGGTCTGAATTTAATATCCTTTATCTTGTAGTCCTTAGATGGGCCCTCCTTTAAGAGTTCTCTCTTTGTTGTCCCTCCTTTTGCCCTCCATCCTCTGCAGCTCAGCAGCAGAGCACTTTCTTTTTAGCCTTCAACATGGCGTCCTCCAAGAAGGTTACCCTCTCAGTGCTCAGCCGGGAGCAGTCGGAAGGGGTTGGAGCGCGTGTCCGCAGAAGCATTGGCAGACCCGAGGTACTCTGGTTGGGTGGCTGTTTCATGCTTTTTTGCAGAAGGGACTGATGGGACACTGAGGATAAACTTGGGAAGAGAGGGCCTGGGATGATCATGAGCTGCCCTGTGGGGCCATACTCGAAACTTAGCAGTTGGGGTCCCCCTCGGACCAGGACCAGGCCCAGCCCAGGGCGGGTTTTTATAAAGTGGATTCAGAGGTCCTGGGGGGAAGGTGTGCCTGAAGTATCTCTGCCCCTCTCTGCACACCCACGTCCTATCCTGGGTTCATCTGCCAGCCTCAGCGTGCACATCACCAAACCATGCGCACAGGTCACAGCACTAGGAGTAACTCTGCGTCCCCATTCCAGATTCCCAGGAGAGAGAATCTGATTGGCTCAGCTTAGGTCAGGTCTCTACCCTTGGCCAGTCAGCCATTACCGGGGATTTTGGTTCATAGAGAGACTGCTGAGACCCAACTCAGTGGACTTTTTGTGGTGATGAGGGAAGGCGGGGGCATCTCTCAGAGAAGGCTCTTGTAGTCACGTAAATGTCTTTCAACGTTAGAGAGAAGTTTTATTTGAAAACTACGGGAGTCATGGGACTTGCGGAAAAGGAAATCTTACATTCCCAGAAAGGTGTCTAATGGTGGTTATCGTCCAAGTAATACAGCACCCAGCACCATACCAGATTCCAAAAAAATAATTTTTTTATTGAGGTATGATTGACATATAACATTACATTAGTTTCAGGTGTACAACATGACGATTCAATATTTGTATCTGTTGGGAAACAATCAGCACAATAAGTCTCGTTAACGTCCATTGCCATACATAGTTACAGAATTTTTGTTGTGTGATGAGAACTTTTAAGATTTACTCTCTTAGCAGCTTTCAAATATGCAATACAGTATTGTTAACTATAGTCACAATACTGTGCATTACATCTCCAGGACTTATTTAGTAACTGGAAGTTTGTACCTTTTCAGCACTGTCACCCATTTTGCTCACCCCCAGTCCCCCTGCCTCTGGTAACCACCAATCTGTTCTCTGTATCTACGAGCTTGTGTGTGTGTGTGTGTGTGTGTGTTTAGACTCTACATGTAAGTGAAATCATACTATATTTGTCTTTCTCTGTCTGACCTATTTCACTTAGCATAACGCCCTCAAGGTCCATCCATGTTGTTGCAAATGGCAAGATTTCATTCCTATTTATGGCTGAATAATATTCCATTGTGTATATATATATACACCACACTTTCTTTATCCGTTCATCCATCGATGGACACTTAGGGTGTTTCTGTGTCTTGGCTATCGTAAATAATGCTGCAGTGAACACGGGGTGCAAATAGCTCTTCAAGTTAGTGTTTTCATTTTCTTTTCTTTTTTTTTTTAAGGGAAAGATGTGGTGCTGCTCTTTTTTTTTTTCTTTTTAAAGATTGGCACCTGAGCTACCATCTGTTGCCAGTCTTCTTTTTATTTTCTTCTCCCCAAAGCCCCCCAGTACATAGTTTTATGCTCTAGTTGCCGGTCCTTCTGGCTCTGCTGTGTGGGATGCCGCCTCAGCATGGCCTGATGATCGGTGCCATGTCTGCACCCAGGATCCGAACCAGCGAAACCGTGGGCTGCCCAAGCCTCCGCTCAGCCATGGGGTGGCCCCTGTGTTTTCATTTTCATTGGACAAATACCCAGAAATGGGATTGCTGGATCACATGGTAGTTCTATTTTTAATTTTTTTTTTTATTGAGGTCACATTGGTTTATAACATTATATAAATTTTACGTATGCATCATTATATTTTGGCTTGTGTTCTATTTTTAATTTGTCAGGAACTGCCGTACTGTTTTCCATAGTAGCTGCACCAATTTACGTTCCCATCAACAGTGCATGAGGGTTCCCTTTTCCCCACATCCTTGCCAACACCTGTTGTTTCTTGTCTTTTTGAGAATGGCCTTTCTACCAGGTGTGAGGTGCTAACTTATTGTGGTTTTGATTTGCATTTCCCTGAAGATTAGTGATGTTGAGCATCTTCCAAAAATATTTTTGAATAAATGAAGAAGTATATTAGGGAAATGTATTCTTTTTGAAAAGTGAGGCTGGTTTGTTCCTCTTCTTAAAATCTGCTCTGATATTCTCAAAATCTTTCCCCCATTAGCTTTCTATTCACTTGTGAATGTCTTTTGAGGTCCATCACACATTGTTTTCCAAAGGGACACGTGCAAACAGCATTATTCTAGGGACTAAATGCACAGTGGATGTTGGGGGGGTGCAGATGGATGTTGTATCATCTTCTACTAGGCCACATCACTAAGAGAACAATTGTAAGGAATTCGGACACCCATCAGTAAACACATTATTTTATGTTGAGGATAGCTAATACTTTAATTACTCCATCTGTCAGGAACACATCTGCTGAGGGTTTCTTAATTTTTTTGTCTTGTGAACCTCTTTGGCAATCTGATGAAACCTATCAGTTCCTCCTCAGAATAATATTTTTTAAATACATAAAATACATAGGATTACAAAGGAAAGCTTTTATATTGAAATATGGTTAACAAAATATTACAAAGCAAATTTGTAGCCTAGTAATTTTACAATAAGTCCCGAGACTTGGTGGCAGTTCTCATAACTACCTAATTTCCAAGCTATGAGGAGCACAGTGTACCCACAATAATGGTAATGTGGTATGAACACAGCTTTAATTTCTGTTGGTGACAGAGCCACAGGTCCTGGTAATTTACTGTGGTTCTTGAACTACATTTGTAATTGAAGGAATTGTTCGGTTTCATTCTGGAGATGGACAGTGGAGACTGTTGCACAGGAATGTGAATGTCCTTAATGCCACTGAACTGTATACTTAGAAATGTTTAAAATGGTAAATTTTGTGTTATGTGTATTTTACTACCAAAAAAAATCCAGAAGAAAAAAATTTCCAGTTAGAGGTTAGTGAAAATAAAGAAGTAATTTTTTTTGCCATCCAAGTTTACAACTCCTCTGAATTCTATCCATGGTGCCCAGTTAAGAATCCCTGGCTGAAAACCTGTGCTTTAAAGACCCCCACATTCTCCTAATTCAGAGGGTCTCCCATGTCCTGGGTCTGCCTCTACCCTAAGGAAAAGAAAATGGACAGGAATCAGTCCCATGCCATCGCCCTGGTTTAATCACTATTAAGACAGAGGCTGTTTCCTTTTGTGTGCATGTAGTTGTATATTTTACATCATGGGGATTATACAGAATAAACAATATTGTGTCCTTAGTTTTTCATTTAACGTGGTAGCATATAACTTCCCCTGTTGTTATAAATTCTTCATAAACATCATTTAAATGGCTATGACATATCTCAGTGTGTGGGCATACCATTATTCTCTTAGTCATGACTCCACTTTTGATCATTTAGATTGTTACCATATTTTTTAGCACTCCACACACTACCAACTTTTCAGAAAGGTAGACCCCTAACCTTCCAATCAGCAGAGAAGGAAAGCACCAATCTATATTTAAGGCCCTTACTTTTCAAACTTTTTGCACCAAGGCTTTGTCTCTGAAGAAACATCTCACCAACCTTGAAGCCCAAGCTGTTCTAGCATAGAGTTTACAACAGTGTTTAGTATTAGTGGCTATAAGTGACCTGTTCCCTATGACTGTATATGTGGAGGAATAGGAATTTACAATGCTCTCACTGAGCCTTTTGGTGATAAATGATAGAGAAGAGATGGAGTGGGGCTGGCTTATACCTTTCATTACAATTATATGTGATCCTGGCCAGCCAGGCTGCAATTTGAATGATTACATAGCTTGCTGTTAACGTGTAGTTCATCTGAGCTCCCAACAGAAGGGAAACCCACTACTCATCTGCATTTGCCTCTATGCCCTACTCCCCCTTCCACGAGATACTCCTTGGTGGAGTGTGGTTTTCTTTGGACCACTCATATCTCTTTATTTTTTTATTATGAAGAATTTCAAACATAGAAAACTAGAGAAAATAGTATAATGAATCTCCATGTCCCCAACATCCACAATGATCAATTCATAGGCAATCTCGTTTCCTCTATATCCCCATCCATTTCTCCCCTCAAAGTATTTTGAAGTGAATCATTTCATTTTATTTATAAATATTTCAGTTTGGGTCTCTAAAAGATAAGAACTTTTAAAAAATATTACAATCCCGTTATCACACTTAAAAATAATGAGTTCCTTAATATCATCAAATAACTTTGACAAGTCTTTGTCCTGATTGGTACAGCCTGTGTAGATGTGGCTTTCCATTCTCAGAGTCTGTAGACCTTAAGTCAAGGTAGAGGGGCCAGAGTCACAGCGCATTCAAGGCCGTATCGAGATCTCCATCCAGACTATGGGCTGGCAGTTTCCTTCTACCTTCTGGGCCTTACCTTTAGGCCCCAGTCTAGAGGCTGAGTAGGCCCAGGAGGTAGTCTGAGCTGTTGGCGTCTACCTTTGAAGGACCTCTCCCTTCTGCTGCTGCCATATTGTCTTGGTGTAGGCTGGCCTTTTGTTGAGTATTGAGAGGGTGGGGGTCTCCCCTGATTCTAGACGGCTGCCACAGGCATTATTGCCCTTGTGTCAGTTAAGATTAGGTTCAACTGTGTAAAGGAGAAAACATCCTCCAGAACCAAAGGTAAAGATTTGTGTTTCTCTTTTGAAAACCTAAAAGTAGGCGGTCCAGGGTGGACCTGGAGGCTCCACACCTGTCAGAGACCCATGCTCGTTCTATCTTAGGTCATCATTCTTAGTGTATCACCTTATGGCCCAAGACAGCTGTTGGGGCAATAGCAAGGCCCCAAGGGCACAGAATGGAGGGAGAGGGGAAAGAAAAAGGATACATGCCAGCTTTCCATCCTCCTTTCGTAAGGGATTTCCCTGAAAGTCCCACCCAACAACTTCTACTTAAAACTTCTCCTTAGCCGGATTCAGTCACATAACCACACCTAGCTCCAGGGGAGGCTAGGGAGCTAACACAAGTACCACTTGGGATGTTTGTGGAGCACCTTCTACGTACACAGAGTTATTCTAGATTCGGTGGAGCATCATAAAAAAGGATAACATCAGCTCTATCCCTAAGGAACTGATGTTCCTGATGGCTGCTTCCAGTGCTTCCTGATTTAAATAAAATGCCAGGCTGCTGGAGCTTTATTAAGGGAGTGCCATAGGCTTGGGAGATGGTGGCCACAGGTTTTGACTGGCCTTCTCTAAAGATCAAAAGAAATGGCTTGGAAGCTGCCACCTGAATTTGGCAGCTAAAGGATTTGGAACTGTTTGAAGGAAAGGAAGTTCTCATAAGGTTCAATAACTTTGGAGGATCACCAGTTTAATATGGAGAGAGAGAAAGATGTGGATGAGTTGGGGACCAAATCAAAACATTTTAGAAAATCCAAGTTCTCATATAAATCAGATCTTGTCTACAGATAACGTTGTTTACCAACGTTGAATACCTGCCAAATGTTTGGAGAAAATTAGCAACTTTGACAAGAGCTAATACCTAGCCTGCAAATAACACTTTGGGACCATAGTCTAATGCAAGATACTCTTGCTTGTTGGAGGAAGAGTGTCTCTTACACTTGTCCCTCATCCCTTGGCTAGATAAACACTTCATCCCTCTGACCCTTGTCTCAACCAGCCCCCTGGCTTCTGCAGTCTTTTCGTTGTGCTGGCTTTCTTCCCATATGTGTCCATATGTCATGAATTGGTGACCAGAAGGTTTGAATGTGCCATCAATATATGACAAATAGTACTTTCCAGGCACATGAATAACTGCTCTCCTGTGGGTGGTGGATGGTGATGAGGGTAGGACTGGGAAGAGGGAATAAAGTGGGATTTATTTAAGAGCAGGACATATTTGCTCATATGAAACCTTTTGATACCAAGAAGCAATAAATATTTATCTCATCTTTACCTACATTTTAATACCATAGAATCACTATAATGTAGAATTAAAAAGCCATCTTAAAGCTCTAAACCGTTTGTTTTGCACATGGGGAAGTTGTGGCTCTGGGCTTTATAGGACCAGTGCAATACAAGAGATACCACCTATCTGTGTAGAACCTACAGTGCCTCAGGCGCTGGGTCAGGTGCTCTGCATTCATTGTTTCCAGTCCTTCAGGGTGTGTGTTATCCTGTGAGAAGAAAAAATATATAATAAGGTATGAGAATTTTCAGTCTCTCCTCCCAACCCCAGTTCCATTCCTGGGCTTTCACTGAGCTGAAATGGAGTTATGAGTGACAGAATAAAGTTGAAGAGATTCCAGATCTGATTTTCACTGAAAAGGGCGGAGAGTTACTGGTGGAAGAGAAGAGAGTAACTTCAGAAGGTCAGAGGAGAGAAGGAGAAAAGGAAAGAGCTGTCTCCAGGTGGTTCGAGGAGATTTGGAGTTAGAGGGAGAGAAGAGCGAAATACTGGAGACAGATATATATTGGAGAGGAATAAGGGGGATTTTAAACATATCTTTAAGTTGAAGCCCCCTTTGGCATTTTTGAGAGAAGTCAATAAATACTTTGTTTTTCAGTTACTTTTTCATATTGGACTGGGTGAAACACTGAACTGGGATGGGCTACAAAGTGGCCCAGCTTTACCTGGGTCACAGTCCACATTTTAAAGTGAAGAGGCTGAGACTTGATTAGGTGAAATAACTTGAATAGCTTCTTGAATTTGTGTGTGTGTGCATGTGTGTGTGTATTTTTTTTCCCGTAGAAAGTGAAAATAAGAGAGTCAAAACCAGAGATAGAGGCAAAGAGAGGGTTTGGTTCTTTCGTTTCTAGCAATATGACAGAGTCCATACCCTGAAATAAACAAACAAATAAATAACTTAAAAAATTAATTGGCTGAGCTGACAGGAAGTTAGAAAAATTCTGAGAGTCCAAAAATGGTGAGAAAGAAAAAAGAAATAGAAAATCTGAATAGTTTCATAGCCATTAGGGTATTGAATAAGTATTTTAAAAATTTATCACAAAGACAACAGGTCCAGATGATTTCACAGACAAATTTACCAAGTATTTAAAGTACGGATAATTCCAGTAATGCACAAATTCTCCAGGAGATGCAGCTTGTCGTAAATCACTTTATGAAGCGGATGTCATGCCAGAGCGATCTTTCTAAATCTAATCATCTCAACCTTTGATTAAAACCCATCACCTTTACGATAAAATCCAAACTCCTTTGAGATTTGGCCGCTCTCCTCAGCCCCTGTCGCGTCATAATCCGTGTGCATCTTTTGCCCCGGTAGAGTAGTCTCCCCGCGGTTCTTCAAGCTTGCCACGCTGTCTCCCTGCTCTTTTACTTGGAATATGCTTCCTTCTCCTCCACCTCCTTTATTAACTCCTCCATGTACTTCAAGACCCAGCTCACGTGACACTTCTCTGGGAGAACCTGCCCTGGTCCCAGCCCACTCGTATGTGTTAAGTTGTCTTCCTCCAGAGCATTTATCAGCACAGTGCAATCATTGATTTCCGTGTCCCCCACGAGGATAGGATACGGACTGTATCTTGTTTGCACTTGACTATTTAGATCTTAGATGATCATGAAACGCTTGTCTGCTTTTTGCATGTCTTGTAAAATGTCAACTGTTTAGCTTAATCAATGAATCTGTGTGTGCATGTGTGTGTATGTGTGTGCACAAATCTATGTAGAAATAAGGAGTTCTTTCCTATAAGCAATTTTTATTGCAAAAAGTTGCTCATTAGCTATGTGTTTTCAGTGAGCTTTGCTAGAGCTGTTCATGAATATAGCCCCTAGAAGTGTGTCTTAAAAGGCTTGTCTAATCTGCTAAATTCTATTTTTATTTCAGTTAAAAAATCTGGATCCATTTTTACTGTTTGATGAATTTAAAGGTGGCAGACCAGGTGGATTTCCTGATCACCCACATCGAGGTTTTGAAACAGTAAGTAAAATAATTTGACTGCAAAAGAGTGTCTTTTACAACTTGCCTCTGTTCTTAAATGTAGTAATCACTTCTAATGGGAAATTCAAATTTAGAATCAATGAATAATAGGGAAAAATTAATTTATAAGTTCCTAGGTAGACTGGCTGTTACAGAATTGTAATATCTGTTTTACATGAAGTATGCTAAAATTGAAATATTTACTGTTTTTAATATTCTTTGAATTTATCTCACTGTAGACATTGCTATTTGAGCAGTTAATAAATAGCAAGAATTGGTTTCTTAAAATATTTATATAATTAAAATAATCTGTTGGAGTTAGAAGAAACAGTTTAAAATGTGATCTAAATAATTTTATATAGAAAACTTGCTTCTCTTCAAGAATATTCAGAAATGTTTAACCTCATGTAATATAATAATTTAAACCCCAAAACACAGTCCAAGAACATTATGAGTATTTAAACTCAGTTCTAAGGAATTATAGAATCAAGAGGCCGAAATATAACATGGTCTAAAAATTAGGATTTTAAGGACATACATATACCTTTAGAAATTTAACTATAAAATTTAGAGGTTCTGCTGAACACTTATCTTCAGTTTTAGTTAGTTACAGAAATAAAAATGTGCAGTATAGTATTGTGGCCCCTTCCGAGGTTCCCACTCTCCACACGTACATACATTCTGGGAAGAAACAGGGACAGTTACTTCCTAGTTACGAAGGTTGGCCATCTGCTCCGTGAGAAAAACCCGTCTTCTCGGAAAACAGACCAGGGCTTGTTAAAGGTGTAGTGTGTTTGTCACGCCAATCATTGAATGAGTAAATATTTATTGAAGGCCGGCGACATGCAGGTATTGGTGTCGGGCGATCTTTTGTATGTTAGGGTTTGTGTGTTGGGAAGTATGGGCAGAAGGCAGAGGGAGGGAGGCTAATGAAGAATGAGCTGTGACTCCTGCGTACCTCCAGTATGCAGTCTAGTTAAGGAGGTGAAAGATGGACAGGTAAAGAGTTAACCACTGCAGTGTAAAGGTAGCATAAACCAAGAAGCTTCTGGAAACAGTATGAAGGATCAAGGTAGTTGGAGTAGTCTCCCTTCCTCATTTAGCCATCTGCCTTCCCATTCTCTTCTCTGCTAACACTTTGGGGGCATTGTGCCTTGCTTCAGCAATAATGGAACCACTCCTTTCACCTTTCTCTACCCGTGCTGGATTCTGACCCGGTTCCCAAAACATGTCTCCCCGCTGTGCTCTTCTGCTTCTGGTATCAGGACATTCTCGCCACTCCATCCCACAGCTTCAGTTATCATTTTACTAAGCCGTCAAGGTCTTTTCAGATATCACTATCTCCATCAAGTTTTCCAGACAGTCCCAAGAGGATGCACTTTCTCCTTCGTTTGGTCCCCATAGCATTCTATTTTTACCAGTCTCATGCACGTTACACCTTTATGGTGGCGTTGATCATATTCTGTCTCGAATTAGAGTTAGGCATTGCCACAACCCCCGCTCCCATGGCCGAGAGGACTGTGGATTGCTTCAGCTGAGAGAATCCCACACGTCGCCATGTTCTCCAGGTGGAGGTACTCCATAACTGCTGGCTGAATTTAATTGGATAGTAAAAAGAGGTCGGTTTTCCTGAAGGCAATTAATATATTAAATAAAATAAGTGATGAAACACATTGCTTTCCCTTCCATCATGGAAAGGCAATTTAATTTCCTTTATAAACTACAATTTATAAATTGTAAGGTACTCAACTTTACTCTGTGAAGGAGTTCAGCTGTAGAATATTGGTATTTGGCTCTTTGAAGTAAGAATTTTCCTTAAAACTATAGTTATAATTACAGTCAATCCCCATTATTTGTGGATTCTGTATTTGTGGATTCACCTACTCACTAAAATTTCATTTTTAGCCCCAAATCATTACTTGTGGTGCTTGCGCCATCGTTCATGGGCATGTGCAGAGCAGCCCACCGTGCACATTCCCAGCTTAGGATGAACAAGGCCACGCTCTGCCTTCTTGTTCCAGCTGTCCTGCTGTAAACAACTATCCTTCTTGAGGTCTATTTAGTGCCACATTTTTCGCATTTTTGTGCTTTTTGTGGGTGATGTCACTGTTAAAAATGGCCCCCAAGCATAGTGCTGGAGTGCTGTCTGGTGTTCCTCAGTGCAAGGCTGTGAGGTGCCTCCTGGAGAAAATACGCATCAGATAAGCCTCCTTCAGGCGTCCTTACAGTGCTGCTGGCCAAGAGTTCACTGTTAATAAATCAATAATATATGTTAAATAAGGTGTCTTTAAACAGCAACAAACATAAGACAAGGTTATGTATCGATTGGTTGATGAAAATGTTGTGACCAGAGTCTCGCAAGGACCCAAAGCTGTATTTCCCCAGGAACAATGCTTCAATATTTGCTAATTCAGTGACATGGCAACTTTCTAGAACAGAACTGCTGCAGATAACTAGGATCGATTGTAGCAGTTTTCCCCAGGAGTGTAGGTCAGCCAAGGACTCGGCTCTCTTAATAGTGTGAACTTTACAAGTCTGCAATTTAAAACCGGGTCCACTTTTAGACTCTCATGACCTCCTTTCTGGAGCGTTTTCTACAGGCTTGTTATAAGTTTTAAAAATGCTAATTAGTATAGAGAACAAAGTTAGAATCACCTATGTTATCGTACCATCCAGAAATTGGTACTGTTATTGTTTTGATATATTTTCTTCCAGTGCTTTTTTTCTGGTATTATGATGCATGTGTTTTGTGCCTTTTTTTTTTTTTACTTAACATTATGTGGTTAGCATTTTCCAGATATTCTTCAAGAAACTAATCTTTCATGGCTTCATTAAGCATCTGCCATGAAGGTTCTACCAACTGACATTACCACAGCAATGTATGAGGGTGCCTGTTTTCCCTCAGCGTCACCAACACAATGTATTTACCCAACTTTTCTTTATCTTTGCCATTTGGGCAAGTGAAAAATAACGTCTCAGCGTAGTTTTAATTTTCATTTCTCTTATCTGAATGAAGTTGATTATCTTTTCTTTTTCTTTTCTTTTTTTTTTTGGTGAGGAAGATTCACTCTGAACTATCATCTTTTGCCAATCTTCCTCTTTTTTTTGCTTGAGGAAGACTGTTGCTGAGCCAACGTCTGTGCCAGTCTTCCTCTTTTTTTTTTTTTTGCTAGAGGAAAATTAGCCCTGAGCTAACATCTGTGCCAGTCTTCCTCTGTTTTGTATGTGGGACGCCACCACTGCATGGCTGATGAGTGATGTAGGTCTGCACCCAGGATCCCAACTAGTGAACCTGGGCTGCCAAAGCAGAATGTGCTGGACTTTAACAGCTACGCCACGGGGCCGGCCTCCATCTTTTCATTTTTAAACACTTGTTCACCATGCATATTTATATTCTTGGCCTATTTTTTTTCTGTTGGGTTACTGGTACTATTCTTACTGTTTTATAGAAGCTCTCTCTATATAAAGGAAATCAGGCCCTTTTCAGTGGTAGCAGTTGCAATAGTGTTAAGAGGGGTTAGGCTTGTTTTGCATGCTCCCGAAGGTAAACCTTTGGATACAAAGCATAGATACAAAGCAACAGAAGGAAGGACTTCTAACAATTCATTATGCAAGGATAGAATAGGCTCCCTGGATCAAAGTGATTTCCTGACTCCTGGAGAAATGCAAGCATGCACTGAATGTTCGCTTGATGGGTGTGTCATCAGGATCAGTGGTCCCTAAAGTAGGCTGTGTGTGTGAGACGAGTCAGTGCTGTGCAGGAATCAAATACTAGAGCTCCCATTCTTTAAAATAAAATTGAAATTATGCTGTACTAGCACATGAATATAAATAAATATACATATTTTGAGTGCATGCTTGCATTTTTTAAACTGATAGTGACACGTGATCAAAGAAATACGGAGAATATTATTCTAAAAATTCTTAGTGCCTCAAGGGTGAGCCGCGAGCCAGCAGTGGTATCACCTGGAGCCTGGGGCTCTGCCTCTGATGGACAGAGTCAGAGTCTGCGTTTCAGCAACATCCTCAAGTGATTGATATGCGCATAAAAATTTGGGAAGTGCCTGTCTAGATGACCTTCCAAACTGGAAATACTATAATTCTATGAGATAAGAGTGAGAACCTGATTTTACTAAGTTAATTGCTGATTATTCTTCGGTTTGGCTAGCTATATATTTTCTGTTAAAAATTTGCCTGAAAATTGAGGAAGAAGGAATGCCCTAGAGAAGGAGGCACAGCTGGGGGTCACAAGACAAAGGGGAAAATGCACTCGGTATTTCCTGCCGGGAGTTTGGACTCTGGGAAGCATTGTTTTCAAAAGGCCTGAGTGGTAAAGCATGGAATAATTTTGCAGTTACCTATTTCTGGTCAGGCCTGATATCTTGATTTGTTTAGGGCAGCTATAAATGATCAGAAACAAAGAACAATGTGGAAAATCCATGCCCTGCCAAAGTTTCGCTCGCAAAAGTTCACACACTTTTGATGAACCCTTCACGCACCCTGAGAAGAGACGTATTTTGTGCCTTTCAAAATCGTCCTTTAACTGATAGCCTCGGGGACTTCCGAGGTTTTAGCACTGAAAGTCCCTGTTCTGGGAACCCCTCAGTCCTGCAGAAACCAACATGGCTCATCCCTCCTGCTGAATTGAATTCAAGAACTGTGGAGTAAACCATCGCGCCTGCTTTGCAGGGAAGTTTTAGGATGGTCTTGTCAGTTATGTTGTTAGTTGGGCTTAGAAATGCTTTTCATGGTTTTTCCCTACATGCCTCAGCGGTCTTTGATTTTGTTCAGAACAAGCCCGCCCTGTTTCCAAGGGCGTGCCCATCAGAAAAGCCACACTCATATTTACTGGTTGGCAGCCAGCAGCGTTTGCATGCAGTGCCTGAACAATATCCTGGAGAGGAAGGGAAGGGTCGTGGTGATTCACACCTGGAACTTACAGCTGGACTCAAACCTCCCGGCTCCCCTCCCGGCTCCCACACAACCTGCTTTTTCCAGCT